TACTAATATTACTATCTTATTTTTAATATATATATTATATTATTAATTTTAATCTGTGTTAATATGTTACAGATTTAATAATTTAAAAATTTAAATAAACTAGTTAGTTATAATATATATAAATATTATAAGTTTTTTTTAAACTAGACCATCCGCTGGAGGTATATATAAATTTTAATAAAATAAAAATAATTTATCTAGATAAATTTATACTAGAAATATAGATTATTCTATATCTAGTTAATTAATTATTATTTTTTTTCTATTAGCTATAATATACGTGAATCCTATAAAAAACTTTAATCTAATATATTTTATATTATATTATTATATAGTTTCTACTACAAGATTATAGATAGATTTTCTATATAAAGTAAATAGTATAAAATATTTTTTATTATTTCTATTAGCCTGTATATAAATCTCTGGAATTTATTTATAATAAATTAAATATTTTTATATAAAATTTTATTAATTTTAATTTAAGTTATATACCCTGATACTATACTATTATAATAAACTTTTAATCTATATATATACTAGTTAAAAAAAATTTATATTAGTCTATATATACCCTGTACTATAAAACTTTAGATTATTTATTTAAAATTTTCTTAAAATATATAGTAACTATTTATATATAGTAAAAATACTAGTAGATTATAAATAAAAATATTATAAATAAAATAAATAAATAATATAAAATTTTTATTAAATAGTTCTAGTAGTAAGACTATTTTTAAACAGTCTAGATTTTACTTATAATTAATAGAATTATAATTATTAGTAAGTAGCAAAAACTAGTAAACCTATTATATAAATTATTATTAATAAAAAAACAGGCTAGAACTATAAGAAGTAAATATATTTATATATATTTAATTTAAATTTTTTAGTGTATTATTAACACTAGTAAATATTTATAAAATATTTATTTAATATTTCTATTATAAAATAATAATTTAAAACGTAATCTAATCTAATTAGAATATTTTTTATATTATAAAAAATTATACGATCTTAATTACACTAGATAAAATTAGGAGATAATTATTATATATATATTATTTATTTTTACTGTAGTTTAAAATAATTATAATATATATTAATATATTTTTATATTTATAGCTTTACTAATATTAGTTAAATAACTTTATATAAAATTCTAAATATATTTATTTTTATTATATTATCAGCCACAGGCGCTATTTATTATTAATAATTTTTTTTATATTATCTATCTATATTATTTATTAAAGTATATATTATTTTTAGTACTACTGTAGTATAAAATTATAAAATAAATTTATTTAATTATAAAATATTTATATCTAAATAAAAAAAATTAGAACCTATTATTAAAAATATATATATTTTATAATATTATTTTTATTTATATATTCCAGCAGTAGTTGGTACGGTAATTTTATTTATTATATATAAATTATTTTTATTTAAATTATTATATTATAGTATTATATTATCTACTGGCTCTTCTATATAATTTAATTAACTATTTATTAGAATATCTAAATAATTTTTTTTATAAAATTATTAATCTTAGTAGATGGGTACCAGACGCGCTATTATAATTATAATAAAAATATTTTATTATTAAAGACATCCACATTCCATAAGATAGTTTATTAAAGATTTTATATTATATTAGTAAAATCTAAAAATATTATATTATATAAAATATTATAAAAATAGATATTTTATAAATATACTATCCACTATATTATATATAGCTAAAGATAAGTATTAATAATTAATTTATATTAAATTAATATTTAGATTTATTTATATTCTAATTCCTTTTAAATCTAGATAATAATATTAATAATTTATTATATTTAGCTGGATATTAATACAGAGAATTACTAGCTATTAAAAAATTAAATATAAATATAATATAATTTTATATAGGTAGAGAAGAGTTTTTAATAAAAAATTTATTTAAATTTTTTTTAAATATTATTATCTAGTATAATTTCTAGAGATACTATAACTTACTTTAAATTTATATATTAGAATTATTAATAGGTAAGCTACTAATATTTTTATATAAATTTTATATTAAATACTACATACTAGTAGATAAAAAAATTATACTAATATAATATTCTATTAAAATAGCAGGAAATAATTAGAAAAAATTTATCTAATATCTAAAAAATCTATATATCTTAATAATTTAATACTAGATTAAATTATTAATAAATTATTTATATTATTTATTTTACAGTCTAATAATCCAGCTGATATTAGTATTTTAAATAAATTTCTATTTTTATAAATTATATATTATACTGATACTAGTGATATATTATTATCTATAAATAAAAAATAATTTTAAATAGTTATTTCTTTATAAATAAAATAATATAATGTAATAGATAATTAAAAAAATATTATATAAATTTTAAAATATATACATAGATCTAATCTAAAAGATAGAAATTAAATAATAATTAATAATATAATAAAATATATTATATCCTAATAAAATCCCATTGAACCCTAATAAAATCGTAATAAGAATTATTAATTTTAACTAATCTGTTTATAACATAGAGAGTAATTATTAAATTCAAATTTTAGAAACTTATAGTTAAATAGTAAAGTTATTTACTATTAAACTTTTAAATTTCTATAATTTATAGTTTATAAAAATACTATACTTTAAAAATTAATTTTGCTATATTCTATACCAAGACTTTTCTTCTATATAAACTATCCATACCCTAATTCCGCCGCATATGCGATCCTCCAACCCCAGTAGGTTAGTGTCACAGTGCAACCTCCTAAGCTGGAAAGAGAAAAATACTGCCGAGTCTTACCGCCCAGCACGTGATCCCTAGATACAGTCAAAAGCCATCTGTTCCCTGGACCTCATCCGTAGCCTCGGGCTACGTCTTGTCTATCCACCTGTATATAGCTTGACCAGTAGCCGGCTCAGCATCTAGTTAGAATCCCAGTTGTTATCATCATTCGAACCCTGCTCGCCCGCCAGAACCTACTATCCTACAACCCCTGCCTGCCTGCACCTTGACAATTAGATAGCTAGTGAGACGGCCGTTCAACACAACAAAATGAGGTCGTATTGGTGCTAACTACTCTAGAACTTAAAGCGTAAGGGGGGAAAAAGGAAAACAGGAAGTGTTATGGGCGCTCGCTTGAAGATAACGATAACAAAGCAAATGTGGTCACATGATCCTGAACGAGGCTGCCGTCACAGTTATAAATAATATATAATTCAGAAAAACTCTATATAATAGTCTATAACTATAATATAACCTCCTACCACCAAATCCCCTTTTCTGTTATGTACTTGATTCGGATCTATGGCCTTAATCTATGTAGGGATCTGGTTCAGACCATACGAAGTAGGTTTGGATATACATTCTGGAGGGGTTTTAGCTAATCCTTTTTCCTAGATCCCCCTTCCCTAGAAGGGATGAAGTAGTGAGAAAAAGTAATATTTATTAAATCACGTTACCGGTAATGGGGAGAGCTAATTAGAAGACTAGATTAGTACGTCTCATGGACTAATGAGAAGCCTTAGAGCTATGAACTTCCCTTACCCAGGAGCTGACCTAGTGTTTCTCAGCGCTAGCGCGCTTCGAAAAATATGAGCGCAATTGTGGCAAGTCTCCTCCATTTGTCTAGCACTGCTTCCAGTCACTGGTGGATGATGCGCTGTTAGTCTCTCGTACTACCTTGACTACGGAACACAATTGGAGCTTGCTAGCTTGAGTGTGAATGGATCAGACATCGTCAATTAAAATCATCAAACGCAACTTTCGACACATACATACCGTGTTGATACTACTCTGTATACATCATGCCATTGCTAACAGACCGTCACAAATGAACTATATGTAGTCTAGTAGAGTTGAAATCTTCTATTGACTTTTGGGTGAGTGGAGCTTGACCTCAGCCCGCTCTTCACTTCTCCTTAGCTTGATGTTCGTGTTATGGCAGGTCCTACCTAGCCATTGGCTATTTGTTAAAAGGTCATACTATGTACTGTACGTCAACGACTGAACTCCTCCGATTCGAGGGATTTACTGGGCTTACGATCGACTGGGTGTAGTCATACCGCTGGGAATGAAATGACTATATCCGAGACGCGAATGGCAACCCGGTATTTGGACCCAGCCCCTAATGGGCTCCTATGTGAGATCTTTCTTGCACGGCATGTTGCCATCGCGTATCATTATTGGGCGGTATTCTCTATACAGACGTCAGTAGGTATCATAAAGGGGAAACTACTATGTATAACGGCAACGGTGTCCAGTGTGTTGATCAGTCTACATGAAGTGCGCCGTCACAACCACTAGACCCAACTGAGTGGTCTAATCCGAGGTGACGTGTATCCCCCGTCCGTGTGTTTGGGGAACAACTTGATTCGTGCCTGCAGAGACTCGTTACGAGCCCACTTTCTGGGCCGTCCGTCAGTCCCCGAAGCTTCTCTCCCTGAAACAATCCTTCACAACCAAACAAAGGTCCGCGGAGCAAAGCCCACACAGAGTCAAGCACCATTGGCGGAATGGCCCAGCCGGAGCTATAGGACTTGGCATGCTTTGACAGTCTTGCCGTCGGTTACTCTAAATTCTATCTGAAGTGGCTCGCTCGGAACATCTGTGCATTGACCCCCCGAGAATCTCCACAAATGGCTGCAGAAAACACCCGACTGGCATCCCCCTGGCAGGAATCGCTTCCTGTACGGCCGGCGAAACTTGTACCTGATTTCCGGCACCAGGAACAGTTCGATCTTCTCACCACGGGCCTAGCTCCGGCACCAAACCCCCCGCGGCCGCTTCACATCCTCCAAGCGAGATTGGCAGGGCCCCTGGCTGCTGTGCCGTATGGTCCGAGATAAGACTATAAAATTGGCACCACTCGCTGGCCCTTCAGACTCTACCCAACAGCCAGAGTCCTTGATTTCGTTTCCAAGATCCCATCATTTTGACCTTGTGTCTTCCATCTAGAAAATGGTCCGTCAATTCGTCTTGGCTTGCGGTCTGTTGGCAGCGGTGGCTGTCCAGGCTCGGCCCGCCGAACCGTCTCCTCCCTTGGTGACGGAAGCGCCCGATGCCAGTCTCATCGAGAAAAGAGCGACCAGCTGCACCTTTTCAGGCTCCGAGGGAGCCTCCAAAGCGAGCAAGTCGAAGACCTCTTGCTCCACGATTTACCTTTCCGATGTGGCCGTCCCATCCGGCACCACCTTGGATCTCACGGACCTGAATGATGGTACCCATGTATGTTTCCCCGGGCAGAGCCATCCCCATTCCTATTCATCTCTGGGATCGTGAGCTTTCACTGACCGGCTGGGGAGGTTATCTTCCAAGGAGAAACCACCTTTGGCTACGAGGAATGGGAGGGCCCCCTCGTCTCGGTGTCGGGAACCGATATTACGGTGGAAGGCGAGAGCGGTGCGGTGCTGAATGGCGATGGCAGCCGCTGGTGGGACGGCGAGGGCGGCAATGGTGGGAAAACAAAGCCCAAGTTCTTCTATGCCCACGACTTGACCTCCTCGACGATCAAGAGCATCTATGTCGAGAACTCGCCCGTTCAGGTCTTCAGTATTGACGGATCCACCGATCTCACCATGACCGATATCACGGTGGACAACACGGATGGGGACACCGATGACCTGGCTGCCAATACCGACGGTTTCGATATCGGTGAAAGTACCTATATCACCATCACCGGGGCCGAGATCTACAATCAGGATGACTGCGTTGCCATCAACTCCGGAGAGGTACGTCACACATAGATTTCATGATGGACATCCATCACTGATCATGGAACAGAACATCTACTTCAGTGCCAGTGTCTGTTCCGGTGGCCACGGCCTGTCGATTGGCTCGGTCGGAGGACGCGATGATAACACGGTCAAGAACGTGACCTTCTATGATGTGAACGTGCTCAAGTCTCAGCAAGGTATGGAAGCTTCCCCGGCAGTCCTCCGTTGCCCTTGATTGATGAATCCCCTAGCGATCCGCATCAAGACCATCTACGGCGACACCGGCTCGGTCAGCGAAGTCACCTATCATGAAATTGCCTTCTCCGATGCCACCGACTACGGCATCATCATCGAGCAGAACTATGACGATACTTCCAAGACTCCCACCACCGGGGTTCCCATCACTGATTTTGTCCTCGAGAATATTAGCGGAACCTGTGAGGATGATGACTGCACGGAGATCTATATTGCCTGCGGGGATGGCAGCTGTTCGGACTGGACCTGGACCACCGTCAGTGTTACCGGGGGCAAGGTCAGTGATGACTGCCTGAACGTGCCTTCGGGGATTAGCTGCGATTTGTAAGGGACTATGATGGAAGGGTTTGCCAGCGACTGGACGTCTTGAAGTTATCGCTCGCTACATGGTTGTTTGCAGGACTGTGATCGGTAGCCTTCTGCTTTGTATGTTTGCCTAGGAAGGAGTGATCAAACATTTCAACCCCCAGAATATCTAGGAATGCCCCTTCACTTCGAAAAGATATTCAACCCCCCTGACATTAAGGGGGTACTGCTCTCAATATCTTAGCATGCACCGTTACACGCCCGCCAAGAAGTCGGAGTTCTGAAAGTAAAGATCGGCAATTTATTATAATTACAGCGGAAAGAGTAGTCAGGATAAAGGTCTCGTGTTCTAATGTGATAGGCTCAGGCAAAAGTTGGGAAGCTTTCACCGAGGGGAGAGGGGCTTCAATGCCCTAGATTGTGGAAGAGGGACAGCAAAAGAAAGCCCTGCAGGATCCTGCCTCGGATACACCCCCGTCACACGCAGTCCAAATACCAGACCGACCGGCCCTGAATCTCCGAACAGTCCGTCTTGACCACCCCGCCCGGCTTCCCCGCCAGCCACTCCGAGGCCCCTCGCAGGGAGGCAATGGACCCCAGCAACCGATCATCCTGCTCCAGGTCAAGTAACTCCGCAACCTCTTTGCTATCCGTGGAACCTTTCCTCATAGACATCGGCTGAAACCCCGGTCCCGGTTGCGGGTGTTGCTTAATTGACCCCGATCCACCGGTTCCGACGCCCAGCTCCAACTTCAACCCACTGGTCGCAAATTCGGCCACGAGCACGCCATTATAATACCCCTCACCCCGCGGGGCAGCCCGGAGCGCCTGGATCGCCCGGGCCCGGATGGCGTAGTCGGGACATCGTAGGGCCAGGAAGGACAGCGCGGCGCAGAGAGTGCCATCGGGGGTGAAGCGCGCGACACAGTGAGGACGACCCGTTTTCTCATCAACGGAGTCCAGGGTCGCCAACGCGTGCAGAGACTCAGATAGCAGGGCCTTGTATTCAGAATGGAGTGGCTGCAGGTCAGGATGACAGGGCGGGTGGAGACAGGTTTTGATGGCGAGGGTGAAGGTGCGGTGGCTTAGTTGGACCATGGTGGAGGAACAGTGGTCTTGCACCCCCGGAGAGGCCTTCTGGAGGAACATCGTCCAGTGCACGCCAAACCGATTCAGACAGGACAGAAGCCGGTATTGTTGGGGCTGGAGCACGGGGTACTCGGACAGCCGGTCGACGTCCGCGAGGCTCCAGCAGTGCTCGAGGAGGAGAAAGACGGTGGGGACGAGGGAGTGGAGGGTCTGCCGGGCCTGACGGACGGAGTGGAAAGGCGTGGAGGATGATAAGCGGGCTTCGAAGGATGCGTGGTAGTGAAAGTGTTGGTCTAGGGGAAGGAAGGGCTGCTGAACCCCGTGGAAGGCGGAGTGGGCGTCGAGGTACAGAAAGGCTTCGAGGAGCCCGGGCGGAATTGGGTATTGCTTCGGGTCCATCTCGCTAGGGCTGCCGTCGCCGCGCCGTAGCTCATGGAGGATGCGGAGTCCACTCTGCAGGTGGACGTTGGCATCATCGTAGCGGGCACAGGCCAGCTCGCGCAGGATGAACAGCAGGCAACACACCAGAAGCACGGGCGGCAGCTGCGGGTCCTGCGACCCGGTGCGCTGCTGAAGCAGACGATAGGCTCGACTGGAGTGAATTAGGGCAAAGCCATGCCATGGTCCACGCAGGGTCTGACCTGGAATGGCCAGTCGGCCTGCTTCGTGAATGTGGTGGTTGACGGCGCTGAAGGCCAGGACGGCGTGGTAGACGGCGGGCTCCCGGGCGCTCAGCGGGAAGATGACCTGCTCCCACAGGGTCGGGTCGGACCCGGTCCTGATACAATCCGACAGGAGGACCTGTCGGAAGAAGGACAGACATCGCTTCTCGTCCGAGGTCATGGTCCATTGAAACTCGACGGCGACCGACGGCGACAAGCGAGGATCCGGGGCCCCTGTGTGTTTCCCCGGGAGCGGATGGAGCTCGACCCCTTCACACGGCCACCCGGACGTCTGGCAGTTGAAGCATCGGCCGGGCGTCTCGTCGCATTTGATCCGGCGAATCCTGGGCGGGGGTCGATGAGTCCGCGCTGCATCCGACTTTCTTCCCCGGGGGGCGAGCCTGTAGTCCCGACTTACCGACATGTCCGACACCCCGTCTTGGAGCGCTTGTTGGATGCCCGCCGGCGTCTTGGCGCTCGTTCCCCCATTGCAGGCAGGGAACAGGAGAAGTTTGGTGCAGGCTACTCCGGACTGCCGCAGGAATCACTCCCAACAAGCAGCGGTCCCCCTTTTCTGTTGGTCCTCTCGGCCCTGGACCGCGCTAGCTGGCGCCGTCGGTTCGGCCGACAAATCAACGGCCATCAAGGAGAGATTAGAAAGCCGCACTGGTCGGGGTTGTCAGCAGAACGGAGAGAATCTTGGAGTGCCGTATTCCCCATATGTGACGAGACTGAAGGGGGTTGAGTTCGGGTGTTCTATTTTCTCAACTTCCGCTGGGAGGACAGTTGCTACACCTATCACTGAGAATGTCTGCGATACTATCAGGTTAATCGACTGCATTTTCGATTCTCGCTGTTCCCTTAACGGGGTGATCCATTAAGGCATTAAGCAATACTACTCCTGCCATACTTGCTTCGCGTCAGCGAGCGAGGCAGAAATACTCATTAGGGTTGCTCAGTATTATATAAAGGACAGACGCCATGGTATGTCGTGACGTCCCCAGGACGCACGCAACCACCTCAGGAGGGGGCTGTGCATGCGACCAAGCACTCCTTCACGGCCGTTTACTTTGCTTGACCAATCTCTTCATCATGCGGAGGGGCCGGGAGAGCTCCAGTCGCTGTTGGTGCCGCGGCCTCGGTGGCCTCCGCGACGGGGGGCGAATGCCCCGCCGTTAGGGGCACCGTCGCGGGAGACACCGTCGCCATCTCCGGTTCAGCCGCGGCAACGGGCTCGGGCACAGCGACGGGTTCGGCCGATGACCCCTGGCGGGACTGGGGCGCCACACTGGGTGCCGGACTGGGTGCCAGGAGTCGAGGACCCGGGTGCTTCTCCGGTTGTTTGCTCGTCTTGATGCGGGCAGGGGCGGGCCCCAGCATCGGCGGGTACTTGAATCGGAATCCCCAGACAAAGAAGAGCCGCAGCTTGGTCCCGAGGCTCATCGCATTCCACCGTTTCCGCAGGACCTCCCCGTCAGCCTGCGAGCGTGCCCGGTAGCCTTTCCGGAAGAAGCACAGCAGCAGCAGGGTGATGGGGAGAATGGTCAGCGACCAACAGACCGGCAGCCCCCGGCGGGTTTGCCAGCCCAGCATGAGGCGGCGAAACCGGATCCAGGCCTCCACAAAGCCGAGGATCAGGAACAGGCCAATCCAGCCAATGCTGAGAATGAGGGTGAGCGCCAAAGGGGAGATTCCCATCGGGTAACTATCGAGGAACCAACTCTTCTCGCCATCATAGCCCCCATAGCCATAACCCCAGTAGTTGCCGTAACTACCAGAGCTACCCGAGCTGCCAGACGCCCCGTAGCCAGAGTCGCCGTAATCTCCGTAGTGGCTGCTGCCATCGGTGCTGGTGTAAGAGCAGCCGGCACCGGTGTACAACGAAGTAGGCCGGTTGTATATACTCAATGAGTCAAGCGAGCTGCTGGGGACCTGGGTGGGGTCGACGTAGACGATGTCGATGGTGTAGGTCGTGGGCTGGAAGGGCCGGCTGGAGTCGACGGAGAAAGAAGTTGTCACCGCCGTGCGGGGGAGGAGGGCTTGCACGGCGGTAGGGGGAATGATCTCCGCTGCGGTGGTCTGGGTCCATTGCGAGGAGCACCCAGTCGGCGCGCTGTAGGTTATATTGACCGCAAAGATGGTGCTGTGGTAGGCATCGTCGTCATCGTCGGAGTAGCCATAGTCGTCATATTCGTCCACCACCGATCCAACACCCGTAGGGTACAGCTGCTGAACGATGGTGACATCCTTCGAGTCATCATAGTAGTAATAGTAGTCATTAGAGGTCCCAGTGGAGGTCGCCGTCGAGATAGCCTCGGGGATGGACGTGGCGGTGGGGGTGATTTGCTGAATGAGGGTGGTGGTGATGGTCTCGTAGTAGTAGGAGCGCGTACGGACAACCTCTTGGTAGTCCGCAGTGACAAGCCACGGCGCAGCAGAAACGAAGGAAGACAGTTGGGAGAGAAACCAAAGCGAGAGAAGCGGCCAAAAGGAGCGTGAGAGGGCCATCCTGAAAGGGTTGCCCGGGGTGGGAATGTGCAAACTTGGAGGGGGGACGCCAGCCGGAAGAATGGTGGCGCCCATGAGGTACTTCTATAAATCCTGGATCATAGAACCTCATGACTCCGACGAGCCCCGTGGAAATTACTGCATCTCCACCATTTCCTCTTAGCGTAATGATTGGCAGGGCCTCGTGAAAAGGGTCTGCGCCGTGGACTTAGCGTCGGGGCTAAGATGCTCGGGTTGTCTTGGCTTAGGGACAGGGTCCAAGATCAAGCCCATCGGAGGAACACCACGCCGAGTCGTGTCTGCCTCTATGACTGGGTTTTAAACCCCTTCTCCTGGCTTGCTTCAATCTGATGAAGACCATCGGATAAAAAGGGAGGTGCATCCGCGTCCCCTGGCACGTAGCTGGGCAGAGCCCTCCGACGGCCAGATGCCGGGGGGGTAACTATTTAGCGCCCTCGCTTTCAGGGTCCTATCTGGCTAGTCCAGGAAGCTAAATCGAAGAGACTTTGGCGGCTTGTTCCGGATTTGCCAGGGTGCTGCCTGCTTCGCGCTCGGGTGCCTAATCTGGGCGAGTCGCCGGGCGCGCTGCCGGTTTAGCTTTGGGCGGGCCTGGGTTCGTGTTATCGCGAGATCCCCACCCATGGGTTGCACCGACGGGTAAATCCACTCCAGGGTTGCTGCCCTATCCAAGCCTCGTTCCGCTGGGTCGAGTTGATACTTGGCTATTCCTCACAAACCATGGGCTGACCCTTGACATGGAGGCGTATTGAATGTAAGGTCCCAGGGCAGGAGATCGCGGGATGTCGCTTTGGACAAGGATCTTGGCTATTACTGAAGCTTTTCTGGGCCCAATTTCGATGTTCTGGTCCTTGACCAGCATACTCTTGGGCCTACCCAGGGTGTTCGCCGTGTAGCCCCTTTTGGTTCCTACTGACTTTTAGTGAGTGACCGAAAATGCGATGCTTGGTCCACCATGTCGAGTGGGAGATGAATTGTGGATCGGTCGTTCACTAACCTCTAAGTCTAGCGAACTGGAGACGTGGACGAGCATGAGTCTAAAAATGCCACAGCAAAGACATGAATAAGTGTCAAAATCAACAGGCGAGAGTTCAACACACTAAGAAACCAAATGTTCTTGGTCAATCCACGTTGGGTATCTTGACCACCATGTCAACTTCGAGTCCACGCAGGCTATTTAGAAGGCAATGCACTCCGTATCATAGATGGGAAGGGTCACATTGTACAGCGTCTCCGAATACAGATCAGTCACGAACACGTCAACGCCAAAGGTGAAGTCACTGGTAAACCAGTACCCATTCTCGCACGAACCACTCCCATTCTCCACTGTCACGCCATTGTCGGTGCTGAGCGCGACTGAGCCTTCCACGGAAAATTCGTTCACGATCTCTGCCCTCGCTTCGATGCCAGCTGATACATCCAGTAGCCCGTCGAGGACGTCAATGCCGATGGAGAGCTCCACGTCCGCAAATGGATTGAGCTCGGCATCAACCTCAGCGGACAATGTGGCAGATGCATTGTATGTAGGGGCCCATCCCGAGGAACTGGAGGTGCTGCTGTCCAGGAGGTCCAGGTACAATCTTCCATCGGCGATTTGGGCGGACACATCAGCGGTCACATTGGCCTCGCCGGTGATAGCGAACTCCACCCCGACTCCGAATGTGAGCGAGGGACCAATGCTGAGGATGCCGGCGATCTCAAAGGCGGAAACGGACAAGGCATCAAAGGTGTAACTCAGGACATTGGTGGAGTAAGAAGCCTCGGCTTGGGCACTGACGCTCACATCGGCCACGAGCGCGATATCCAACTCCAGGTATAATGTCGTCGCGGTCAGGTTGGAAACATCAAAGTCCACGCCTCCACTCAGGTCCACGGTCGTACTCAGATCGACCTCCTGGACATCAATCGCGAGGTCGTCGGTGTTGATCAGATCTCCGGACCACTCATCGGAGAGCGTAATGGTCAAGTCACGCTTCCTTGAGGCTACGGCCGTCGAGTTGAAGGTCACGGAAAGAAACGCAGCTTGCTCTCGGAGAGAGCTCTCTGCGGCTTGCGCAGTAATGGTCTGGGTGTCATTGTCGTATGCCAAAGAGCTGACTACATACACTCCGTGTGCATTCTCCGTGTCGCAGTTTCCCTCGTGGTTGGTGAGAATGATCAGGTCGGCAGACGACCACTCGGAGATGCTCGTCTCATAGTCCACGGCACTGTCGTAGGTAATCTCCACGGTATCTGTAGAGCAGTCCACCGTGGAGATTGAATTGATGTTGTCCAAGACGACGGTGGGGAGTTTCATTTGCGCATCCACGTGGGCCGCCGCTGAAGATTGGCTCCCGGCCTGGTAGTACAGCGATATGTTGTACGATGGCTGAACGCCATCCGAGCCGGTATCTCTGCGCATCCGGACAGGATGGAGGACATGTGCGGGCTCAACGGACCCCAGTACCGTAGGGAGTGCCATGGCCGCTGTCAGAACGAGACTTGAAAGTGCGCGCATGGCGAAGACAGGCTTTCCAGAGATGATATACGCGGAGTGAAGCAGTGTGAACAATACTACTGCGAAACAACTACACTCGGCTGTCAGGGAAAAGACGAGGTTTTATATGATGCTCAGCAATACTTCCCGTCAAGAAGGATTAATGTTTACCCCTCATTTGATGGCCTGAGTTCTGACGAACTTTCACCGAGAAGAAGAACCTTGTCACCGAAACCAATTGCTAGAATCCATTTCCACGTGCAACTCATTGTCGCGAATCTTCATGTCGAATGGTGTGCGCATGCCTTTGCTACCCCTCATTAAGCTATATGAGGTGAACCGGACATGTTCCGCCGATAGAGGATCTGATTGGTGGTAATGCGCGGGAGGCCTCTTCACATTTAATCTATTTGTGCAGAGTCCAGGATTGAACTAACTTGCAGGGGTCAGCATGTGATCCTGACTGGGGTGGATTAACAGCATAGTACCATTTCTGCAGGATTCAATCCGCATTCTCGGCCTACCAGGTACAATGGCCGAAATGGTAATCCCTGGCCATAGCATGACTGTCTGCCCGCCTGGGGTGGCACGTTGTGGCCTGCATCATGTGCGATACGTCTAATACGGATGATATACCCAAGGATTCTATATGTCGGGGGTTATGACCGCACTAGTGATTCGACCATTGGCATGGACACACTGTGTCGAGCTAGCTAATGTGTCATTCAGCGCGCTGCATCAAACGGCCCTCCCCTGCCAGGCTTTCCCTGTAACGCCATTGTGAAGAATTGTTCCTACATATGGACAAATAATGTTCTGATCGTTCTAGATCCGCACCCATGAATCATGCCCATGTTAAGCATCCTGCTTCTTGCCTGCACACCTGGCATGCTTATCTATCACTCTTCTACGAATGACGTCTTGTTTGGGGCCAATGGCTCAACACGCTTGGGTACAGGCGTCCCTCAGGGGAGGCACTACTAGGTGAACTGCAGCCACCAGGTATGTTGGAATCCAGACTGTATGTGATTTACAAAGCCTGCGAGCGAGAGAGCAGCAATTCTCAAACAACGTCATATGGGGTGAGGACAACGGATCAAGCAGCGTTGAGTTAATACGAGATAAGCTCTACAGCGCGAGATGATGGAGCCTGACTTGCCAGCGGGTGTGGAGCACCGCCTGTAAATGATCGGTGGGTTTGGGACGAGACCAAGATGCTGTGGAAGGAGTCGCCGATCGGTTCTCAAGGCGACACCCACGATACCGCATTGAATCGCAGCGGCAACATTCTCCGTGAGGCCTATAGATCAGCCTGAAGACGGTCTCTATTTCAGCGAATCTCATCCAGTTGCCCTCGTGGCCGCCAGCGGAAGACTAGCCGGCGCCTGCCACGCGACCCATCCAGGCCGACGGCGGTGCATTGCATGGCACTTGGCAGCCATCTGACCCGTGGGCAAGGAGAAGAACCATGAACAATGCTAGGCCAACGGGGGTTCATCCGAGCAAAGAATAAGATCAAGATACCGCTGCCCCCTGGGAGGGAATGGAGCCCCAGTCCGACGGGCTCGGCTAGTTTGGCCCCTTGGAGACCGTCCTGGGCAGCCCCGCCCATGCCCCGCCGCCAACTGGGATGGCCCCTGGCCAGGCTGCCCAAGTCGCATCCTCCCACCTGCGAAGAAGGGGAGGAGTGAGGGTGAGTGCAGCCTCGATGCAGACATATTGCACCCTTCGCGTCTTCCACCCCTCCCCACAGTGAGGATGTTGATATGTGCACAATGGTGTCGACGCCTGTCCAGTGGCACGGGTCATGCATGACTGGGATGGGATGAAATTCGCTTTCGCATTCGCTTTCGGGTTCGGGTAAGGGCCCCCACCGCATAAGACGGCATAACCCGCGGGTGGCGGGTGGCTGTGGGATGGAGGTTATGTAACCTCGCCCCCATGCAAGCATAACCCCATGGATAATCGGGGATAAGCTGCCGTCGGACTTCGCATGCGCCGGTGGTTCGGCCCCAGCGCCGAAATGAAAAGTTCGTCGACGGTGGGCAGCCTCGGTCGAGGCTGGGTATAAAGGCCCAAAGCTGCCCGTCATGGCGCCTTCCACGCGGCAGGGACAAAAAGATGGTGGACCAGACCGACTTGGAGAAGGGCGCGATCCCGCCGACCGTGCAAGCCTCCCCGGAGCTCGACCAAACCTCCCACCACCACCATGACGCCAATATCGTGGACTACGATGGCCCCGATGACCCGGAAAGCCCCTTCAATTGGCCGCGCTGGAAGAAAGGCCGCCAGCTGGTGTTGATGGCATTCAACACCTTCATCACGCCCCTGGCCTCCTCCATGTTCGCCCCCGGGGTGGAGGGGGTCATGAAGGATTTCCACTCCAGCAGTACCATGTTAGCATCCTTTATCGTGTCGGTCTACGTCCTCGGATATGTCATCGGACCGTTCCTCATCGCCCCGCTGTCGGAGATCTATGGGCGCGTGCCCCTCTACCACGTGTGCAACGTCCTGTTCCTCATCTTCACCATTGCCTGCGCCGTGGCCCAAACCATGCCCCAACTGATTGTGTTCCGGCTGCTGGCGGGCACGGCCGGGGTCTGCCCCCTGACCATTGGCTCCGGCACCGTGGCCGATATGGTGCCCAAGGAGAAGCGAGCCGGAATCATGGCCATCTGGGCCATGGGGCCGATCTTGGGTCCGGTGGTGGGACCCGTGGCCGGAGGCTTTCTGGCCGAGGACGAAGGCTGGCGCTGGGTGTTTTGGGTGCTGGCGATTGCGGTAAGTACTAGCTACTAGGGTTGACCCGGAATGATCCTTTTTGGCCAGAGTAAGACTGACTGACCCCCCTCGGGTCCAGACCGGTGTCATGACCATCCTCTGCATGATCTGGTACCGTGAAACCTACGCCCCCGTCATCCTCGAACGCAAGGCGGCGCGCCTCCGCAAAGAGACCGGCAACCCCAACCTCCGTTCGGTGCACGATCACGGCAAACAACCCCGCGAGGTTCTCCTGTCCGCCCTGGCGCGCCCGATTAAACTCCTCGCCAAATCTCCCATTGTCCTGCTCATGGTCTTGTTTGCCGCCATCACCTACGGCTACCTATACCTGATGTTCACAACCATCACGTCGATCTTTGAGGAGGTCTATGGCTTCTCCACCGGCCTGGCGGGCCTCGCATACCTCGGTTTTGGCATTGGGTGTCTCATTGGCCTGGTGGTGACCGGCGCGGTTTCGAACCGCATCGCCATGAGCCATTCGGCCAAAGGATGCTTCACCCCGGAATCCCGCTTACCCCCGATGATCTTCGGCTGTTGGGCCATCCCCATCGGGGTGTTCTGGTATGGGTGGGCGGCGCAGGCTCAAACCCACTGGATCGTCCCAATCCTGGGCACGGGGGTCTTCGCCATCGGTCTGATGACCGTCTTCATGTCCGCCAGTACCTACCTGGTGGACTCGTACCTGCGCTATGCCGCCTCTGTGACGGCCGCCAATACCGGGCTGCGGTCCCTATTCGGCGCCCTGTTGCCCTTGGCGGGGCCCTCCATGTACGACGCGTTGGGGTTGGGGTGGGGAAATTCCCTCCTCGCCTTCATTGCATTGGCCATGTGTGCCTGTCCCCTGTTCTTCTGGCGCTACGGCGCGCGGATCCGGACCCATCCACGCTTTCAGATCAAGCTGTAAAAGATACCCTAGAGTTGTATATAGACTATACCCCAAGACACATATAATAGACGAGACGATTCAAGAACATTCCGTGTGCTGAAGAGCGGGCCATAGGTCGATACGTAGTGGAGTGAACCTTTTCTTAGCGTGTAGCGCCGCCGCGCCGCCCCCCACCGTCCCAGCTTGCGTTAAATGGCAAGGGTATGGTGACGGGTTGGCGTTCATCTAACCGGTGGCAGCAGTGAGAACGGAAAGGCAGCTTTCGGCTGCTTCTGTGTTGACGAACCTAGCTGCATGGGCTCAGGGTCTTAACTCAGACCGACCAGCGGTCAAATAAAGACCGGGGGCCTCACAGTGGCTGCCACAAGCTTGTTGTCTGGGACGGCGGGTATATATATATGGGACGGGAGTAATCTCCGTAAGCGGCATGCTGATATGGTGAATGATGGGAGGGTCTGACCGCGCTGAGAATCGTCATGAAAAACTGTAGTGGTAGCGTGCTCAGTAAGGTAACAGCATCTTGCAACAGGATGAATAACCCAGATAAACAATTCAAGGATGATAAGATGAGATCAGGCTGGGATAACCCGAAAATGTGCATAGTTAACAAAAACATCGTCGCTTAGCTGACTAAGCCACCGTCTTTCCACGTGATCCATAGGTCCCAGCGCTTCTCTTCTCTTCACCTTCATCTTCATCTGCCTTCTCTTGAGAACCCCCCCCCCCAAACCGCCCTGCAGATGCCTAGCGTCATTCCACTCCCCTTCTTCCCACCGGCTGATGTGATTCAATCTAGTATCCCGCGGGTTCGCTCTTCGCCGGAAAACATGGCTGGTCAAGACGGCGCGCACACAGTTCTCTCCACGCGGTCGGAGTAAACCGATCGACGATCTCCTTGAACGCTGCCTGGCGGGTGGCCACCGTGTCAGATCATGATCTCTACCCCAGGGAAGACTCTCTACCTACCAACGTGCAAAAGCTCTTGTCGCCTCGCCAGTTCCGACCGGGAAGTCTGCAACCCGGTACCACCAATACTCGATTGTTGTAGCGGAGGCGGACATAATACTGTTGGAGGAACTGTTTCTGCTGGTCGGAGAGCTCAGACACCGGACTGCGGCCGATCAACGGCAGGCTGGACCCTCCATCGAGTGACGGAGCCGTGTTTTGGTCCTGGAATAGCTCAATGGCCAGGACGGATCCGTACGGAGGCCAGTTACCCGACCCAGTCAAGTCGACCGAGCCCAGGGACGTCGCTATGGCTCCTACCGTTGAATCGTGCGAGCCCGCCAGAAAAAGCTTCGGGCTGGACCCGGGGCGTGTGTCGTCCGCCTGTCTCTGCGCCGTGTTCACCATCCGCTGCACTACATCCCCGAGAATGGACCCAATTCCGAGACGTCGTGCTTCCTCGTTCTCCTGATACATCCCGAATTCCTCTTCGTACGCGATGTGCTCGATGATTTGCACCGTCCCATCGTCGTGAAACTCCCTCGGGAGACGAATACCTGGCGAGCCGCTGGCAGACGTGCAGCTGACGATGTCATGAATGGCGTGAATGCTGGGTCTGGAATCCACGGCGATCAGCTGCCTCGGTGGCATGAATTTCCCGAGGAGCATGTTGAGGTGGTCGACCTCTGCGCTGTGATTCCCTGGGGTGCGACGGTTAGATCTTCTCCATGCCACTCTGGCTGGGGGGCGAGCAGAGTAAAGCACTCTCACATTTGGCAGCAGTCCGGCGCGCATATGCCTTACTGATCTGAATGAAGCGTTCACAGTAGTCCTCGTTCGGCAGTAGGGTCTCTTCCTCAGGACTTCGCATGACGATGCGTGGCTGTCCAAAACTTGATGCGCGAGTACCAGGAGGCAGGAGGCCCATGATAACATGCTGCAAGGACTCCAGTGCCCTGGGGTATGGGGATGCGCGAAAGCTTATGGTATCCGGTTTGGTCAACACAGCAGGAAGAAAGTTCAGCCGATCAATGTAGAGCCTGCGGAGCTCGGCCCCTAGGGCGACCATTGCTGCTCGACCATGATCGGTAAGCTCTCCGTGGAAGCTACGTCCGTCAGGCTTTGATGTCAGCTCAGGGCCCCGTAAGCGCTTGTTGGGCCGTGCTCACCATAGATTGTCACTATCATTTGGCACCAAAGGACCATCGTCAGTATCAAATGTCTCTATCACTCGCTGCCACCCCAAAGGAATATTCTTTTCCTGCTTAGCGTTGTCGAGTAACCCCGTTCTCCGGTGTCTCACCCCGGCACATAGCGGCCAGACTGTATACATCCACCACTTAGCTTAGTGCGCACCAGTCTTGCTGGGAACATACATCGGGGCAGACCAAGTTGCTAGATGCTTATCAGCAGTATACGAGACACGTGTGTCCAGGTAGCCTACCTTGGGCGAAAACGGGAGCTGTGGGCGTTCGCGCCCCTCCAGAAATTCAGATATAGTGCCAACTATAGCACGAGATGGTGGCTTACCATGTCGGAAGAACTGTTCATCGTGAGCTTGAGTAAGCAAGGCACGTAGGTTGTACTGACAAGATTGACAGATTGAAGGGAAAGTTCCTCCGGATACGGCACATTCGGATCCTCGGCGGAGAACAAATTGGCAAGCTCTGACTGTCGTAGTATCTCATCCCCCTGCAGACGATTCTCTCGACGGGGACTACGTTCTTGCGTGTCCTGCCAGATCAGCTGTCGCAGAGCTTGTACTAGAAGGGGTTTTGCTGAATACTGGGGTCGTCCGTGTTGCGGTTCTGACGGCCTTTGTGTGTAGTGCAACTAGTATTGGAGATCTGGCGTCCATGCCACAACGCCCAAGTCCCCTCTGTATTGATGGTGCACAATGACATACGGACCATTGTACGGCAGTTGGGATCCCAACTGGTCAGCGGATGCCATGGTCCTTGTGTGCTAGACTGCCGATCCCTCTGCGACCATGCTATATTCTACCTTTCGCCAATGCATTGGATCAATAAATCTCAGAAGGGCAATACAAGGAAAGGGGCCATTGTTGCGAGGATGACCTTCACCTCTGCCTTCCTAAAAGAATCACCCATCCGAAGGCTCTGACTGCCCCAATAAATTCGTCCGATTTCTTGATGTCTCAATAATGACCAGATCGCCAGCCGATCGCTGATTGTAAACCACAGTGCAGAATATAACATGATTCCCCGCTCATCTTCGCAACCCGAACCAGCCTACCAAAATACATGCTAAGATCTCAGGTCGACCGACCGTTGGTCTCGCAAATGGGCTCTGCCTTGGACCAGAATGTGTCACCATAGTCACGATACCATTCTAAGGTTATTGCAAGAGCGTCGTCGAAGGAGACTTGTTCTGTCCACCCTAGCAGCCGGAGCTTGGAGTCATCGGTCCAATACATCCGGTCATTGAACGGCCGGTCCTCCACCATTTCCAGATATTGTTCACATCCCTCGCTGCAACCGGGATGGAACCACTGTAGGATCTTTTCTGCGACGTCTCGGACCTGAATTTGCTCCCGCGAGGCAATGTTGTAGGTCTCGGATACGATTCCGCGGTGGAAGATGATATCGAAGGCGTTCATGGCATCGGCGGCGAAGACGAATCCGCGCATTGCCTTCCCATCGCCATGGACTGTCATGCGCCTGGAATTAAGCAACTGCATGGCGAGCTTAGGGATCAGTTCTGCGACACGTTATGTCAGAAATCCGCAGCCTCGGGCATCGGAAACATGGGCTTCTCACTTTCGGGATACTGGTAGGGACCAAACACGTTATTGCAGCGAGTGATAATGATGGGCATGTGAAATGAATGAAGATATGCGTTCACAATCATCTCCGCGGCGGCTTTGCTGGCCGAGTACGGATTCGTGGGATTCAGCCGGTCTTCCTCCGTAAATGCATAGCTCTGGCCCGGCTCATTCTCCCCGTATACCTCGTCTGTTGAGACATGGATAAATCGACGCACTGTCCTGGATTTCCGCGCCGCCTCGAGAAGAATATGGGTGCCCGTGACGTTGTTCTGCGTGAAAGGGATGGGGTCAACAAAAGAGTGGTCCACATGGGAGTTGGCCGCGAAGTGGACAACGGCATCAATCCTAAACTGCTGGAAGAGGGTCGCAACGCTGCGAGAGTTGCACAGGTCGCCCTCGATGAAATGAAAGTTTGGCAGATGCTCAATCGGCTGAATGTTTCGCTTGGAGGCGCAGTAGTCGAGGATGTCAAAGCAGAGAATCGTATACCGCTCTCCGTATACCCGGAGGAGATGCCGGACAAACCACCCCCCACTGATGAAGCCGCGTCAGCCTGACGGATTGTATACGGACACCGATCTCAGGATGGGACGTCAGTGCCAGACTCACATGAAGCCTGCCCCTCCAGTGACCAAGATGGTCTTCATGTCACCGGCGCCATCATCCCCTGACTCTCCATTACCGAGACCCAGCTCCTGAATTGTCATCCTGTTGATGCTTCTGTGTAATGCTGGTGCCTCCACATCGCATTTATTGCACGAAGATACTCCAGCACTATAAGTGAACACAAACTCGGAGCTTCACCAATTAGTCGTGCCACAGCTCGCTCCGCGCTCTGCCATTTATAGCACGCATCTATGTTGTCATGCCCTTCGTATTGATTGCCTGCTTTGCTTTTCCGGGGTTATCCTCATCGTATAGTACGCAGGACGAAGGGCTGTGATGACCTGCACCCTGTCAGCGTCTGGATGACGCTGAAGACAAAGATCTTTGCTCGTGGGAGTCTGCCCAGTCCAATGACTCGGTCGCATTCTTACCATTAGGGTACACAATTAGGTGACGCGAACTACTAACCCAAGCTGTGGGAGGGACACCTACAAACCGACTCTCCCCCGTCCAGCCCGGGAGGCAAGATAGCGAGAGGTAGGCGAGCATCACGTATGCCAATCCCGGGGCTGATGGTAGACACAGGTTAGTCACAGAATACAGTATACGCGGCTATTACTCACCGATTGCCAGATGCGTTGACCATCCGTCTCGTCGCCTCCGACGTGCTGGTTTACATCTGAACCACCAAGGATACCTTGTATCCCTGGTACATGAATGACACGATAGCTACGTTGTGTCTTTAGGGCAATGCAGAGATCACTAGGGCTCCGTGAACGAAGGTACCGTGGAAAGGAGTAGAATTCAGCGCAAGCTCCGTCCCGGGCTTTGATGCTAACCATGGCAAGCACTTCCTCTGGAGCTGCAACACCTTAGATGAACAGGCCGATAGCTACCCCTACGGAGCCGGGCTCTGTAACCTGACATCATCACCGCGGAACGTATGTACGGCAAGTCATTACTTCTGGAGTCTGACCGGTCAGACGGGTCACTAGACCATCGTCCACGCCCCGGAGAAGGACATGGATGTGCTCAATTGCCCGAACACTCTGCCATTTTTGCCGATTTTTAAACCAGATCAGCCCATCGCTATGCTCACGCGCAAAGGCAAACGTCTCTTGCACAAAGTTGTCGATGCGCTGCCTCGACTCTGGAGTCGGGTCACCTTCCTGATCCACAGCGAGCGGCGTTCTCAGCCACACCACCAGGTGGGTGATGTCAGGAGTTGTCCCATATGGCCAGTCGTTGCGAAGAATCCGGTAGTCGGCTGGATTCGCGAATGGAACTGGGTCGACGCACGGAAAACTGCTGCCATCTGCCGGGGGGTCCCAATGCAGTCGCTCGCTCAGGACATATTGTATGACCGAGCCGTAGCTGGCCCTAATCTGCCGAGTCCACAGAATGTAGTTCCGGAGATCCGTGGGGCCACGCTTCAGCATGGACAGATCGCCGTTCGCTATCCAGCCCTCAACATTAGCATGCGGATCGGGCATAGGTGACGTCGTGCAGAAGGGGGCATACCGATGATCTGCTTGATGTCATTCCAGGCGTGGGGGGTAAAATCCTCCGCCTTCATTAAGAGTGACTCTCTGTCAGCCTCGCTCAGTTCGAAGGGCGGATTTTTGATCAGCTCGCTGACGTCCCCAATTTCGGTCATGGTCACGGGCACTAGAAAGTAACACAAGCTCGACTGGAGTAGATTCGGCGATATCCTTTGCTGATGTGCAACAGTCTGCTCCTCGAGCCACACCGTGTCTTCCGCCAGGGGGCGTTACGATTGACGGCTGGTTCGTTCGAAGCGGGGGTTATATTACGATCGAGGGGCTCCCCAGTAGAGGGAGTAGATTTATACATGGGTTATCCCTGCATCCTGGGCCGGACACGCTCGTGGTATTTGTGGCGGGGGTTCATGAATATGCACGCTCAGTCAGATATGGGGTCACGCGAGATGGATGGCTGGCGAGAAGCGGACTGGGAGTAACCTTCTTTAACCTGAGCTAACACCGGGACTCTCTCGATCCCTCAGATCTATCCTGTCACGGCTTAAGCGCAGTATGGCCGAAATCCATCTCATCGCCACCCTTCGACCGGCTCCCGGTAAAGCGGCCGAGGTACATCCTTCCCATTTCCTCCCCCGGTTTGCGTTGCGTCGTTCATTATTCACCGATCTCCAGCTCCGACAGATTCTCTGCGAAACAGCAGAAAATGTAGAGCAGCTCGAACCCAGTTGTTTGACCTTCCTTTTGACGGAATGTCGCCGGCCTGATGACACCATAGAATTCAAGGTCATCGAACGGTAAGGGGACGGCCTCCTCCATCAGCGTTTGGCCGAGGACATTGGCTGACTCCGCACCCAGCTGGGCAAGCCAGGAAGCGCTTGAGCAGCATCAGCATAAGAGCTGGCTGCGCACCATGTACACAGCCTTCGACGAGAGGGATTTATTGGCGGGCCCGGAGGAGATCGAGATGCTGAAGGTCATCTCTGGTTTTACCACACGCTAGAACATGCTTCTCATTCCAAGAACCCGAGGCCGTTGCTCATCCTTGGTCCATTCCTACCATCATCCATCGCTGTAGCATTCCAATGCGCATCCCAGAGTACACTCCCGGTAGGATAGCTTGCCACGCAGGTAGCAGCGATTCAGCCGGGAGCAACCTCGGCCCCCCACAGGCTAAGGCCCAACAGGCAGGCTGTCGGGTATGCGAAAAGAACAGTACCAAACGCACCAATTAGGATTCGAATCGGGGTCTGACTGCCCTGTTCGGGCGCTGGAAGGACGGCTTCTCGGATGCTGTTGCGTCGCACAGCTGCCTTCCGAACAGGCCCGCGGGTTCGAGGCCGGGGAGCACAAAAGATGGAAGAGGATAGGATTCTCATTCACCCTGACCCATATACGAACGCAGTGTTCACATTGTACCACCTGGGCTGGGTTTCAGCTTTGGCAGCCATCCGGTACAGGAGCCATGCTCGATGGTTGGGTAATTTAAATATCTCGACCGAAGGGTTGGACCGTCCTCTGCGGCCCTCTGCAGCCTTCTGCGCCCTGAGGCAGCACCGACGACCTTGTCTCATCTCCTTGCATACATCCTGTTCCCCCACACCATGTCTGTGCAGCAGCTCCGGTCGTCGACCACCTTTGCGGTCATTGTGGTCTGTGTCGCCGTCTTCACTGACATCTTCCTTTATGGGCTTGTGGTGCCCATGCTGCCCTTTGCCCTCGCCGACCGGGTGGGCCTGTCGGACGCTGACATTCAGCCTTGGAACTCCATCCTCTTGGCCACCTACGGGGCGGCTATCATGTTGGGCTCATGTGCGTGCGTTGCCTGCCGAGAGTGACCACCACGCGGATTCTTACTGATCGATGCGCATAGTGCTCTTTGGGTGGATGGGCGACCAAACCCGCACCAAACAACTACCCTTCCTGCTGGGCGTCGGAGTCATGGGAGGTGCCACGGTCCTCTTCTCCCTGACCATCTCGCTGCCCTTGATCGTCCTCGCCCGCGTCCTGCAGGGCTGTTCCACGGCCATTGTTTTTACGATTGGGTTCAGCCTGTTGGTGGAGACCGTGGGTGACCGACACATCGGGCGCGCCATTGGGTTCACGAGCATGAGCCTCAGCATCGGCATCTTCGCGGGGCCCATCGTGGGGGGATTCTTGTACGACCTGGCCGGTTACTTTGCCGTCTTCATCCCCGCCTTTGTCCTCATTGCCCTGGAGTTTCTACTGCGGGTACTGCTGATCGCGCCGACCCACGATCCCGGGCTGACGCACGCCCTCATCCAAGATGAGCAACGGCCCCTCATGCCGGACACTGGAGGTCATGACGCTCGACAGCCAAAGAGACCACCGGCCGTGGTAACCTTGATGCGTATGCCGCGATTTCTTGTTGCGATGGCGGGCATGTTCCTGCTGAACTGCTTCATGACGGCCTTCGAGGCAGTCCTGCCCGTCTACCTCCCGGAAGTCTTCCTCTACCGGTCGACGCAAATCGCCATTGTGTTTCTGTCTAATACTCTGCCGATGATCTGCTCCCCACTGGGCGGATCGATGGTAGACCACCTGGGACCGTTTTGGCCCGCGGTCCTGGGCTTCGGGCTGATCACCCCGAGCATGATGCTGCTCTCTCTGATCCGGGAGCCCAGCCCGTTGACATCCCTGCTGCTGCGGCTTTTCCTGTTTCTCTTCGGCTGTGGGGTCTCTGTCGCCATGCCGGCCATGATGACGGAAGTCACTTTGGCCAAGGATGCCATGGAGGAAGGAGAGCCCGGAATCTTTGGGGATCTGGGTGCCTGTTCGCAGGCCTACGGTCTGAGTAATGCCGCGTTTGCTGGTGGGACACTGGTTGGTCCGTTGTATGCGGGATACGTGCGTGAGGCGGCTGGTTGGACGGCCATGAACATCTCCATGGGGGCGTTCAGTGGACTGATGGTGATACTGGTTATTGTATTTACTCCGCGAAAAAGGCCGGGGGTGGTCCGGACGACGCGGATGGGGGCTTGATACAGAACAATGATATCATGTAGACTACCTGAATATCCCATACTCATAAATCTGCACACAGGATCGACATCACATAGTATTAGGCTTGCTTTGTCGCCATGTTCACCGGGTACGCCTCGGTCTCAATTACGTCCGGGAATGATAATCCGTGAGCCCGACGAATTTCATCTAGAATTTCCATGACTGCCAAAGTCTCCGTCCACGGCAGGCCCGCGCTTTCTAGCTTCCCATCGCGGACACATCGAGCGACCTCATCTGCCTCAAAGCACAGCCCATGGGCGCCCCCGGGAATGGGAAACGCGAACTCCTCCGCTTCTCCGACCATCCCGAATCGCTGCTCCCGTTTGACGATGCGGTATTTCGACGGACACCAGGGACGCCCGTAGACTTGGATCTCCCCCCGATCGCCCTGGATCCGCACCACCGGGGTCTGGCCATCTGGATCTCCCATGGCCCGGAGACTGGCACTGGCCACCGCCTGCACCGAGGATGGATATGGCGGATCCGCCGGGAAGGTCATGAGGATGGTGGTCGATTCGTCCACGCCGGCGGAGTCAAGGGGTGTCATCGTTGATAAGATGGTGCTAGGCTTTCGATTCAGCAGACAATGAAGAGCCTGTAAGACCCAATGGATGGGATATACGCCCACTGTGGACATCACCGTCAGCGCGTCCAACTTAACGACACGAGCATCACGTACAATCCAGCAACGCACCCCCGGCCAACTCCTTCTTGGTTAAATAGCTGTCCTTCAACTCCTGCAGAGCGTCGGTTCCGATCGAGTTATCCGCAAACACACGAAGCACCGGCCCGATGGCGCCCTCTTGGATCTGCTGGCGAATCTGAATGGCAATGGGCAGGAACCGCGTCCACATGCCCTCCATGAGGAAACATCCCCGTTCACGAGCCGTTTCGACGAGCTTGCGCGCCTGACCAGCCGTGACCGTAAAGGCCTTCTCACAGAGAACATGCTTTCCCGCGCGCAGGGCGAGCATGGCATTCTGGTAGTGATGGGAATGCGGCGAGGCGATATAGACGGCGTCTACGCGGGGGTCCGCCACCAGAGCGTCGTAGCTACCATACGCAAGGGCCGTCGACGCCCCGACGCGGTCGAGGAACTGTTGGGCGATCGCCGGCGATCGCGCAGATGCCACCGCCAGCAGTACATGCGACACATCGGCGACACCGCGGGTGGTTGGATCGGAGAGCAGGTCTTTGGCAAAGGCTGTCTGCTCGTTAGGGATATACTTCCTGAAAAGCTTGGGGGGTAGAGGAGGGAATATACTCTCGGCAATCGTTCCGGTGGCTGTGGAAGAGTTCGAGTTAGCGGGGTGGGCTGGGTGGGGACAGCAGGAACATACCGAGAATGCCCCAACGAAGGCAGAACGGAGGGGATGGGGGCGTCGAAACCATTAGCTTGACTGTTGGCCTGCTATCCAGTACCCTGGCTTCTCAGCAAGCCGGAGTGAGGGTAACTCGCAGATTGTCTCGAGGACGGCTGGAGTCATTGAGATAGTCGGCTAAGTTGTGCCGACGTGCAGAGAATCCGCCCATCCCCGCTCCAGGTGGAAACGCTCCGAGCAATGCATCGAATGGGGTTATCCAGGTGGCGTGCAGGGCCAGCTGGCTGGTGACGTCGGCCCCGAAGGAAGGGCGTTCATTGGCACATCCCATCCCTGCGTATCACGATTTATGTCAGTGGCTGATCGGCATCCCAAGGCCGTCTTGGACCGATTGCATATCGGACTCCAAGAGGGCACTGGAGATGTCACGGCTGACAGTCCTTGGAGAGACACCCCGGCTATGGCATCGGAACCATGCGCATCCTACCCCCTGCAGTGGTTGTCATACTATCAGAGTCAACTGCATCACACACCACCACAGAATGATGCAGTGTAGCTCCGCATCCATCTCGTATCCGTTGGATTCTGCCCAGTGCCAGCGTCAGAGGAACCTTCTTCTTCCACCCTCGGTGATGAGGTCGCCAGAGCCGACGCGGTCTACATCAGCACTTATACATCATCACCTCCAGGCAGCCGCGATACTGACAATGACCCCCCCCTTCGAATTGCGAAGATCCAGCATGGCGGAGACGGTCATTCCCACCACCATCCCCACCGTCACCGGGCAGGAAATCGCGGCCATCCAAGATGTGCTCCGCACGCGCACCCTCACCGGCAAGGGCAAATACACGGTGCTCTGCCAGCGCTGGCTGGAATCCTCCATGATCGGTGGTAAGGCCTTTGTCCTCAGCTCGTGTACCTCCGCGCTGGAAATTGCCGCCCTCCTGGCCGACCTGCAACCCGGCGATGAAGTGATCGTGCCGAGTTACACCTACGTATCCACGGTGAATGCCTTTGTTGTTCACGGGGCGGTGCCGGTCTTTGTTGATCTGGACGATGCGACCATGAACATCGATGCGCAGCGCATCGAAGCTGCCATTACCCCCCAGACCAAGGTGGTCGTGCCCGTCCACTATGCCGGGATTGCCTGTGACATGGACACGATTCTGGCCATCGCCGACAAGCATGGCCTGCTCGTCGTCGAGGATGCCGCCATGGCCTGCGGAGGCACGTACCAGGGCCGGGCGCTCGGGACCATCGGCCATCTCGGCTGCATCAGCTTCCAAGAGAAAAAGGTCTTCACCAGCGGCGGGCAGGGAGGAGCCCTGCTCATCAACCAGGAGTCGCTGGCTGCCCGGGCTGAGATCATTTACGAACATGGCACCAATCGGGGGCAGTTCCTCCGCGGCGAAGTGAACGTCTATCGCTGGCTAGATGTCGGCATCAACGCCACGATGAGCGAGATCCAGGCCGCATTTCTGTATCCGCAGCTGCAAGCCGCCCCGGACATCCTGGCGCATCGCCGACACCTCTGGACGCGCTATCACCAGCGTCTGGCACCGCTGGCCCAGACGGGGGTGATCCAGCTACCCCAGGTGCCGGAGGGAGCCATCCACAACGCAGTGATCTTCTGGCTTCGCCTCACCGACGCCTCTCGCCGACCCGAGTTCATCCGACACATGGCCGCCGGGCAGGTCTGCACCCAGGCGCAATTCGTGCCGCTGCACTCCTCGCCGTTCGGCCAACAGGTCGGGCGCTTTCACGGCGAGGATCGGGTGACTACGCGTGCTGCCGCGGAGATTGTCTTGCTGCCGCTGTACTCGGAGCTGACGGAGACGAGCCAGGAGGTGGTCATCCGGCGGGTGCTGGCCTTTTGGGATGATGCCAGGCCGTCGGATGGGATTCCGGGATTGGGGTCTTAGAGTGAGTCTAGATGACATGAAAATGAACTTCCTTATTGGTTTAGTGGATAATGCAGCTGGGATATCTTGAAGCGGTGTCATGAAAGCTTTTCCTCTCGCCAGTCGGGGGCGCATATATATCCTTGTGGGAGGCCTTTCTAGGGCTACCCAGAAACATACTCCCCAGCAATCGCCATGCTAGCGAGCACATTTGATTTTTACATCCGTAACATGCCAGAAGACGGCATGGACAAGTCTCCCATGTCATCATAACACACATGCACCAAACTGGTTGCAACCTCTCAGGCCTTCTCCGTCCCCACCGGGCCCTCCTGGCCCTCCTTGACTGCGGTCTGCCCCGACGGCAAGCTCAACACGCGACCCAACGACTTCAACCCATGGCCCAAGATATACAGCCCCAAGCTGAGAAAGTTGACCCACAGAAGTCCGATGCAATACACCACAGCCTGAGGCGGGATCCATCGGAACAGTTGGGTGGGATCGAAGCCGGTCTTGTCCTTGAACTCGTCAATCTCCGCCAGAGCTGTAGTAGGCGTGTCCGGCTGGTCGGGGGTGGGTGTAGTGGTGGTCAGATTCTCCAGGTTGGGGTCGTTGTAGATGACCGTGGCCAGGACGCCGCCGACGAAGGTCAGGAAAAGCAGGAGGACGCCTTTGGCAAGCAGCTCGTACAGCCAGGTGCCGCAAAAGACGAGGTGGACCAGCGCCCCACGACGCGAGCCATGATGGGCCGTGGCCAGAAGGTGCGCGAGGGTGCCGTCGTGGGACTGAAAGCGGACGAGCAGGCGGCAGACGAGGAAGGTCACCAAGCTGCTGGAGGCGAGGGTGCCCACGATGGTGGCTTCGGTGTTGAGGACGTTGATGGCGGTGAAGCTCAACGCGGTGGCCGTCCACGAGGTCAGAAACAGCACGGCGAGCCCCGTCGAGAGCCGACCGGCGAGACGCGCGAGGGAGGCCATGACCGACAACACGGAGGGAAAGTCTTTGTCTGCTACTTTCCTTCGGGCGTGGGTTCAGAATTTATATGTAGTGGCCGGGCTTGGCGATCGAAGCGAGGGATGGACCCTGGACTCAGGGCCTCGCCTATTCCCCAAACGGGCGCGAACGAGGCTATTCCAGGCCCAATGCGGTATGAAGCCGCCCTGGGCCAAGACCCGCCCCACCGGTTTCTTTGACCAGTTCGCGCCCTCATCTCCGGCCTGCCTGTGCTCCGTAGGCAGACATGGCTGCCTGTGATGTTCACTGGTGCTCTTGATGGGCGACAGAGTGCAGACTGGATGATGTCTTGCCGGTTCCATGTTCCAATCTGTGTCGGTCCGGGCTATCCGGACCGCCATTATTCCCTCTCATCCCGATCTGCCCCTGGCCCCGTGTCTTTCCACCGGTCGGAACATCCCCATGTTGCTCCTTATCGCACTAGAGGACCTCTTCGATCGATTGGAATGCAATTCGGTCTCTTCTTGAGTTCTTGGCCTCAGGACTGGAGATGGTGGTGATGGGATGGAATAGGGGGCTGGCTTGGCGCGGAAAAGCTTATTCGGGGCGGGTGTTTCAGGAGTTGCAATGCTGTTCAGCACTTCAGCGGCCGATCGGCGCCACGGTCTCTTCACATTCTGCAGCCGGAGAGACTGTGTGTGTACTTCGGATCGTCCGATGACCTGCAGCGTGGGTGCCAGTGACCAGACCACCCAGCCTGCTGGTGGCGATCGAGCAGGCGGGCTTGGCGAGACGTCATACTGGGGCGGTCGAGGGATGTGATGCCATCGTATGCCATCCATAGTATTGGGGGATTTGATGATGTCGGGAGGTCGTCTGTACCTGCAATGAACGAGTCAGGGCTCACCCAGATGTCATCCATGCCCTGGCGTATCCTCGCTGCGGACGGCCGGAATAACCCCATGGTGCCCTATGCCTGACGCAGGACACGCACTCCTGGCGGATGAAGAAGATGACCGGCTGGGTTGACACGCGCAGGACCTATTGTGATTCCAACACCCGCTGAACGGACTGGTCCAGGCCAGCGGTTGCGGTGAATCCCAACGGCAGTAGGCAGTTTCATGCGTTTCCAGTAGAGTGCCGGGCGCCATCCAGCCCTCGGTCGGGGGCGGACGGGGGGCGATGCTTATGCTCCTGTCAGATTGCATCGGATCCAGAATGGGATGGGATGGCCGGCGCCATCGGCATCTATTCGTGACAGACCCTAGTTCAATGAGATGAGATCAGTGAGACTGCAGCCTGCAGAGTGCAACTCCGAGGAGTCTCCGAAGAACCCCCCGAGGCAGGTAACGGCCTGTCAATTTCCTCGTGTCGGTCCCGGTGGCATCACGGCACTATGTATCTGGACACGGCATGAACCATAGGACCGCGCCAATATAGCGTGGCCCTCTCCATCACAACATTCTGGCACGCCGTCGGATGCACCAGCCGAGCGCTGGCCGGATAAATCCTTCAAAAAAAAAAAACTCGTCGCGCGTCGTGGCCGACCACGATCGATCCCCGCCATGGCCCAATAAGTGGGATTGATCGGTTGGGATGACCGTCCACACCGTCATGGGGAGGCGAGAAAACCGGCCAACCAGCCAAAGAAAAGGGGTCAGGCCAGGAACCAAACCCTGTTCAGTGCTGGCCCTAAGCTTTCCGACAGCCCCAGTCGGGGCTCCACCCATGATGCCAACCGCGGCACTGCGATGGGCTGCCCGCACCCTCAGAACCGGCTCTCCTTGTCGATCCTGTCCTTCCACAGCCCCCCCATGGCGTGGGTGGGTGGTCTCGCGCGCGCCAGTCGGAGTCCTGAGGAGAGGAGAACAAGAAGAGGGGGGACCCATGCCCTCGTCATGGCCCATGCTTCCCACCACCGTCGATGCCCGTCAATTTCTGGTCGGTTTTTTTTTCTTTTTTTTTTGGAATTTGCTGTCCACCTGCTTTATTGCGTCCATCGCCCGGACATGGGGACTGCCCTTTCCCAGTGACATACATCCAGCGCACACTTGAACCATCGAGAATTTCGCCGCAGCATGGACGACGGCGAACCCAGACGTCCCCGGGCGAGGGTAAGTGCCTGCTCCTTTCTACCGTCGCTATGGCTGACCCAGATCCCCCGGAGCAGTCCGATGTGGCCTCGCCGCGCGATGAGACCGCACCTCGATCCCCTCGATCCCCCATGTCGCCCCCGCGCCGACGAGGCACGACTGGGGATGGCGACTTGATCTCGCCCACCCGCCGGGCCACGGGCCTGGACGACCTCGGGTCGGGCATCCGCCGCCACAGTTCAGCGGCCTCCCGCCGCAGTGGCAGCGGCGTCCCCAGTCTGGCGCCCCGGACCACCCTGGCCGAGCGCACGCAGGGCCGCTTCACCATGGCCGGTCCGGATGAGACGCCGCAGCTGCGCCTGGCCCACGAACCCTTCGTCCAGCCGGGCTACGGCGACCTCAACCCGGCCTACGAGCAGCCGGCCAATGCCAAACCCGTCTGGGGGTTGGCCAAACCGCTGCCCCGGGTTGTGCGGTCGGGCATGGTGCCCACGAAGGAGGAACTGCTGCAGGCCCGGGCCAACGTGCAGCTGCCGGCCGAGAATTCCCAGAAGCTCGGGCTCGAGGTCGACCCCAACGACCTCGAGCAGGGCCAGATCGAGAAGACGGCGGACCCGCGCAAGATGGCGGCCCAAGTGGAGGATGCCCGGCTGCAGCGCGAGACCAACTTCATGAACAAGATCCTCAGTGGCGATGCCACCACCACCACCCGACAAGGTTCGCGCCTCTCCCGCACCTCGTCCTCGCGCATCCGCCGGCCGTCGGCCTGGGATCTCCCCCCGGAGAACCTGTCCACGGTGCCCGAGGGCGAGACCCCCGCCCCCAGTGAGACCCCCGAGGAGGGGTTCCCGCCCCAGAGTGACGAGCCCCTGGAGCCCGTCCCCGAGGAGCCCGAGTGGCGTGCTGACGATGATGGGAAGGCCGGGCTGGCTGGGCTGGACGATCTCCCCAGCCTGGACGAGATCGAGGCGGCGTATCCGGACGATCTGCATCCCCTGGTGCAGGAGCTGGTGGAGGACGAAGTGCACAACAACCACACCACCTGGTCCGTGATCCGCACCCACCACCGCGAGGCCCTGGCCGAGTCCCTGGGCGTCTTCGTGCAGCTCTTCGTCGGCTTTTCCGCCGATCTGGCCGTGACGCTGGCTGATGCCGGCAATCCCAACACCACCTCGTGGGCCTGGGGGTTGGCCACCATGATGGCCATCTACGTGTCCGGTGGGGTGTCCGGGGCCCACCTCAACCCGACCATCACCATCATGCTCTGGTTCTATCGCGGGTTCCCCAAGCGCAAGATGCCCGAGTACTTTGCCGCGCAGTTCCTGGCGGCCTTTATCGCCGCCCTGGCCGCGTACGGCCTCTACTACGAGTCGATCCGACACTACCTGCTGACCCACGACACCACCGACATCATCACCAGCTTCGTGACCAGCCAGCGCGAGGCGTGGATCGGGCCGGGGACGGCCTTTTTTACCGAATTCCTGGGGACCATGGTGCTGACGGTGGTGGTGTTGGCGCTGGGGGACGACCAGAACGCCCCGCCGGGTGCCGGGATGAACTCGCTGATCGTGGGTCTCATGGTGACCTGCAATACCATGACCTTTGCCTATCAGACGGGCGCCGCCCTCAACCCCAGTCGGGACTTTGGCCCGCGTCTCGCCCTGCTGGCGCTGGGCTATGGGTCGTCGCTGTTCACCAACCCCTACTGGTTCTACGGGCCGTGGGCGGGTTCCTTGACGGGGTCCTTCCTGGGGGCGTTTTTGTATGATTTTTTCATCTTCACGGGGGGCGAGTCGCCGGTCAACTACCCCTGGGAGCGGACGCAGCGGGCCATGCGGAAGAGCCGGATGAAGTGGCAGCAGCGATTGCGGCTGTCGCGGCGGGAGCGCGGCGAGAAGACCGTTCGCTGAGGGCCGAGGAGATTGATTCCGGGGTGGTCGGGGGGTTGGATGGGGGGAGGGTGAATATTGTACATACATACGGGTTCTGTGATGATTGCTTTTCCTTTTTTCTATATGATAGCTACGTTATACCAGTGCTGTTTCTCCACCGCCTCGTGGCATTCTCGTGGTGGCATCGGGGCATCCCACCCACCTCGGGATCCCGATCTCAGGCATCACCCTCTCCAGCCAGGGACCGGCGTGTGCCTTGGAAGCAACCCCGGAATTCCTGTCAATCCTGCTCATTCGGCTGGGTGGCCAGGCGGGCGACTGGTTCACGACCACTCGGTTCCACCCCGACCGTCTGTGACGTCACGAGCCTCGACCTGCGTCACGGCTGAACAATCAATTGTTATACGTGCAGTTGGCACATCCGAATGATGATGCATCACACAACCTCCATCCGGCCATTGAGTGATCCGCGTGCATCATCTCAGCCACAGCCTGCTGTGTCTGTCGGCTCAACCCTCTCCCACCCTCGCTGCTTCACACACACCACGCGGCATCCACCCGAGATGGGCCCCGATCCCACTGGCAGCAATGCAATCTCGCCCCTTCGCAAAGTCACCTCGTCGGTGACCTGGGGCTGGTATGCCATCTCGCTCAGCTGGGGGGGAATTGCCGTGCTGCTGCACCAGACCCCGCATCAATTCACCGGCCTCAACACCATCGGCACCATCATCTTCATCGCCAACCTGGTCCTCTACACCACCGTCACTGTGTGCCTCCTCGTCGAGGCCGTCCAGCCCCGCAAGGCCCCCAAGCCCTGGGAAGACGAGTCGCCCAACTTCGCGGCCCGCTGGCTGCATATCAAGAACCCCCAGGATGTCTTCTTCATCCCCGTCGCGCTGCTCGCCTTCGCCACCATCATCTTCGGCACCGCCTCCTATGGCACGTCGCACTGCGGGCGCTGGCTGATCCTGACCCTCAATGTCTTCTTCTGGATCTACACGGGGGGGTCCCTCCTCCTGGCCATCGCCCTGGGCTGGTGGATTCCCTACACCGGCACCACGCACGGCAGCCACTACGCCATCGTGCAAGTCCTGCCCTACTTCCCGCCCATGCTCAGCGGCACCATGGCCGGGCTACTCGCTCCGAATCAAGACCCGGCGCAGGCCGTGCCCATGCTCGTCGGCGGCACCACCATGCAAGGACTGGGCTTCCTCATGTTCCTCGTCATTCTGGTGCAGAGCATGACCGAGCTTGCGACGGAAGGGCTCCCCACCCCCGCCGTCCGACCGGAGATGTTCATCGCGGTCGGGCCCCCCAGCTTCACCATCATCGCCATGGTGAGCATGGCCGATGCGGCCGTGGACAAATTACCGGCCCACTACATCAGCGCCGCGACGAGCGTGCGCACCGCCGACGTGCTGTTGATCGTGACCGTCGCGGCGTCGGTCTTCCTCTGGGCCTTGGCCTTCTTCCTCTTCTGTATGGCGGCCCTGAGCATGCTCGAGGCGCTGTGGCATCGCACGATTCAGTTTGAGACCCTCTGGTGGTGCATGGTGTTCCCGATTACCGGGTTGGTGCTGGCGACCATCGACCTGGCGGAGTATTTGAGTTCGGCGCCGATCTCGTGGGTGAGTTCGGGCATGACCATCGCGCAGGTGGCCTTGTGGTTGGTCATTACGGGGTGTCAGTTGTTTCGCTGGGTGTGGAAGCGGGAGTTTTAGAGGGATTCATAGATTATTTGGTAGATGGGTCTGCAGGGAGGATTTTAGATGGGGCATAGCGGGCTATGTCGGATGTTGCGATTGCTGTTGGATTGTTGTTGAAAATGTTGTGTTTATTCTGGGATCATATGTAATGAGGTTCGATGCGTGTATGATAGATGATAGATCTATATATCTAGCCGCGCGGTTCATCGAATATTCCAAACGGGGAAACAGACATGATAGAATCGTCAGCCACACCACGGCAGCCAGGTGATAAGTCAAATGCAGGCTGCAACTAAACCGGCGCTCGCAGAACAGCAACGGCCTCGGTCCTTTGCTGCCCATCGATACTCCCCGTAGCCACCGCCCTTCTGCCCTCTCCATCTTCCCTCCACTTGATCGGCCCCGGCGGCAGTCCCTCCTTGGATGAATCCGTCCACTGCAGACCCTGACGGATGCCCTCGTCCAAGTCAGGCAGCATCCCGGTCGTAAACTGGAACCCTCCCCCGAACTGCGACGGGATGACATCGTGGTCCATCCCCTTCAGCAACGTCTCATACACATCCCCCGACTTGGTGATGACCAGTTTCTCGGCCGTCACCGGGTCGATGAAATTCTTCAAAAAGGCCCAGATCTTCGGAAAGTAGAAGGGCGCATTGCCCACCTGGTGGATGTCAGCAATGCACAACCGTCGTCCGTAATCCCTTGGCTCACAAAAATCTTGTCAATCGTCTCTGGGTAGCAGGTCGTCAACAGCGCGCTGATATCCCGCACCACATCCCGCACGTCCCAGGCCTGCTTGATTCCCAGCGACGTCGCGTCCACGATGTAGACGGCCTTGGTGACGGGCGTGGCCGGGTCAGGCCGGTCCGTCCTGGCCGAGCACAGAGGCAGCACGAACCGCGTGATGGTATCGAAATAGATGGCCGCCCGTTGGATCATCGCCGGATTGACCGGGGCCGCCGAGCTGACATCGGTCTGGCAGGGGATCTGGCGCGTCTTCTGCCACGCGGCGATGGTCGACGAATTCCAATGGGCGAGGTCAAACATGAGGATGGGCTGGCCTTGCCGGTCCCGACGACCCGTCCAGTGCGGGTACTACAATCTCATTAGAACCCGCGACAAGTCAGCAGGGGAACACCGCGAACCATCTTCCGGGTCTCTTCATAATCATCCACGGAGATCAAGTCATAGAGACGCAGAATGTGCTTCTCGGCATGGAACTGGGTCGCCTCTTGGAATTGTGCCAGGGCAGATGCCGCGTCCATCTGGCGTGCAGCCAGGTATCGCCTACACCGGTTAGTGAGAGATGAAGCATGGCGGGCATGCAGGCGTACCGGAGCGTGGCATCATCATTGATTCCATCGCAGACATCCCCGGCCTGCAACCCCTCGCGAGGCCCCAACAGACCCGCGTCGGCACAGGAGGCCTTGAAGGCCGCCCGGATGGCCGTCTGATCGATGGCCAGCTCTCCCATGGCGTGCGGCAGAGAGATCGCAGTGCTAAGCTTCGTGGTTCAGCACCAGGAGGCTTCGGTGGCAGCTTTCAAGGTTCAGCCTCTCCCGGAGATCGACCCAGGAGGTCGACCGGTGAGACGCTCAGCCCTGGAAAAAGCAAACCCAGGGGCGGCAAATGCAAGCCGCGGCAAGGAGTTGCCGCGGCCTGCAGGACGGCGTGGTCACCAGTTGTCGCCCGTCATGGCCACATCCCAGTTCCATCTCCGGGATCAGGGTATTAGCCGCGATGCTATCCAATCGTCCCGGGTGGTTCTTCCCCGCTGAGATGGAAGTCCACTGATCGGCCGCACGCGATGGGAACCGAAGATCTCCCCGTGCCTTGTTTGTTTGTCGCGCAGTCCTCCCAGATGGGTCCGCGTGGATCCAAGTCAACCATCTGAAGCTTGGGCTCAACTTAAGTCGCCAATAGAGGTCTTCATGAGATCGATACTGATTCAGACAGACGGGCCAGCGAACGAAAAGGTTTCCCGGGTGGATCGGGTGGAGAGGCCGAACCCTGGCACACATCATCACGACGCAACCCTGGTTCGCGCCTCAGCCCCAGTCGGAACTTCCCGTTGGCTCTAGATGAACTCTCGTTCGCATAGGATCATCCCCATGATGATAATGGATGAAGTGGGCATTACGCGGGATGGCTCGTCATCGAGGCGGCTTCTCTGGAGACTAGATTGTCGCCTTCACTGTAGATTTAAGAAGACCCTCCAATTCGTCTATCCGACAGCAGATACGACTCAGTTCCATCTTCCTTTGATAAGACAAGGATTGATCAACTGAAGACTGTTAGACACCATGGAGCCGACGATCGGACTGCCCACGGACACATCCTACCCGGTCCCTCGCACATCGCCAGGGATCCAGGGATTCTGCGTGGCCTACCCGCTCCGACGGCATCATTTCGAAGACAGAGCCAATGAGGGTTCCTCGCAATGTCGTGCTGACTGGGAGACTTACATCGGTCCGACGGAGCGCTGGGGATGCGGCAACCCCTGGGAGGGCCATTTCGCAGCCGTCGTCCTGCCCTTCTGTCGCCCAGATCGCATCGCGATCATCAGCTACATCTTTGAGTGTAAGCACGCATAGCTCGTCAGACCTAATAGTAATGATAGCCGTGACTGACTATGTAGGTAGACGCCTTCCTGTATGACAATGTGGTCGAGTCAGTGGAAAAGTCTACGGTAGGTGCCTCCGCACTGGACGGAACCAGATCTGATCAAGGCACAGTTGAACATCAACGCAGACAGCATTGGCCTCGATGAAGCCGAATACCGAACCGTGCGGTCCATCACCGGGACCAAGCAGATCCAATCGAAAATGCTGCTCGAGTTGCTGTCCATTGACCCGCGATGCGGGCAGGTCGTCCGGGACGCCTGGAAGACCATGATTAACACGACCGCGAAGCAGGATAAAACACGCGCATTCGGCAGTCTGGAGGCATATGTGGACTATCGGATCATTGACACAGGCGCACCGTAGGAATCATTTACCTGTTTGCGGCGATGCATCTAACCAGAGTCGCAGATTCGTGGATACGCTGATGCGCTTCGGAATGGACATCCTGCTGACGCCCGAAGAGGAGGAGCTCGTGGCTCCAATTGTCAAGCCGTGCTATGCGGCCCTCGGTTTGGCCAATGACTACTTCTCCTTCGATGTCGAATGGGAGGAGTTCCAGAATGAAGAAGCCGACAAAAGGACCATGACGAATGCAGTGTGGCTATTCATGCAATGGCACCAGATAGACCAGGACGCGGCCAAGCGACTGGTACGACAGGTGACGAACAAGTACGAGCAAGAGTACCAACAACGGGTCAATGTATTCATATCTGGTGAGGGGAAGGAAAACGTCAAATTACAGGAGTACCTGGTCGCACTGGGATATCAGATCCCGGGGAATGTTTCCTGGAGTCTGCGATGCCCCCGTTACCATCCCTCGGTCTGTGGGGAGGCCAGCGCCATCTTGCAAAATTCAAGTGGCGATCTTCACAACTCCACCCAACGACAGAGTATCTCAGCAGAAAGTGTCTCCTCCCAGTCATCGGTCTGGTCAGGTGCAAGTGATAGCTCCCCTCGGTCTTCGATATCCTCGGCTCCTTCTATCGATGTCGCACGGAAGCCGTCGGACCACGCAGACCTGGGATCGGAAGTAGGATAATGCCAGCCTAGTGACTTTTTCTAATCGCCTGCTGACAGTACACAGCATCTCATGGGCCCCGCAGAGTATATCAGCTCCCTTCCTTCCAAAGGAGTCCGGGAGGCATTCATTGATGGCTTGAATGTGTGGCTCGGTCTCCCGGACAGCCAGGTCAACGTCTTAAAATCCATTGCGAAAACACTACACAATGCCTCGCTGATGTAGGTGCTCCATCATGAAGGTGCGCCTTGCTAGACACCCTGCTGACCGCTCTAGGCTGGACGATATCGAAGACTCCTCGCCTCTCCGTCGTGGCCAGCCCGCGACGCACACCGTATTTGGACAGGGACCGACGATCAACTCGGCCAACTTTCTTCTTATCGAAGCCATGGACCAGGTGAGGCAGTTGGAGGATCCGCGTTGTTTGGAAATCTTTGTCGAGGAGATGCGAAACCTCTTTATCGGGCAGAGCCACGATTTGTACTGGACGCAGCAGGACGAGTGCCCCACGGAGGAGGAATACATGGAGATGATCCGTCAAAGTAAGCACACATTGCCTTGAGCTCCCTAGATCAAGGTGCTAACTCTGATTGTTTCAGAAACTGGTGGTCTCTTCCGGCTACTGGCGCGCCTGATGATGCAAAAGGCACCGGCCCAGAAGAATCGGTAGGAATGGCGTATCACCAATGAAGCCCCTGCTAACTTTCGATGACAATAGCACCATCTCCCTAGGCCCCCTTATCAACCTCCTAGGAGAGTATTTCCAGATTCGGGATGATTACAAGAACCTAACAGAGGAGGTGGGTTCACTCGGAGACCACAATAACCCAGGCGACTGACTTTAAACACAGTATACCGGGCAAAAAGGCTTCTGTGAAGATCTAGACGAGGGCAAGTTCTCCTTCCCGTTAATACATGCTCTCAAGTCACATCCAGACGACCAGGAGCTCCACGAGATCCTACAACGAGCCCGTGAGTCGGGTGGACTTGATGTGCCGTCCAAGCAGTCCGTACTGGACCATTTCCATCAAAGCGGAAGCATGGTGTATACGAAACAGACGCTTCGAGGCCTGATGGAGGAGATCAGGGATCAAATCACTCAGGTGGAGAAGGAGGCCGGCAGCTCGAATTGGGTCCTCAGACTGCTTGTTCATAGATTGGAAGTATAACAACAGATTTGGATGAAGGGATGCATGACTGGCATGATATAGTTCAACGATGTACTATGTGTAATATTTATCAAGACTGTTGTTTTAGAGAGGTTATACAAATTAGACAGGTATCCTAGTGTCACCTTCTTGCGGTCAGTAAGGATCCTGTCCAAGACATTGGGCGCTTACTTACTTACACTTTGTGATTTATTTGCCATTGGCCGTGTGTCCCAAGCCTCTGATCCATTTTATGAGATTATCCTTCACCATCCTGATAGCAAGCAGGGTTTCAAAGATGAGGCACGTAGTCAGACCAGCTGACTGTGTCATAAGCACTGGCAGGCAGGCTGCGCAATCCAATAAAATCCTCCGTGAGAATATAAGCCCGACCCACACAATACAGAGCACAGAGCACCGTGGTCGGGAAAAGCACTCGCAGAGGGACTTCTCGCCTGGGATCTCGGTACGGGTCGATGTTTCTCAGTCGAGCCACGAAATGCCGGAGCCTGTTCCATCGTCTGGATTTCTCGACGGGTCTTGTCCTGGACATTGGAAGGGCCAACCGCTCCTTGTACGCTCGGGGGAGGATGATCTTATCGCAGTACCCAGCATGCAACCCACCTATGACAGTGAAAATCAGATTGTATATGCTGGCAACCCGCCACAAGAGGTGTTCGGCACGCGACGGGAAGTGGAAATCCCAGGCCAGCATGAACCTCGAGCCGAATAGCAAGAGTACTGGGGTGGCAATGCAGTCTGCCTCTAGATCCGTCACCGGGAAATTGTCACTGACAATTCGATCGTGTGGTCGAGCAGTCATGGGGCGTGAGAACATCGGGATGCGCCATCTGCGCAAGATTTCCGTGTAGTAGCGCCAGTGCACACCACAGAAGGAGACGTCGTCGCATACAAAATCCAGCGGTGTCTCATGCCATTGATTCTGCGGGTCAGGACAGTTCTGCCAGAAGCTGGTCAGTGGGATACGCAAGCAGGGGCGGGGTGCATCGCACCTCCTGCCGAATTTTGTCAATGTGTGTGTTGGCTACCACGGTAACGGTGCTTGTGATGTCTGAAGGCTTAAAGCGCCAGCAGAACGAAGTCACCAGGAACACGATCACGAAAGAGATGGTGGTGAGCTCCATGGTCGTCAGGGCAAGCCCTTGGGCTACACGTATGGCACAGTTGATGAGGAGCCAGAGCGCTTGACAGACCGCGATTACCCTAGATAGAAGACATCGGTCAGTCTTGCAAAGCGTGCGGCACAGGTTCGGCACGCACCGAGAGACTGCGTCCGATTTGTTGCGGTCGTTGATGTCGTCCTCGGTGATCCCAGGGGGGTCGATATACCCCTTGTCAATCAGGAAGAAAAGCTGCTTCGCATTCACTGGGAATGGGCTGTCAACCCCGGGACCGTCCAGTAAGAAACCCCCCATATCTACATAGAATGCATGAGTCAGGGTCCAACTCGAGAAGGAGGTCTTCGCCGTGGCTATGCGCTCAAATTCCTAGGCAGCTCATTAGATAGCTGTACTTCGAGCACAAAATGGAACAACAGGAGAGTCCAACCTGGACGGACGCTCGGGCAGAAGACCACTGACCAAGGGCCAACATGAGCAGAAATTCAGGGCCCAGGAACCCGAGGGAGGCCAGGTGTAGTCGGTCGCGCAGGGCGTGGTACCATCGGTCGGATCGCGCGGGGATGTTGGGTATGACGGCCGTCCAGCAGCAGAGCGCAATAGTCACCAGGCACGTAGAGACAATACTCCAAGTGCCGCGTCCATCGGGTTCGTCCACCCAGCCATGAATTACAACCATAGTGGAGGTCGAATTGTCCGACATGGAGAATCGCGACCGTGACAAATGTCAGTGGGCTGGGATGGTCTGCCCCTCTCCGCAGCGGACCGGCTTGTCATATAACCCTGCACGCGCCGGCCGCTTGGACCCGTGCAGGCGCTTGAGACCTTTTTATGGTTGATAGAGGCATAGGCGCCAATTTGAAACTGCACTGAGTGGGCAGCAGCACGAAACTTCCACCGTGGCTATACCAATTAAGGGACCCGTGCTGCATTCAGCTGCGCAGTTAACGGTGAGCGACCAGCCACTGGGATGAGCATCAGTCTCATTCTAGTCCGGGCCGGTCCGTTCAGGAGTCTCCACCGATAAGCCGGCTGCGCTGGTCAGGACCTTGTTCCGAGGTTACCTGATGGACTATTTTTTAGGCGACACCACACATCACTGACACGACCACCTGCTAATGGGGACTTCAATGCTGACTGAGTAGTTCGGCAATATCTAGGGTGTAGCCAGCGTGATATCGCACTGGGAAGAAGATAGGATGAGGGGGGTGGTCAGTCCGGTCGATGACGACTCCCGCCTGTTGCCTGGCGAGGATGGGTTTTAAAACGGCCTCATACCACCCATTCCGTCTGCCCATCGATGCTCAGTGAATGCCCTTCCTTGGACTCGGCTCTACAATCATGACTTCTTATCCTCCTTCCCGCTGCTGCATGGTAGGGCACCTGCACGAGGGCGAAGCCAAGGGGAAGATCCGAGATATTGCCCACAGTGAGTCCTTGATGCGCTACAACATAATGCTTGCCACTGACCACTACATCTCGTAGTTTCAGCATATCTCTCCTATCCATCCGACCGGTCCACAGAGAATGCCATCCTCTTCCTCACCGATGCCATGGGTCACCGGTTCATCAACGCCCAATTAATGGCCGACCAGTTTGCCGCCAATGGCTATCTCGTTGTCATGCCGGAACTCTTCCATGGTGACCCCATTCCCATCAACTACGGGACCGACTTTAATATCTGGGGTTGGTACAAAAACCATCTGCCCCCTCGGGTGGATCCCATTGTGGAGGCCGTCCTGGGGGAGATGCACACCACACTTGGCTGCAAGCGAATTGGAGGTGTTGGGTATTGCTTTGGGGGCAAGTACGTATGCCGCTATCTCAAGGCTGGAAAGCTAGACGCGGGTTTCATCGCCCACCCGACCATGGTGGAGGCAAACGAGGTGGAAGGAATTGAGGGACCATTGAGTATAGCAGCAGCCAGTGAGTCGACAACGGTCCTGTACATCCATGTTCCATATCCTGACTTTATTTTGAGTTATCGATCCCGTCTTCACCACTGCCAAGCGCCACGAGAGCGAAGAGATATTAGAACGACTTGACATACCCTTTCAGATCAACTTATTTTCCGATGTGGAACACGGCTTTGCGGTTCGCTGCGATTTGTCAAAGCCCCGGCAGAAATTCGCCAAAGAGAAGGCATTTGAGCAGGCAGTGGCGTGGTTTGATGAGTACGTCAAGGCGCGAGGAGTATGACACAAGGGAACATGGGCATCGCTTTCATTGGGTGGCTACCAGTATCCGGATTATGGTCGAATGGTGTTTCCCTTTGCTCCCTAGGTAAATTGAAAGTCGAAAAGCATACTCCGAAATGACCACCCAACTCCGAGGACGCGCTGGTGCCTGGTGCCTAGTGCTTTGTGCGCCGCTACACCGTAGAGTTCCTGTTGTAGATGGCATCGTCGGACTTTCCGCAGCATCGGAGGTCCGAACATGGCATTCCAACAATTGCGCAGACCCTGAGGGTGCCCCACTGTAGGCTTTAGCTTCCATGACTGTCACCGACTGCGGCGAATTTCGCACGACCGTCCTGAACCCGACAGCGCCTTGGCTTCGAGGTTGGTCCCGTTTCACGCATCCTTGCTGTCTTTCAATGGGGGTCAAGTAACACAGATTCTTCCTCTGCCGTCCTAAGGAACCCATCGGTTGAAGATATCCCTCACGTTCATACAGGGTCCTGGGGAAAAGTGCCCATGGAGACCCTGTTAACTATCTAGCTGATTCTAGTATGTCATGCCTGCACGTTACGCTTACGTCGACAGCGGCCGTGGCATTTGTGCCGTCATACAAGGATCCGTTATGGGCTTTGCGCTAACCTAGGGGTAGTGTGAGGGATTTTCGAGCTTTCTGACGATGGAGTAAACTTTATCAGCCGTCGTCTCAAGACCTTGCGGAATCCGGCAAGGGATCATCAGTAGGAGACGTTCCACAAAGGATGTTCATTCAATCTGTAACCTTGAAACCACAATCTCAGGGCGTCAACGTCGTTCAGGAGATGCCTCTATCCAATGGGTTGAATATCTGTTCACCGTTGGGAGGTACCCAGTCAGAGCTAATTGTTCAGGCTGGCCCTGCGGGGAAAATCTTTATCCGAAAAACCAGGGTCCTGTATTAAGTGGGTTATTGGTTGAAAACCCTGTACGGTAGACCTTGGGGAGCTGCCTGTCTCCTCATTTGCATGGCCCGAAATCTGTCAAGGGCCTTTCAGCCGGCTTGTGACTCCGAGGCCAGTAGCGAGAGCTCCATGGCTTTTCGTCGGACAACTCCATGGCGGGCATGTCATTTGCGCGCTAATGTCATGAAGGGTGTGCGCTGTGCGCCATTGTCCTGCGGTCACCGTCGGAGCAGAAGTCATCTTTCCAGCAGTTGTTCATGTGGAAGAGGTTATTGGTGTCATTCGCCCTGCAAGGTCACCCGGGTGGGGCCATACCACGCAAGCTTAGCTTCTTTGATATGAGCTTGCTCATTGTTGCCCGGCTGTCCCTGGGTCAAGTGGGGATCAGGGGTTCAAGGTATTGTCCCATTATCTGATGCCATTGCCAGGCATGGTGAGGGATGTCCCTATAAGAGGTATCTCTCTGCACCAGATTTGTGCTCAGGTTGTCTCCAGGCTTCACTCTCCAACTTCCGTCTTTTCTTTACACCAACTCTGATTGACGGCCACGATGAAGATTTCGGCATCTTTGGCCAGTGTGCTGGCGACGGCCACCGCGGTTGTTGCCTCGGCCAGTGCTAGCAACTCCTTGCGCATTCAGACCTCCAGCGGTGTCATCCAGGGTGGTGTGAACGGCACCTACCCGGCTGTCCGTCAGTTCTTGGGCATCCCCTTCGCCCAAGCCCCCGTGGGCAATCGCCGGTGGCTACCCCCTCAGGAACTGAACAAGAGCGACAGCATCATCGACGCCACCACCATGCCTCCTGCCTGCCCCCAAGGCTCCACCGCTATGAGTCCATTCGGCCGATTCGCCCCGGAGACGCTGATTGCAGGGGGGACTAGCGAGGACTGTCTGACCCTCAGCGTCTGGGCTCCGAACAATGCCAAGTCAGACCTCCCTGTCATTGTCTGGATTTACGGCGGTGAATTCACCTCGGGTGGCACTGACACCCCGGCTTGGATTCCCTCTCAGTGGATTCAGCGTACCCAGGAACACATCGTCGTCAGCATCCAGTACCGGCTGAACATATTCGGCTTCCCCGGGGCACGCGGGCTGGCGGAGCAGAACCTCGGCATTCTGGACCAACGTGCTGCGATCGAATGGTTGCAAAAGAACATCGCTCAGTTTGGGGGCAACCCGGACCAGATGATCCTCTGGGGTCAAAGTGCCGGTGCCGGCAGCGTGGACATCCAGAACTTTGCCTACCCCGATGACCCCATCGTGCAGGGTTTCGCCTGCGACTCCGGGTCCGTCTTCCTCACCGTGGACACGCGCTCGACCGATACGGCGGGCACCAATTTCAGCACAGTGGCTTCCCACTTTGGCTGCTCGGGCTCCGCCGCGGACGAACTCTCCTGCCTGCGTCAAGTCCCCGCAGCGAACATCACTTCCTACCTCGGTGCTGGAGGCGCCAGACTGACCTTCCTGCCCTTCATCGACAACAAGGTCGTCTTCAACAACTACACGGCCCGGTACATCGGTGGTCATCTGAGCAACAAGCCCGCCCTCTTCGGATCGAACCTGAATGAAGGCACCATCCTGGCTGGTGGCTCCGACAACGCCATGGCGGAGGCCATCACCCTATCCGGCTTCCAATGTCCCGTCCCGTACTCCACCGCTTATCGCCAGGCCCTCGACCTCACCACGTACCGCTACCAGTACCGGGGCAACTTTTCCAATGTGTCCCCCTCCCCCAGCTTGGGCGCCTATCACACCGCCGAGCTGCCACTGATCTTCGGTACTTCGGGCGACTTTTATGGGGCTAACACGCCGTTCGAGGCGAAGGTGAGCGAGAAGATGCAGGACCTGTGGTTGGCCTTTGCCAAGGATCCTGCGAATGGTCTGGCGCAGCAGGGCTGGCCCAAGTCAACGAGCAACGAATTCCTGATGCTAGCTGGGGAGGACGCCTCGAACAAGACGGTTGTGTCGGCGCTTTTGGCGGATAGCGCCATCGACGACGCGTGCACGAGCTACTACTCCAGCTACCTTGTCTGAGCGTATGGCTTCGTTAGTGGTGCTTTCACGAAGTAGACGGGAACCTGTCTGGACGTATATCTTTGAGGACACGAGATTTGCCAGCTTTTAGCTTGCTAATGTGCAGTAATCAGTAGTTAGCGTTAATCGGGTCTCGAGTCTGTTGTTTACTGCGAAGTTCCAGGAACAATGTAGACGTCCCTAGAGATGTACATGGGACATGTTAAATGCAGAAAGTGGTGCTATAGTCTGCATTCCAGTGGTATAATTTCGTGACCCCAGCTCATGTAGATTGTGGCAGCCAACGGTGGGTAGTAGATGGCCGAGTCGCCAGGATGCCAATCACGTTGGGAGGACGCGACGGGATATGTTATGCAGCTTACTAAGCTTGTGCGAGGAGACTGCCTCGCGCCACTCGCCTTTCCAGGACCCCACCATTGAGGTCATAGCAGCTAAGGCAAGCTCTTCTGAGGCGATACCACTAGCAGTGTAGCGTAGGCAAAGCATCCCTCGGATGAAGACTTCACTGAGGTGATAAGAGTTGATGGAATTCAACGATGGTGGATGATTCTTGTCGAGGGAAGCAGAGGTCGGCGACGAGGCCTGCCTGAGAACCCCTCCAATCACCTGACCGACCGGCACAACCCATAGTACTCCGTACGTTGTATGATTCCAGAATCTAACGGTGATTAATTCTCAGTGTTACTTTCTTTTACCACTATATGGGATCATTGAATGGTCCGGTAACTAAGGCTAGCCTTCAAAGGATGTCATTTCATCGCTCGTTGTGACGGCATCTCTGGTAGACTACCGAATACCGAAGTACTATATATCGGAGCTCCGACATAGTCCGTCGACACCTAGAATATCATACTACAGCAGCATGAGGGAAGAAACCCGGACGATGAAGAGATAGATTGAGATAGAACAGGACTAGAGAACGGCACGACGATGTAAGGAAGAATTTATGACACGTTGTATTACCGTAGAAAGCTGATATAGACACGGACTTTCCATGGGATAGTAACCACGGCTGCACATCTGTATACCCCACACCTCTATTTTTTTTTCCAAAGCAATAGAGCCAGTCGGTGATCGTCGTGTGATCGCTCATAACTTCTGAAGCGTCCCTAGTAGTCTAGAGGTATCTAACATGAACACAAGGTGAGATACCGACAAATACCAGCATACAATTGGAGGGAGCCAACTGTCATCAAGCAATGCAGAGGGGTATATTAAATAAAATCTATACTATAATACAAGTCTATATACAGCCCGGTCATGAGGAAGCAGTAGCTCACAACCATCTCAGGCATTATTCGCGCACGAGAAACTGCTGCCTGAGCTGTCATCGTGAATCGAGAGGCCAGATACCCAGAGACCACACACGCAAATCGTGGCGCCGATCAGGAACAGTCCCACATTGGCCAAGGTGAGGAGAGTTTTGCGGACGGAGGTGAAGTAGTTGCCATAGTACATGTACAACCAGAACACGCCGGGCAGACCGAAGGAAAACCAACTCGCAAACAAGGCGCTGACCAGGCTGACAAGGTCGCTGAAGACCGGGATGGCCTCGGCAATCACCCAGGCGATGATCCAGTAGCCAGCAGCGAGTCCAACCCAGGCACCAATACCGCGGGCGTCACGCTTGTGCATGACATCGGTGCCGCGGAAGAGACGGACGTACACGTTCTTGATGGCAACATGACCCAGCACGACACCGGCAATGACGATGGTGGGGATGGCAATACCGTAGGCGACCTTGCGGACCACGGGGCCTGCGGAGCCCAGGGCGGGAGACTTGACGTCTTGACCGGCATAGCGGTAGATCACCGCCGACGCGACCGTGTAGAAAACGATCTCGAAGCCTTGCAACATGCAGAGGGACTTGGGGAAGTCCTTGGGATTCTTCATCTCGGCGATGAAACCGAAGAACGCGGGGTGGCCGCCTATGACCAGTTAGCGTCAAAAATATAGCGGAAAGAAGTCGAAGCAGACATACAGTAGGCAAAGGCAATGTTAGTGACAGCCGAGAAGCCCTTGACAAAGCTCGTGGAGCGCGTGAGCTGCATGGGCGCCGGGGTCGGGTTCTCAACCGCGACTCCAATCATGGTGATCATCACGGCGGAGAAGATACTGATGAAGGCTGGACGAAAGGTCAGCGAAAGAGGGAGAGAAAACGGACTGAACCGAAGACTGACATGTCAAGGCTAACCACGAGACGTTCTTCATGGTTCGAGGGAGAGAGCAGGCGAACGAAAGGACCAGGCCCACGACACCGAAGACGACGGAGCAGGTGCCGTGGTTGGTGAGGGTGTTCATCATGACGGTGAAGGTGACTAGATGACTGCCCGACGCGAACATGAAGAAGAGCAGCTGAGCGACTTCGGTGAACAGGCGACCGGGGCGACCGAGCAAGACTTCGCCTGCATCGGCCATGCTGTGGATGAAGGGGTACCTCGTGCGGAACTGTCCGATGACATAGCCCGAGTAGGTGGCGACGATACCCATGCCGACAATCAGGATGACGGCCCTGATGCATGGTTAGAGACAGTCGTGAGGAATGAAAGAGCGGCGTATACATACGGGATCAGGCCAACCTCCGCCACGGTGGCAGGGAGGGACAGAACACCCAGCGACACAGTCTCTGCAATCATCACTAAACAGAGAAGATTAGCTAATCAGCACGGAGGACACGATATCAAAGTGTGTCATACGGATTCCAGATTGCCTGCGATGAGAGAAGTGCCTGTTAGTCCGTGGTCCACTTCCTCCGATCGTAGTATACTATAATTCGACAAACATACCACCAGTCCAAGGTCTTGTAGTGCACCTCTCCCACCGCTTCCGACCCGAAAGGGTCCCTATCGACGGAAGGCACCTTGAGGTCCTCCCCCTCCCACATGGCTCCATCCTCCTCAATCCGGGGCCCGGGGCCGTTCTCGATATCTTTCACGTCCGGGGACGACATGGTGTGAGTAGTGGCGGTTGGCGGGCTGACTCCACGGGGATGGCGAGAGGGATGAGAAAGTTGGACAGGCACCCGACTCAAGCACACTCAGCAGTAGCAGCGGCAGTAGCGGAACTGGAGGCAGGCACACCCGTCCGGCTTATAAGGAAGATTTGCCAGCGCCGTGAAGCATTGACGCATGGCGTCGCGGTTTTTGTTAGTTAATGGGAGGGCCGGACTGGCAAATCAGAGGGCGCCGTAAAGCAATCTCTGTTGGCTGTGACACAAACTTTGCCGCCCGTTTGCCTCTGCTCCGATGTCGGGGCCCTGGCCTGCTGGAGGGCCCTGCATGGGCCCACCGGCCGCACCATTGCTGAATCCAGGAACAAAAAGCCTCCAGCTAGCCGATTCAGCGTTGAAGAACCGCCAGAAGATGATCGACAAGCTGCTTGGAGTCGTTGGCTACCAAATGGCATGGAAAATGGCAGGGGAGGGCGACTCCGGGACCGGACCTGGGGGGGGTGAGGATCAAATTAGCTCAAGCAGGCTGCCCCGGAAATCGACTGGCGCCTGTTGGGCCAGGGAAGCTCCCCGGCCGCCGGAGGGAAATCTCAGCCACTAGACCGTTTTCAGTGGTACGGTGGCGCATCGAAGCCGGGCAAGGTTTCCAAGGCATTCCTCACGTTAGGGTTGGCCGCGCAGCCCTACTCGGTGCGCGGGGGCGTTACTGGATCCGGCTAGCGTACCGCACAGCAGGCCGACAGCCGGCCCCGTTTGGCTGCCCGTTTCTGGCATGGTGGCATCGGCAAACTCGGGGGAGCCTGGCAGCACTCCGGGCCCGTCCACTGTCGGCCTGGAGAAGAAGCCCTCCAAAGGCGATTTGAGTCATTCTCTGCCCGGTGAGACGACCCATGACAGCGTCCAGCTTCCAACCGCCGGGCCTCGATCGCGGCTGCCCGTCGGGAAATGACCACGGCTCCATGCCACGTGTGTCCATCGCCCCATCCCCCGGAATCGGCCGGCCTACAAGCTTCCATCCCACTTGACTCATAGAGGATCATGCGGCATGCCAGAGCACTTGCGAGCCGCAAGGACCCACCGAGTCCATCGGTGTCTATATCCGTCCACTACCCCCCCTAGGTGGCAAAGATTTCTAGCGTAGAGGGCTCCCCCTCACATGACCTTGACGAGTGCTAGCAGACTACAAAAATGCTATGTCACGCTAAGCATTGTGAGGCCCTCTTTTTGGGACGGTTGACAGCTAGCGAACTACGGCTGCGAACACCCAGACGATGACTCATGCGACCTGATTTCAAGGAATGACTCATGTAATTACGGATGGGGATAGGCTCACTGAGGCACAGCATGCCGGTGGCTAGCCATCTCCAAGTGGAAGACAGCCATGACGGTTCCCTAACAGAATGCCAAAGTCGACAACCAAACAACAGCACAAAGCCAACAACAAGGCAGCTTCAGCGGCATATCAAGTCCATCACGCATCAGGCAGAATCTCACCCCCGTCCAAGGGGTCATTGACATCCGCTGCCGCGGCGTCCTCAACAAACTTGACCACAGCGTCCTTCTGGGATCGCCAGGTTTCCTCGTTGAAAGTAAAGTCCCGGGACGCAAACTCGAACGTCACATTGACCTCCTGGGTGGACGACTTGTTCGAAACGACGGTCTTCATGGATTCATCAATGGAATACCACACGGTGCGGAAGGCTGGTGCAAGTCAGCGGGATGGATCTGAATTACGCGCACGCAGGCAGAAGAACTCACACGCCGTGACATCGTCCGCAGCAGAATCATAGAAGATGACATGATTCAAGCTGTACATCGACTGGGATTGCTCCACGCTTTTCGATTCATTGATGGTATCCGCAATGCTCTGCAGAGCATCCTCAATGTCTTGCAACAGAGACTGCGGTTGGGCCAGACCGGAGAGCATGGCTTTGAGGATCTCAAAATGGAAGTTCTCCTTCTTAATCTCGATCCCGAAGCTCTTGTCCTCCGTGTTAGACTCCATCATCCTGCACCATGTCAGCCCGTAATTCACGGCAATCATCGCAGCAGGGATACTCACCATGCCGCTTTTCCGACGAGGACATCAATGACCTTGTGACGGTAATTGTTGCGCAGCGTCTGTGACTCAATGTCCGAACCGCCAGACAAGTGGCCCGCCTTGATCTGGTCATCGGTGTTCTTACCCGCCCAGATGTCCAGCCATTGGTGGGTATAGTTCAGCATGCTCTTGAGCTCTTTCACGCGAGACTCGAGTTTGCTGGGAACCCGGTTGTCCTGGAAATTTACATAGAACGTGGAGTTGTAGTCGCTGACGCCCATGCCATTGTCGGAGGGGTGGATGTCTTCCTCGTATGGGGTGCCCCGGGTAGGTGCTCGCACAGGAAGACCGGCAATGTTGTGGAGCGACATGTTGTCTTTGGGTTGAAGCACTAGAGTGTTCGGTAAGGGTATCTCGAAGAGGCAATGGTAAGGTAAGAGGTTACGGAGGTTGTGTTCCTATCTCTATCATCGCCTGAAGGGCACCCTTTTATACATCCGATTAGGGACGCAGTGATGTGAATCTCATCGAAGAGGAGCGATGCCAAACTGCCCAAGGCCCGGAAACTCTCCGCACCGAGCCCACGGACGCATGCGCAGCGTTCCATATGCGTCGCTGTACGCAACAATGAAGCATATTCGCACAGTGTGTGATGCTACTGACAGGCAACAGCGGCGGATATGCTATCGTGCGCTTAACTCCTGGGAGGAAATCTGTGATGTTGCAGCTGCTTATACGCCGTGCATGGGTCTCCGCAGCACCAACCAACGTACGTGCGTTAAGTTCCGGACCACGACCAGCCAAGACTTTCCAGCCAGATGACGGTTACAATTTTTGGGTCAGATTATATCACTCAAGCTCATCGCCCTCCCCTGGACCTCGTACAAGGCGGGGGTTACCATTTGGGCGTCTCCGCTTTATACCAGTGGTCCAACCCACTGTTGCAGTTTTGGCAGCCACAACACATAGCATTGTGCAAGCTATATCGTAATATGCCCCAGTTTGAACTGCACCTTGTATGCAAAAGATCCGTGCACGGATGGTTAGACTTATCTTGGTTACATGTAGTGACCAACGTGGCGATCTGAAACGACCGAGGATACATTTGTCGGCTAACCAGGCTATCAAGAAAAGCCCACCATTGGTGATGGGATAGCATTGACCGCGATATCTGCACTGTGGCAATTATTGAATCTAGCCGAGCCATGAAGGCCATTGCGTTGGTCCATAGAAACGAACACGAGTGACGCGTATACCTGCTGTGAATTAGAGTAGCGAAGGACAGCCTTACGCTGGATGCATACAGCGGCCGTCGGTGGTCGCAGTAGGGCCTCATGTGTCGCATCACATTCGGCTAAAGGAGGATATCGGAAGCAGCGGGAAGCACTCTCGCGAAAGGCTCAGAATGAATGAACTGCAGAAGTGCCTCAATATTTGCCTAGATGTGCAACATCGTATTTTTGGAAAGTGCACTCCCGACTTTGTGGTTAGCAGACATAAAAGCCCCAGCACTCTCGATGTCTGACAGACGCAATCCTCATTGACATTTCACCCGTATCATTTGTGACAAATCTCACCATATCTTCATTGATAACCATGCCTGCCCACTCTCTTCCAGAGCTTGACGTCTCCCTCTTGTCCGCCGACTATGTCGACCCTCCCGAGGGAGTGGATGTGACCAGTGACTATGGCACTCCCAACTTGCTGTTCCTTTACTACTACCGCCTTGTCTCGGACTCCGACAGAGAGGCTTTGAAGTCTTTGAAGAACGACATCGAAGCTTGGAACGCCTGGGAACTTGCACAAGCCGAGTCTCAGCTCAACAACCAAATGAGAAAGGACAACTTGCCTACCGACGATTTGCTTGAATCGCGCGTCAAGCGGACTGACTACCGCGCCAAGGTCATCAGCGCCTTGCGCCAGCGAAGCCAATCTTGGTCAGTTCACCCTCCTAGCACAGGCAACTTATACCATACTGATGCTGCTCCATGAAGGCTCTCGGAAACCGAGAACAGGCAATACAGCATCGAGGTGGAAACCGATGAGGACAACATGAACCAGAGACTCATGGATGAGCTGCAAGTGCGACTTGAGTCGGATGAGAGATTGCCGGACCAATTTGATGTGGTTTTGCGCATCATCAACCGGATCATCGCCGCACGTCGCTCAGATGAATTCCAGCAGTACCAGTCCACTCATGTGGAATTGAAGGTCAATGAGGACAGCAACCCAGGTAGGCAACACTTGATGGATGTCCTGTCCACTGTCGTATACTAATAACATGGAATAGAGATCAAGTGTATCTCATTCACGATCTCCGAGGGGGAAAAGAAGAAGCGGTCGGATTCCGTCGTGGTCAAGATTGACTATGTTAACTATCGGTATCAACTGGATCGGAATACCTGGGGTGAGAACCGGGACAAGGCACAGGACATGATTGCCAGGGGTGAGAGCATCCGCAGGGATATGACACTGGAGTTGTGCGTGAATAACTAGGTACTTCTGGACCTCAGAATGGCCCTGTTGCGATCAGGCCAGATGAAGGTCAGCCGTGAAACGTTTTCACAGGATCAATTTGTAAACCTGGCTGGGCCTATGGTTCTGGGTATGTGGAGGAATTAGCCAGGAGAGAGTGCAAATTGTTGGCAGAATGCATAAGTGATTTTGAGGTCCAATGACATGTCCTCCTGAATGAGCTGTCCCTAAGGCTCACATGATTGCTACCGGCCTATCCTTCTAGAATCCCTGTACCAAGGGGGGTTATGTACCTGATGGGTGCTTCTTCAAATATCCCTCACTAACTTCTGAGATTATCTTCACACTGAGATCTTCAAGCTATGGGTATTAGATGATTAAGCCTCAAGATAGAGCCTTTGCTAATCGTCTTTGCACTTAGGCCAGGTTCAGGCTGCCAAGGAACTGTTCAAAGTTGCTCCAGTCCAGGCTATACTGCGTAACTGCCTGCATAGACTCTTGCCATGCACTTAGACTACCTGAAATCGAGGCATCGGGGTCACCATCCTGGTCGCTGGGGCATAGAATATGTGCGTCCAAGATCCGCGTATGGCTTTCGTTGTCTGTCGGGGTTAATGGGCAGTGGTTGTCACTGCTCGGATTTTCGGCGCCAGATCGCGCATTTGCCATGACTGCCTCATCGAACTTCTGCAGAACCGCCTTGAACCTTTGCATGGTCGAGCATTTCGCATGAACTTCCATGACGGACTGCAGTCGTGCCACCATGGATTGAACCTGAGACTGGGTAGTACCCTCTAGTTCCTCTGTTTGCCTCGATGGATGTGGTGGCAGAACCCACAGCCGACGCAGAAGCAAGACCATACCGGCAGAGTACCCGTAGAACAGATCGAGGCCAGACTTTCCGTTGATGGCACGTGTAGACTCCAGCAAAACAAGGAGGTTTATGATACGTGATGCTGATGTGAGACAGGTGCGAGCTAGGTACTCTGTGACCCGTCCTAGACTTTTTAGATCGTTGTCAGGAGTGGTCCACGGATAGTACTGTCTTGGATTTGGTCCTCGGTTTGCGGATATAACTGTCAGCAAGTATGGACGAGTAAGCTGGATAATCAAGTTGTTGTAATTCATGTGCAGGAGGACCATTGGGCGTAGGTGAGAAGGCGGACAACGAGAGATGAATGTATCCAAGTCAGCCACACAGGGCGTGGGGCAAGCATGCAAGATGTGGACTGGCACGGTGAGATATGTGGGCATTGTGCTCTCCCATGTTTTTAAGCTGCCCAGGAGGGTTATGGGATCGGCGACGGGAGAATCAGCGGACAACACCGGGAATGAAGGTCTATGGACGAAGCATATGGCATCCCGAAGCCTACTGGCCCGTCGCTGCAGGTCAACAGCCACCTGAACGTACTGAGGGGGGGCCCAATTGCTACCGGAGAGGTCCTCACAAGCGGGTTCCAGAGCGACCTCTGGACAATCGATAGCACTGGGACGTCCCAAAGATAAACAGAGAAATTGCTCGAATGAGAATAAGACATACCACACCCGATCTCGAATTTCTCGCTCTATTAGACGGAGACTGTTGTTGACATCGCTTCGGTGCAAGCCGAGAGCAATGGCTAGTCGTGCGGCGCCACCTGTTAGAGTCCATGCGGCATTCCGATCATTGTTGTTGTGCAAGAGTATTGCCATCAGCAATAGGGCTTGGATGTTGGAAACCGTAGATGAGGTCAACAGATTTGGCAACGCTTCTCGAGCGAGGGTCCAGCAGCGTGAACGCAGCATGTCCAGGTCCGTAATGTGGTCCCGGATGCTGTCATCCGAGATCCAGCAAGCGAACGCCAGAGCTGTGTGGACACAGGCCGTCCAACCGTTGTCTAGGGCATCCGTCGAGCCGTCCAGAGAGACATAGTATTCGAGTTTGTCGTAAAATTAGGCTCGGTCCAGCAGTGGAAAGTCTTCATTTACGGAGTGGAAGAAGGCGTTGACCAATTTTGAAGGGAGTCTCTGGGAATTCTCTGCAGCTGTGCCCGGAGAGGCGTTGTTCTTGGACACGCGTATCTTCCTCCAGGTAGGAGTTGACACCAGACAACGTCCATCGGCTCTGGTGGTATTGAACCTCCAATGCCTCCGCAACAGTGTCCGTCGCAAACCGAGAGGACGGCTGTCGCTCCGATATCAGGCTGCGGAGATCCGCAAAGAAACAAAAAGAGCCGGACGGTCCAATGTAGTGGGAATGGCCTCGACTGTCTTTGACAAGCCGCGGCATTGGCTGGCTGGATTTATCGGCGCAGTGCTCGATATCATCGTGTGGTTCCGTGCTTAACCGTGGTATTGGATAGCCGGCATTCCGGCCGAACTGCAGGAGAACGGGAATGCTGTCCAGAGGCGCCCCAGGAAATGACCCTTTCACAATGGCTTCGAGACATTGGATCCTACAATGGTGTTTGTTAGCCTGGATTGACACTAGGTACGCTTGAGTCACCCATACCGGTCACGAATGGTCTCGACGCTTCCGTGCAGGCGGGTTTTGCGCTGGTAGTTGGAGACGCATAGGATGCCACTCCGCTGACATGCAACACAAGCCTGCTCGACGAATACACTTGCACCGACGCTAATTCGCCTAGTCAGCTGGTGCACGTAAGCTTTATCTGATGGGTGGGTTACCTTTCGACAGGAATCGCAGCTAAGGGAAGTACGCTTCCGCAGCTCGTCGGGGACCTGACGGCTTGCCAGACGGTTCTCCATATCCGATGAATAGCCAGGGAGAATCCATCCGAGGGAAGATAAGATCCGAAGTTGTGTCTGTCCGATAGGCTTTAAGCCGAGATCACAGGGTCTGAAGAATGAGGTGGCGGATGCAAGCATCCGGACCTCGGGTAGACCAGCAGGAAGCCATGACCCGAGACCCTGGTAGATGGCAGGGATGCTTCTACTGAGCAGCTTTTGGTTTCCCCTAGAGACAAGAGTGTCCGTCTGGAGGGATGCCAGACAAGGGATCTTAAATCAGCCATGCTATGCCTGAGGCATCACTACGTGATTTCAATGAAAACTACAGAATGGATTCGAGTGAATGTTATATTCGTCTGAAGAGGTAAAGGATATATGCAACAATTTCGAGTCCCGTTCCCACTCACCCAAGCCTGGCGCTTCTCCAGCGGATGCAACTTCAGTAGCCACAGAGCAATCAGAATGCCCCCAGTGTCCCCCGCTCACAGAATTAAAACCACTTGTGACTTTGAACCGGACACCCCGGCGTGCTATAAAACCCCCCAACAACCCATAGAAAAATATCACCCAGGGCCCAAATGCCACCTCCCCCGAAGGTCATCGTCTTGAGAAATGCCAGGTAATAGTGACCGGCGTACCACTGGTCGCCACCCACCGGCCCTGTGAAGATGGAGAGAAGGGTTGCTGTGCGATCCTGGCGATAACACTTATTATCCAGTAACCGGTGTTCAAACACTCCCCAGCGACGCAGGAGATCCGCACGACTAGAGTGAGGTGAGAGATACCACCAGTCATATAGGATTGTGACGCCTACAAGGACACAGCCAATAGAATTCAGGAGGGCAATCCACCAGAGAAGTCGGCGAGTGCTCACGCGAGACTTCACCCATTCCAAGGCAGACTGTTTGGGACGGGCAGCGGGGGCGAAGTTGCCTCGCCTGCTTGAGCCACGGAATTCTGAAGGCATTTTGCCTAATGTATGACCACTGCGTCCGACGGGACCGGCCAGTGAGTAGGTAGTGCGGAGGGAAAGTATTTTGAAGAGGTTTGTCAAGGGCATATGTCGTATAGCTTCACTTCTCGAATAGCTGGGTCACGATGAAGTGGAAGCGATAAGATCTGGATAGCTGAAAAGCAAAGGGAGAGAGAATGCAGCGGTATACATGCGGGTTTAAATAATGCACCGTACGTGGGATCGATTGGTATTCCCGGCATGTGCCTTGTTCTTTTCTAATGGTATTCAGAAGTCCCCCGCGGTGGCGGGGATGATCTCCAGGATGAAACACGTTTTTCGATCATCTCCTTTCTATATAGAGGAACCTACGAGTGTCCAGCCATTTAACAAGAGCAATTGCTAGAAGAGTGGCGGAAAGCGTTGGGGGGTGTATTCTTTGTTGATGGGGTTATCCGTAACTTGATTGGTGCCAACAAAGACATCCTGGCTGATAGTTTCACTGTGTTTCATGATTGCATCGTTGATGACTTGGGAGACGGAATGATCCGAGATACCAAGATTCCCCTCCCGGGAGGATCCTGTTCCGTGGTTGACAGTCATTGAATGGTTGCTTTGTAGGGCTGTGGTCTCGGTCCACCACTCTGTCGTCTGACTTGACTGCCAAGCAATGTAATGTTCCTTCGCCTAGTAACTTGAAGACTGAGATGTCCACCATTACAGACTTTACTGAAGCAATACTCAGTGTTCACGGTACCTCCCAGAGTTTAGGTGATTGGAAACGGCCCAAGTTGCCTGATGTACGGAAAATGCCGTACCCGTAGACTGGGCGAAGCGGTAGGTATCTGACGAGAGAGTCATATGGTGACTGGAGGCAACTTAATCACACGACTTACCAACAAGCCAAAAATAAAGTTGGACGATGATGAGTCTCGCATGTCAGCAAACACTGAGTGTCAATTGGGTCCGATGGTCTGTATGTTTGAAAGAAGATTGGGGTTGAGATGATGCCGTCAACCATCTCAACTGCCGTCCAAGTTTACAACAAAGATATTAATAAATTACATAGAAAACGGTTGGATATGGTTCCATCCAGATTCGTCTCATTCAGCGAGGAAACAGGGCTTAAATAAGGAAAGCCTTTCAGAGACACCACGGGATTTGACCGGAGGATTCCTACGAAGCACGAGGCAATCCCACCACCTGGTAGGGCTCCCCACCCGGAGACAGCCTACCGGGCAGGCTTCTGTAGATCCGACCCTCCTGCGGATGCATGTTCCCGCCTCTCCGGGTATCGAGATCCGCGCCCTCAACGACGACGGCGGACCGCAGCAGCTATCCATCCACTCCGTGCAAGAGCCTTGGTTGGCGACGTGTTATTGAATCGTGCATCTAGGCATTATCCATCATACTCTGGATACCTCATACTTCATTGCACACCATAAAATGTCGGCAAGGTTGGAACCCCTTGAGATTCTCATTGTGGGTGCTGGGCTCGGAGGGCTTTTTGCATCTCTGGCTCTTCGACAAGATGGCCATCGTGTGACGCTTCTCGATTCCTCTGCCGAATTTAAGGAGGTCAGAAACATGCACTCGAGCCATTCTAAGGACAAGATGTACTCATCATGCCAATGAGCACGCCGGTGCCGGTATTCGCATCCCGCCCAATAGCTCCCGTCTCCTGCGCCGTTGGGGCATTGACATCGACGGGCTGAAGAAATCAACCTGTCGTCGTTACCATTTCGTTCGCTGGGAGGACGGTTCGACCATCACCAAGATCCCCTTTGACGATATCGAGGAACGACACGGCGCGCCGTATTACATGGTCCATCGAGCCGATTTACACGCAAGTTTGCTTACCGCGGCAATCCGAGCGGGGGTGGCCATCCACAACCACCAACATGTCACGTCCTACGATTTCACCGTCCCAAAAGCCATCACAGCAGGCTTGAAGGAATGGACGGCTGACCTCATCATCTGTGCGGATGGTAGGGCCTCTTCACACTCCCTGTGCGGGGAATTTCAGTACTGACGTATACGGATTTGTCCTAGGAATTAAATCCACGGCTCGACCCCTTCTGACCGGCCAACCAGACCGCCCGAGAGATACTGGCGACGTGGCCTACCGCATCCTCATCCCTGGGAAGGACCTCCTTGCAGATCCAGACCTTGCCGATCTTATCACGGATCCCGCAAACACATCTTGGTGTGGACCAGATGCCCACCTCGTCGGCTATCCCATCCGTGCTGGCGAGCTGTACAACATCGTCGTATGTGCTACTTCACAAGGGGAGACAACAGATGACACCTGGGTGGTGGAGGGCAACAACGAGGAACTTTGTGCGCGATTCTCCGGATGGGAACCACGGGTGCAGAAGCTATGTCGATTGACTCAGTCATTTATGAAATGGCGTTTGTGCGATCTTCCTGTGCTCTCGACTTGGGTGCATCCGTCCGGTAAAGCATGTCTTCTGGGCGATGCGTGTCACCCGATGCTTCCCTACCTAGCTCAGGGAGCTGCCCAGGCCGCTGAAGATGCAGCTACGATCCGCAAGGTGCTGGCGGAAAGAACCGACATTGCGAGTGCGTTGAAACGGTATGAGCGTGTCCGAAGCCCAAGAGCGTCACTCATCCAATCGAAGACACGAGAGCATCAGTATATCCTGCACATTGGCGATGGGAGTGAACAACGTCAACGAGACGAGGTCATGCGGCATGACAGTCCCTCTAGCCCCATCTTTTGGGGACATGCGCTGCGCCGGGAGTGGCTATTTAGCCATGATGCCGAGAAGGTTGACATTAACACAAACCCAGACGTAAAGAAGTCTGTTCTTTAATGATCCGTCACGCCCTTCATGTGGCTTATACTTGGTCTGCATGATACCTGAGTATGTGGTGTTTACCAGAATATTATTTTTGGATGTTTGGCACTGGTCCCAGCCTACGAGATGACATAGTAGAGTCCTTGGTTGCGTTCAGATCCGATATTGTCCCTAAGCATAATGCTATTGGAGCTCATAGTCCAACCTTCAGTCCTGCTGCCGTCATCTGCCGATCCATATCTCTGATCGGAATCTCAGATCCCCTCTTCCTTGCGGGGACCCCGCATCTCTCGGCTTCGTCAACCCATTCGGATAACTGCATCCTTGCTGTTTCTGCCAAGGACATATACCCATCTTCATCATCTCGAAGAGCTATTGTCTCTAGACCAAGCTAGCTGCTTACGTACCTAACATCTAGTCCGTTATCATGCCTGTGTATATCCCCTCCACCCGCAAAGTCGCCGTCTGCCTCGATACCCAACATATTACGGTTGAAGAGCGCCCAATTCCAACACCTCGCGATTCGGAGGTTCTGCTGCAGATTGAAGCTGCGGGGATCTGCGCGACAGATTTACATCTCGTCCGGAAGTCAATCCCATACCTCCAACGCAAGGTGGATATCTGTGGCCATGAGGGTGTTGGACGGATCGTTGCCGTGGGACCGGAGGTAGATGCTGCGCAGTGGCAGATCGGAGACCGAGTCGCACATCGATGGATCTATGATGTTTGCCTGGAGTGTGAGATGTGTCGAGGGGACAATGAACAGTTATGTGATTCCAGGAAGCTGAGTGGGAAGGACGTGGAGGGATGTTGGGGTGGTACTGTCTCCTTCAGAATTTCCTATCATGATGGATAAATCAACTGAACCTGTTAGAATATACGATTGTCAACACGCGGTATCTCATGCGCATCCCGGAGGATATGTCTGCTGTTGAAGCTGCGCCGACACTGTGTGCCGGTATGTATGGCACATGTCGTATCAACATGCAAATGCTGAATCGTGTGGAAATCTAGGCACAACTGCATACAGGGCACTTCGAACTGCCGGTCTTGCTCCTGGCCAGTGGGTAGCTATTGTCGGAGCTGGGGGCGGCTTGGGACATTTGTGAGCCATCACCCATTCATCTCACCACCGGTGCTCATATTAGACAGAGCAGTACAATACGCACGAGCGAGCGGCCTCCGGGTCCTAGGCATCGACACAGGCTCAAGCAAACGAGAGCTCTGTGGCCGACTCGGAGCGACTGCTTACGTCGACTTTATGGAGTCACAGGTATAATCACTGTAGTGCCTGGTGGGAGTTAAGGGATGACTGACATGAAATTGTTAGGACCTCGCATCAGATATCATTCAGCTGACTGATGGTGGGCCTCATGGAGTGATCGTGGTCAGCTCCAGCACCAAGGCATACGAGCAGGCCTTAACATATGTTCGGAAGACGGGCATCATCGTCTGCATTGGAATCAGTTCGTTGCTGCTCTCATCTTTCTGGTTACTCGCACTAACCCATCTGGCAGCACCAAACAAGATGAACTTCCCTGTTGGTCCCGAATATTTCGTTGCTCGCGGTATCCGACTCACCGGCAGCAGCACAGGGACGATGAAGCATACTCAGGAAGCGTTGGAGTACGTCCGTGATGGTCGAGTGAAGCCGAGGATTGTTGAGACCCGGTTGGAAGAGATTGAGGCGTGTTTGCAGGCGCTGGAGAAAGGGGAGGTGGAGGGTCGTTTTGTGGCTACTTTTGATCGGAGACATGGCCGTCTATAACATCTCATACAACTTCGCGCTTTGCGGCCTTCTTTGTCTTATTCTCAGTCCATCCCTGACTCCATGTATCCTACTTTTGATTGACACAAAAGTATACAACATCCAAGGCTTTATATGACTTCCTCGCTCTTGGCATGTTCATTTCACAGTTGTATCCCACATAGTCGTATCTCCAGTATTAACGCCAGGAAACTATACAGTAGACTCATATGACGAAACCACTCCTTAAGTCTCATCAACCACACAAATAATCTTTCCAGCGTTGACATTCGACTCCAGTCGCTTATGAGCATCCGTCACCTGCGTCCAGGGGTACACCTTGTCCACCGTCGTTTTCACCTCCCCGGTCTTCATATGAGGAAGGATCTTCTCGGCAAACAGATCCCTTAACTGTCCTTGATAGTCAGCAGATCTGGTTCTCAATGTCGTCGCCAGCAGCCAAATCCGCTTATTGAGCAAGGCGCGCAGATCAAAGTCATCCACCTTGCTTCCACTGAGCGCTGCTACCAGCACCATGCGGGAGTCCATGGCAGCCGAGGCCATGTTCTGGTGGAAATAGTCCCGTCCGACCAGGTCGACAATCAGATCTACACCGCGACCATTCGTCTCCCGCCTAACCACCTCTGCAAAGTCTTCCCCGGAGCGATAATTGACTGCAAAGTCTGCCCCGAGGGAGCGACATAGGTCGCATTTTTGGTCACTTCCTGCCGTGGTGAAGATGTTGGATGCGCCGCCGACCTTGGCGATTTGGATGGCGGATTGACCGACTCCTGAGGCACCGGCGTGGATAAGCACTGATTGACCAGGTTGGAGGTTACCAACTAAGTGAATGGCTTGGATAGCCGTGAAGGAGGTCTGATCTATTAGCAAGCTGAAAACGGACACAAGGAATAGATCCTACCTCAGGAATGCCGGCTGCTTCTTCAAAAGACAACGTCGAGGGCAGATGCATGAGCATCTTCTCCGACACTGCAATCTTCTGGGCATACTGTCCACTGTCAATGGGGTGTCAATAACAGGGAAACCCAGACCTACTGCTCCTCCATAAGCGAGACCAAACACCTTGTCGCCGACCTGAAAGTCATCCGAGCCTACCCTCTCAGCAAGTATCCTCCCATAGCCTTAACAAACTTACATTCCGGCCCCTTCTCCTCGACAATCCCACTAAACTCGACGCCCATAATCTTCCCCGACTCGGGTAACAACGGATACGGATACCGATCCTCTCTCTGCATAATATCCATGCGATTCAGACCAAAAGCCTTGATGCGCACCAGCACGCGATTCCCCGTCGGAACCGGATCCGCGACCCCCTCCTCGATGAAGAGGGCATCTGCGTCGCCTTTGCCATTCCTGACGCCTACGGCCTTCATGTCGGTTAACTCTTTGAAAACAACTGCACGAAAGTCGGCTGTAGATCGGACAGGTACCGGCGCGACACGGGAATAATAATGATTCACGCGCGAACCCCGCTGACATCACTTGCGGGGAAATGAACAGCCGGGGGAGAAGGCGAGGCCATTGCAAGTTTGCAACGGGCCCGCAGCGGATCCCAGGCTCCGTCCGACGGAGATCGACTCTCCGTGGCTGTCGTGGTCCGTCTATCCGATGCAGGGCCGCCACGATGCCATGGTCCATGACCTGTGGGAATTTAGCCACTGGGTATAAAGTACGTAGGATTCAGAATCAGTCGATGGATTTGCCTAGCAACGAAGACTAACCTGGTACCTCGACCAATCGAACGGTCTTACATCTACCACAACATACATCACCACCAGAGTCAAAACAACACCGACACCATGTCGACCACCATCACCGAAACCACGCCCCAAAACGGGCACAGCAATGGCTCAACCTCTAGCAACAACTTCTTCGAGGAGGTGCATTTCCTCGGCGACAAAGAAGGCCGCGTGGTGATCCGCTCGCCTCCCAACTTCAACACGCCCGAAGAAGAGCGCGAATACCAGAAACAGCATCTGGCCGCGGCCTTTCGCGTCTTCGCCAGACAGGGCTTCGACGAGGGTGTCGCCGGGCACATCTCCCTCCGTGATCCCCTTAATCCCCGTAACCCCCTTCCAACACCCACTTTCCCCCTCCGCACACCCTAACTAACCAACGTCACAGACCACTTCTGGATCAACCCGCTCAGCATGCACTTCTCCATGATCCGAGTATCCGACCTCGTCCTCGTCAACGAAAAAGGCGAAGTCCTCCCCGGCGGCGCGCAACACCCGATCAACGGCCCCGCCTTCGCCATCCACAGCGAAATCCACAAAGCGCGCCCGGACCTAAACGCAGCCTGCCACGCACATTCCGTATACGGAAAAGCCTTCTCATGCTTCGCCCGACCCATCGAAATGCTCTACCAGGACGCGCTGCGCTTCTACAACGATCTAGCCGTGTATCCACGGTACGGAGGCACCGTCCTCTCCACCGAGGAAGGCGCACGCATCGCCAAGGCATTAGGCCCGACGTGTCGGAGCGTGATCCTGCAAAACCACGGGATGATTACCTGTGGCCGGACGGTCGATGAGGCGGCGTTTTTGTTCATCGCGTTGGATCGTTGCTGTCATGCGCAGATGATGGCGAATGCGGCGGCCGGGCCGGGGTGGGAGAAGGTGTATATTAATCGGGAGGAGGCGGAGATGACGCATAAGAAGAGTGGGAATTCGAGTAAGATGTGGTTGGCGTTTCAGCCGTATTATGATCAGGTGGTGAGGGAGGATCCGTCGGTGTTGGAGTGATACAGTGGGTTCTATGAGGATGAGATGGGCGGGTGGGATGAGTTATGATGTGATGTATTTACTTGTTATTTGGATACTTTGTTTATGATTGATAGGAATGATGGTTCTAGCTTATCTATAAGTGTTGGTCTAGACATCATTAGTAGGGCACCACACCGTTGAAGATCGAGGAGATGGACATGTCCGGCTCGTTCATGAACCCGAACAGGAGATCGAGATCCTGGTTGAAGTCCTGGAAGCCGGACAGCTGATTGTCGTGGTCCAGTCGCCCCGGGCTAAAGTCCAGACCCGGGAAGGTTTGAAAGTCCAGGTTGATGTCCACCTGGAAGGGATCTTGGATGGCAGGGTCGCATCCTATGTCGTTAGTAGGAATGATGGTTCAGGGTGGACTAACATACCCGTTTGGATGGACATGCCGTTGGCCTCCATCAGCCGCCGGATGATCTTCGACGGTGCTGACACCCCGCAGTTGGGAATAGCCAATTCGTCCAGACAGCGCAGACACACTGTCAGTGGAGACGACGCTTCTTTCCGGCGCGTGCTTTCGCGAATGGCCGGATTTCGTGCATGGATGGTGCAGGCCACATACACCGCGTAGCTGAGCATGTAGTTGGCCCGCCGCAGTGAATAAGCGGATCGATAAGCCAGTGCCAGGCTTGTGATGTTGCGGGCGGCCGTGATACAGCGCTCCCAAGAGTCGGCCGGCGGATCCTCGGCGCGCAGATGCCCACTGCCCATAAATGGCCGATGGAGCAGGATGATGAGCGCGTTGTAGGTGGTCAGGAGGATAATCACATTCGGCGCCACAGCGGCCGGCGGGGACCGTCCATCATCCGCCCAGGGCTCGAACCGTAGCTCCCCCGGCAGCTTGCGGTACCACGTCGCCAGGCGACGATTGATCAGCTCCAGATACTTGCGCGTCTTGCGGCCCGTAGCACCCGCCATATAGAAGCGATCGATGATACTCGTCATGATCTTGGACAAGGAACACAGTTGCTGAAACACGGTCACCGAGTAGATGCGCGTAGGGACATGAGAGCGAATCTGGCTGTCCGGTTTCTGGGGATCGATATACTGCGTCCACAGCTCATTCTCTTCAAACGTGTCCATGAAGTCTCGAGAGACGTGGGCGTCCCGCAACTGGATCGTGAAAGGGCGTCCAAAGTATAAGCTCTGCAGCTTGTCGCAGATAAAGGCCGCCCAGAACACACGGCGTCGAACCTCGATATCCTCCGCACTGGCAGCCACCTCTTTGCAATCCAGATGCAATCCCAGGTCGTATACCATGCGCAGGGCAAACCCCGTATACAGCCAACCCTTCGAGGTTTGTCCCCGGGCGTTGAAGGTGCTGCCGAGCATGATCAGTCCGGCAATAGTCGGGATGCTGGAATGCGTCAACAAGGACTGTTCGGCCAGCAACTGATCGCATCGATCAAAGAATTGCTTCCCCGCAGATTCAGGCCGTCGAGGGTCTTCCCGGACTTCAAGTCGCTCCGAGAACTTGCTGGAACAGGCAAACACCGCATTGAGGAGAAACTCCGAGCAGTACGGCCCCCCCGTGACCAGATCCCGCATGAATGCCGGGCGATAGGTCAGCAGGAACGTGTGATGCTGCCGATTCCAATGCAGATCGAGCAGATGCAAGGCCAGCTCGGATGGTATGCCCCCAATAGTCGCGAGACGACGCAGGTCAGGCTCACGCTGGCGTTGTAGGGCTGCTTCGGCAATAAGCCGGTAGCGATCCGGCTCTGCAGCCGGTCGAGAGTGGGCGCCGTCGACCAGGCCGACGGGGCTCCGGGCATGCAACGCCGACGATGGGCCAAAGATGCCCACAGTGCCGCATTCGTCACGGGAGAGAAAGGTAGTGGGGTCATACTCCTCATCCTCCGAGGTGGTATCATCCAGCTCGTCATTGGGAGTAGACAGGGTCGAGGCGTTGTAGGCATCACCGGTCTGGGCCGGCTGGGCAGCCGGGATGGCGGCACTGGGGCCAGTCAAGGAGGGCGGCAGTTGCAAGAACCCATCCTGGACCTGGATCGCGTCCAGGATGCCAGCCCGGGCACTGGGCTCCGCATTCTTCAGGGCAATGATGACGTTCTCGGCTGCCCGCCGCTGGCGATGAGCCGCGTTGATGAGGGCTCTGGAGGGCCTATGGCCGGTCAGCCCGGCGTGGCCTGATCTGGGCCGCAGCCACCGACGAAGAAGACGTACCTCTGGCGGGGTGGGTCGACCACATAGACACATTGTCGATCATGGCGCTGGCACGAGCCACAGATGGGTTTCACATTGTCGCAGCGGATCTTGCGGACGCGACAGAATTGACAGGCCCGGGAGGTGGTCGGAGGAGACTGGCGCTTGGGACTCATGGCCGCACATGGCCGATTGCTCGGAGAAATGCGAGGGAAGGGAATCGAGGGGGGCTGATGGGAGAGTGGCCACGACGGTTAATTCAGAGGGCGCAGGGGGCAGCCGATCCGGGGGAGCCAAGAGAGACTAGTGGGGGGCACGGCCAGGCATGACGCGATGTCCGATCTGACATCTGCGGGGAAGCTGGGCAGGGACCTAGCATTGGGGGACTCTCGGCGGAAGAGCTTGGAGAGCTTCGACAAGCCTGGGAATGGTAGGATTGGAGGCCAGCTGGACCAGGGAGAGGGCTTTCCCGTTTAGGACGAGGGGGAGTTATTCTGACTAATACAAAACCCTCACTGCTGATTGGTCAAGAGGTCACAGGAGCACGGGCAGGCAGCCTCGCTTAATCTGGACTAGCGCCACGGAGCATTACGTTCCGTCGGGTCCCGTGATGTCATCCATCCCTCCTCCACAACTTGCTCCACTCGGTATGTCGGTCGGGTCCCGATCGATCGGACGTCCGATTGGGAATTGAGCCCCAGGAAGGGTTTGCATAGGCTTCAACGGGATGGAAGCAACACCATGCCTGCGTTGTGTGATACAGGAATGGCTTTACCTCGCTCGGAGCATAACTTCCCGTGGCGCGCATCAACAGAGGTCGCGACGCTTGGTACGACGCAGGATGGGAGCAGAAGTAGATAACCCATGTAGCTCCAATTTTACGACCGTGGCATTTCCAAGGCAGCATTTGGCATCATGAAAAGCATCGCCATGGCCACAAAACAACTCGCCACCGCTCCAGATGAGCGACACACCCCCAAGCAGAAGGTACATCGCCAGACCCATACCTAGACACCGCTAACCCTGGCAAGCCGCGTATTTCCCCCGGTGTCTCCCTCCTTGCCGGAGGCATGGCTGGGGGAGTCGAAGCAGCCATAACGGCATGTTCCACACTCCGACCCGACTCGCATCTCTAACGCCCTGCAGTATCCTTTCGAATTTGCCAAAACGCGTCTACAGCTCGGAGAGAATGCCGGTAGTCCAAGGAATCCGTTTCACCTCATTCGCCAGGTGACTGCAGCTGAGGGGATCGGAGGCATATACACGGGTTGCTCGAGTTTGATGGTAGGGACTATGCTCAAGGCGGGGGTGCGGTTTCTGTGCTTTGACTCGATCAAGAACCAGCTGGTGGACGATGCAGGTCGATTATCAACTGCCAATGGTATCCTGGCGGGTATGGTTGCGGGTGGTTTTGAGAGTCTGCTTGCTGTAACACCTACGGAGAGGATCAAGACTGCTCTGTAGGTGATCGAATCTCGAGACAGGATGGCGGAAGAATGACGCGTGGGACATGGCTAACCAGAGACCAGGATTGACGATGCCAAAGGTCCCCGCAGAGCCCGTGGTGCCATCCAGGGCACGTATATTCTGGTATCCCAACAAGGTGTCCGCAGTCTCTATCGCGGCTTGGTTCCTACGACGGTGAAGCAGTCGGCCACCTCGGCAGTGCGCATGGGGTCCTACAATATGCTGAAGGAGGCGTTTAAAGAGCATTCGATTCCAGTCAACGGAGTCACCACCTTCCTGATGGGCTCGCTGGCAGGCACTATCACTGTGTACGCGACGCAACCGTTCGACACAGTCAAGACGCGGGTTCAGGGCATGAGTCAGAAGGGCATGTCGCAAGCGGTCACAGAGCTGCTGCGCGAGGAGGGCATCCGAGGGTTCTGGCGAGGCAGTACCATGCGTCTCGGTCGGTTGGTCTTGAGCGGTGGCATTGTGTTTTCCGCCTACGAACAGTTTGCCTCGATACTGTCCAGTATGAATTAGACAGGCACTGCTACAGACGTAATCAAGATTATACCCTATTCGTTACATGCCTATGTCATATCTCAATGCTTGGGCGCAAGTTCCTCGACCTGCTTGCGGATCGAGTCCTCCACGAGCTCGGACAGCGTCGTCGTCTGCGTCACGCCGATATCCTCGTTGTCCCGACGATCGTACAGGGTGCCTCCCTCGGTCCAGATCCGCCGCAATGTGTAGACTGTCGCCTCGGGAGCACCATTGTCCCAGGCTTCCTTCTCAAGCGCCCGCAACTCGTCCAGCGGGGTGTATTCGACAGACCATGTACTTTTCGTGTGTGTCTCAAACACAGCTAATATCTCAGCCGGGGTGGTGGTAAACGAGTTGACTTTGAGGGCGCGGTTGCGGGCCGCATCCCAGTGGGTGAGGGTGTGCGCAACGAATTTCCCGACACTGTTCCGTCAGTATCGTCCACGGCTCTAATCAAGAAGCACATACTCCGCACAGGCGGTCAAACTAATCCGACCCTGTCCATCACCCAACAGCACAGCCTTCTTGGCGACCACATCGAATGTACCACCCCTAGGGGACCGCGAGCGACCCAGGTAGAAGGGAAAGTCCGCATAGGGTCCGGTCACGACGTAGGCATACTCGAGGTCACTGCGCACCTCCTTGAGGGCAGCGCGGACCTTCAGCTTCTGTTGGTGGGGCTTCTCGTGCTGCGAGGCGGGACTGTATTCGATGTCGGTGCCATACTCGGAGGGGAGGAAGCGCTTGATATTGGGGGTTTCGTTGGCCAGCTGGATGAGGGGAATCTGGGCCGCAATGGCGCCGCGACCGAGCGCGGAGATGATGGTGTCGACGCCTGTGCTGTTAGCACAACGCCTGAACGGATTCTTCCTAGGTTATGGTGTACCGTCGTAGGCTTTCAGCACCTCGTCGCGATTGGCAATGTTGCCGACCAAAATGTCGACCCCCTTGTGGCGGAGCGCGTTGATCTCGTCGGGCTTGCTGGTGAGGGTGTTGGGGCTGGTGAAGATGGCGATGCGACCAAAGGAGTCGCGGGCGTTGACGATGGCATCTATGATGTATTTGCCAATGCTGCCGGTGGCACCGAATATGAGGAGATTGGATTTGTCGGCCATGGTGACTGCCGAGTGCAATGGAGAGGAGAGTTGGATGGCTCGTGATAGATCCGGGGGGTTTGTTGCTTATAAACCCCGCCGGCTATGCGATACCCCGCCCTCGGATCGGCCGATAAGATCGTGTCTCTTCGGCCGTCACTACTCGATTCGACATGGACTTATAGTGCTGGGCTACAAGTTCAAGTTTACAAATCTTTCTTTCTACAGGGCTATATGCATTCTAACATGAAAAACTCGGTATCATTGTTGCCAAATCCTAGTACATAGCATTGTCGAGTCCCCCCCCTCGGATATATATTTACATGATCGCCGGCAGCACGCCATTCCCCTCCACGGTCACCCCAGAATACGTCATCTTAATCCTAGTAGTATCCCCATCACTGACTACTACTGAAACAGCCGAGCCGGATTGTTGACCCACAGGTTCTGCCAGGTTTCCTCGTTGGGGATCCATTCACGCAACGTTCGGATGTGCTCGGCATCGCCCACCTCCCGGAAGCCCTCCACCTCCTCCAGACGCTGCTGGTCCGTCTTGCCTTTGCGCGTCACCCCCAGTTGCGTATGCGGCCAGTCCGTGCCAAAGACAATCCGATCGGGACCTGCTGCAATGACGGCCTTGGCAATCGGCTCGATGGCCTGCATCCCGCTCGTGTGTCCGTGGTACAATCGCTCAAAGCCAGACACCTTCACCCAGACCCTCTTCTCCCGGATCAGGTCCAGGAACGTGGCGAATTCGGGGGAGTTCTCTTCTCCGGGGAAGGTGCCCCCGAAATGATCCGCCACCATCTGGATGCGAGGATCCAGGTTGCGGATGGTGTCTGCCATGGCAGCCCAGGCACTGATGGGGCAGAAGATGCCAATGGCCCATTGCAACCGGGCCAGCCGGTCGGCCAGGGCCGTCACCTTCTTGATGATGTCGCTGCCTCCACTCTGCTTGCCGTGGCCCCAGGCCATCTCATGCAGACGGGCACCACGCACGCCCGCGGCGTGTAAGGCGTCGAGTTCCTGGTCGGTGATGGTGTAAGGGTCAATCGTTGCCAGACCCCGGAGAGTGTATCCGGGCATCTGCTGCTGCTTGGATAGCGTGTCGACCAACGGGGCCGGTGAGACACCTTGCATGGAGGCGTGCACGATGACAATGTTCCGGCAGCCGGTGATGGCCGTGGGGTACTCGGCCATCTGGGCGGCCTTGGGGGTGTACGACCGCGGCACAGCATAGGGGAAGGTATCGGGGTCAAAGACATGGATGTGCGTATCCCACGCGTTGGGAGGGACGAGCTCAGCCATGGTAAGAAATGGGATCAGATGCTGACTGCTGATAGTGCCGATGAGGGGAGACTCCAGCTTGCAGTAATTTTGCTGGTCCTGATAGAAACCTGCGATCAGTTCAACATGTATGCACGACTGGCATATATGTCCCTCCAGCTGACCTCGGACGGTTGCATCATTGGCTGGAGCTTGATGCTCCATTCCGCCTCGGACCGGCATAGTACAGCCCCCCCCACGGACCATCATCGTCCGTCCAGCCACTCTGTTGGGACCAAGGAGGATCAGCCCCCGTGGGGAACATCCCTGTCCTCAGGTCCGGGAGCTGGGGGATTGGCATTGGACTGGATGGAGGCTTTGAGCTGGGCGTGGTAACGGTGCTGAAATGTGACAGAATAGCGGCCAGTCCATGTTAGGCCGGTTGATTGATATGAGCCATCCTGGCTAATTGAAGACGGAGAAAAGCAAGACAAAACGCCCGAGAAGCACCGTGCAGTCGAATTATCTGCAACATGCTGATGAGGTAGACTCAATGCATCTGCTGTATAAGTGAGAGAGCTGCCGATGAGGAAAGTTACCAGCGGTTAGGCGAGTCATGCAGCGGCAAATGCATGACAGGACGAGGCCACCTCGCTAAGCTCAGACCCAGCGAGCTGGCGACGTCGCAGACCCTAGGACGACTCCCCCGCAGCTCTGGGGTACCCCATATGCCAAGCCGATGCCAAGTGCGATGGCAGCGATCGAGGTATAAACCCTGCCTCGCTCTGGCTGTGTGTTCTGAATCATAGCCTCCAGCATCTATCCACCTCACTATGACCATCCTCACCACCCTGGCTGCCCTCCCCCGGGAGATCGGCTCCACATTGCGGATGAAGCCCATCCAGGCGTTGATTTGGCTGGCCTGCTGGTCCTGCTGGACGCTGGGCTCCTTGCAATACTATGCGCTGCCGTTCACCCTCAGCGATGTGGCCGAATACCTGGACGTTGCGCAGTCGAATGTCTCGGAGGCCAACACGACCACGATGATCTCTCGGGCCGTCGGAGCCGTCATCTTTGGCATCCTGTCCGACCAGTACGGGCGGAAGATTCCCTTGCTGATTGATCTGGTTCTCATGGGCGGATTCACCGTGGCGACGGGGTTCTCTCAGACCTTTCCCCAGCTGATCGGGTTCCGCTTTTTGTTTGGTGGGTAGCATCCATCAGCAGTGTCGATGGGTCACTGACATCTGTAGGCGTGGCCTACGGTGGCACATATGGTCTGGTCATGGCGACAGTGCTGGAAGCCGTCCCTGAGAAGGCTCGTGGCGTTGTGGCAGGATTCACGCAGCAAGGCTTCTCAGCGGGATACCTTTTTGCCTCGGGGCTCCATCTGGCTATGAGTAAGCCTATCTATCTTCTCATCCAATGCAATCCTGATATATGTGGTAGATCCCTACGGCTGGCGCTCCCTCTTCTGGCTCTGTGCGGGTCTTACCCTACCCGTGGGTATCCTGCATGCCGTGACTCCCTACTACAGCGTCGCCTCCGCCGTCCAAGACGAAGAAAATGGTACCGGAGCGCAAGGCCCCCGAGCGGCAGTGGGCGGAAACCTCCCCTTTCTCAAGAAAGTGACCTACGTGCTCCGCTACCACTACAAAGCCTTCATCTACGCCTGCTGCCTGACCAGTTGCCTCGCCACCATGGGCCACGGCACCATGGATCTATACCCCACCTTCCTCGTCACCCAACGCAAGCTGAATATCCTCGAGGAAACCTGGGTGACCTGTATCCTCCAGATCGGCGGCATCCTGGGCGGTGTCGTCGGCGGATTCCTCTCACACAAGTTGAGTGCGAAATGGGTCGCTGCGGGTGCCGGCCTCCTGGTCGCGCCCTGGCTCCCACTCTGGGTTCTCCCGACGAGCTGGAACCTCCTTGCCCTGGGGGCCTTCTTCCTGCAGTTCTTCTACGGCGCTGCGATCGGCAACCTAGGGAATCTACTGCAGCAACTCTGCCCGCATCCCGGCATCCGCGCCGCCTTTACGGGGGTGGCGTATAACATTGGAAATGCAGTTTCGTCGGTCGCGCCCACGATCGAGACGGCCTTGGGCGAGAGGTTCCCGACGAAGGATGGATCACCCGACTATGCACGCACCCAGATGATTCTAGTGGGAATTGTAAGTCTGCCTCCTATGTGCTATGCTGGTAGGGTGCTAATGGAGATGTCTAGGTGATCTTCCTCCTGGTGCTTACTTTAACTCTGATGCCGCTGAATCGGTTGAATAAGAGCTGGGATCGCGAGGATCCGAATACCCAGATCCCGACGACGCATCCGGAGATGGAGGTACTGGATAAGCCGGATGTCAAGGGGCAGGACGGAGAACGGGGTGGGTCAACTCATGTGGAGGACGTGAAGACTTGATCATTCTGGGATCCCATGATGCATGATCGGGTACTGTTCCATAAATCTCTGTCAATGGGATGTGTGGTCTCTTGTTAGGGTATGCTATGGTGTTAGGCGTTGTCTTCGACGATCATGGAATGGAATTATTGAAAGCTGAAGATATGGCTGGTTATCGTAACGTCGTTCCCCTTGACAATCCATCCTTCCAGCAGGCGGGATGCCAGTAATCCATACAACTGGAGCTATGTCGTTTGCAGTAGAAGACTTGTCTTGAAGAACCGAGAAATCAATTGCTCAAAATGAAAAGCCGTGTCACATTATATCACAAACATGCCCCTACTCCGTCTTGACCTTCAAGCTTTTATGCAGTGTTTCCACCACATCCAGCACCGTCTGCCCTCGTTGTCGATCGCCCGGCTTCTCCTGACCGAGGATCGGATCATCCGCCACCGTCTGATAGACCTGAGCTACCGCATAAAACCTGCCCCCAGTTAGCTAGCAGACCCGATCAACAATTCAATATCCACAGAACATACAAATCACTCTCAAACCCCCCATCATCGCGCATCGTATCCCCAATCTCCCTCATCTCCCTGACCCAGCGATACGCCTTCGGCGGCATCCCCACCAGCCCCTTCTCGGCCAGCCGCAGCGTCGCAGGATTATACTCCTCCAACAACCCCTGCAGATGCGGCAATACCCCCAACGCATGAGCCGTGGTAAACGACTGAATGGCCAACGAAGTAAACCCCTTGGTCAACGACGCAAAACACATCTTCAACCCGGTCGCAACCCCAATCTCCTCCGAGAGATGCTTCATATTCAGCGTCCGCGATAATTCCTCATCGGGTAACTTGACCGGTCCCGACACGATCAAGCTCGGACAATGCCATGCCGGCTTATCCGCTGACACCGTCTCGGATGATACCGGCCTCGGCGGACCCCCGACAATCCCCCCATCGATGAAGCGAAGATGCGACCCCGCGGCGTCGATGATGGCTGCGATTTCACGCGCCGTTTGCGGTGACACAGCGTTGAGATCGACGATCCAGAGAGGCGTATCGCGGACTAAAGGTCGCGCGGAGGATGCCTCGACGATGCGACGGGCGGTGTCGAGGGCGTCGCGGGGAGGCACGATGGAGAGAAGACAGTCACTTTGGTCGACGAGGTCTTGCAGGGAGGCACGGAGTTCGATCCCGGCTTTCCAGGCTCGGCGTTGGGTGGCTTCGCTGTGAGGGGTTAGTTCTTAATCAAAAGGGCAGATATGGTGCAGGAGGGAGGAGGCAGATGCAACATGTCCGGGCGGGGGATGATTACCTCCGATCGGACGCATAGGTTAGTACGCGGTAGTTGTGGGCGATGAGGAGCTGGGCGATGCCTAAGCCCATCTCCCCGATGGAGAGGATGCCGATGGCTTCGGGGAAGGTGGACATGGTGTGGATGAGGAGATCTTCTCTAGAGAGGTGGATGAAGGGATGAAGGGAGATGGTGAGGGGTTCTTGAAGAGCCGGCGGGGTAGGGTCAGCATCCCGGCAGCCTATCGCGGCGTCTCATCCTCCGCTCAGGGGATGTTGAAGTTGGATGTGGCACGGTTGGTCACGCAACTCCTGAATATATTCTGCGACAGATAACATCCGGACTACAGTCTCCCGCCAAAGATGAACTCGGTCCGTGCAGTGGTCGGTGCCTGGGAAAGTCATCCGATCGCCGAAGAGGACGCGTAAAGGTTAAGTAGAAAGCAGTCTCCTGATCAAGGGCTGCGGATATGATGACATGCGGGAAAGATGGAAATTAAGACAGGAAAACGATACCTTCACGATAGTAAGCTGTCGCTTAATCGGTGGATTGCTTCGATAGAAGACAGCGGCAATCGGCCTTGATGGTCTAGACCCGGTCCGTGGATGTCAATCGCTGAGGAGCTGCAGGGACAGGAAGCATAACCAAGGACGGGCACCGAACAACCCTGGTAGACCGTCATGGCCAACTGCCCACATGGCGTGGTTCCTGAATCTGTCTTCAGCATGAATCACTTTGTTGGAACTCCCCCAAATCAAGTCTCGCGACGCATTGTCGCAGGCTTTACCAGTACATGATTCGCCGGCCAGTCTCAGGCTCTTGGATCATAAGTTGACGAGTGTATGGGGTGCTCTCCTGTCATCCGGTTCATTGACATCATTGCTTGAGTGGTCGGGATCTATGTGCATAACACGACCTTTCCGAGTCACCCTGAACGTCTGAGACGGGAGATCCGGCCGATATGGATCCAGCTTGACTCCGACTGAGATCCCGAGGACCCGATTGAGTACGGCATTAACAAGTGGATCATGCAACATGAAGCCATGCAACATGAAGCCATGGTCGGAAAACCCCAACAATCCCCTGAACAAACCCGGTGGCTGTGGCTGACAGCTAAACAATGAGTCAAAGACCCCCTTATCCCATCGCCAATGTCGACCTGCATTAAGCGAGGGATTTGTGAATAGGTGAATGGCGGTCGGAGGTACCGAGTTCCATGTATATCTGGCACAAGATACTGCTCCATTCTGAGACCTCGGCAAACTTGCCACGATCGCGATCACTATCAACCACATGGGCTGGATCGATGGAGTTGCAAAGAGCAAGGCACAGCATTGCTGCCTCATCTTATGGGTCACTCTTTTCCTGACTCAGGATCCCTGTGCCCTGAGCAACCTACCAACATCCCGATATCACGCACTTCTCGAAGTGAATGCGCAGACTTCGAGAATCACGCCCTTACCGCGGCCAAAAAAAAAAAAAAAAACAAGATCTACAGGCCCAGGGAGGAAGGTCACGCAGCTGGCATAGTTACACTCCGGTTCGGGATGATGAATCCTTCATCCTTGCGATGTTGACGGCGGCTTGCAGGACTGCTAGGATGGAAAGGGATGCTGCAATGCGCAGGTCAAGCGTCACAGCTGCCACCTCGCGTAGGTTATCCTACCATACATCAAAGCCGCACGGACGGCTGGTGACGACCCTGGCTGTGATGACATGGCTGGTGCTCCGGACTGCAATCGGACTGGACTCGTCCCCACGCAAATCCCCTGGGTCCGGCACCTCCTTGCCTCGAGCGCCGGCTGCGGCTGCATCGTGGCTGGTTTGCTTTTTTCCACCACGGCAAGTCAGCCATAAAGGCCGCGATGCAGTCCGGTCTTTGATAGCGAATCTATAGTGCCAAAAAGCAACAACGTCACCTTCGACCACGGACGATGCGGAACAGAAGATGGTGTGACTGCCGGGTGGTTTAGTCACTGGCGGAGAGGCAATGTGCAAGGTGCTGCCGATGAACCCCTGAAAGGGAGTTCCAAAGGAGTGTTGGGCATCACTGCCATGGGCCTTCCAGTTGATCTCCGATGATCTTCCATCCTCCCAGCGTAGCAGGGTGGTTTCACCATCGACACTTGAACGATGGACTTGCTCTCGCAAAGTCCGGTATGCCGCTGACTTCTGCCTAGGTTGACATGTCGATTCTTGCTACGGATAATGCTGACTTGGAGCAGACGAATGGCAGACATGCAGCCAGATGATCGACGGCTCCGAGATGCGCATCGGGCAATCCCCCGGCGCAATCCAGGGCATCCCAGTCCCTGTCCGAATAGCGGCGCCGATCCGAGCGATCATTTGGCTCCCGGTGCGACATGATGATGCGGTCCTGTCGATCCATCCGGGGCGGGAATGTTCGCATGCTCGGCCACGCAATGAACTATGGCGATCTGGATTGAAACGGTGGTCTGTGCATTGCACATTGACTCATCTGTGGTCCTGATAGTTAGTTCGTTAGTTCGTCTTTCCGCCAACCGCGTCAGTCGAGGTAAGAATTACGGTGGCGACATGGCAGCACCAGCACTCATCATCGAGGATGATGGCCATGGCAGCGCGTTCAGGAAAATGAAATCCGGTGGATGTGGATTGACCGGATCAGCCGTGGATCAACCGTGGATGCTTGGGCTCCACCCGGACGAGCGACGCGCAAACCACCGCAAGGGATTCCCGCCCACCATGGCTGTTAGCGGTGCAAAATCTTATCACTAGCGTCAGGGTGGCCACGGCCCGACTTATCAACGGCTGCCCGGCTGGCCACCGAGTCAGGGGGACGGTCGCGACGCTGCCCATGGCGGCTGCCCATTTTCTGCCTGATCCCATTAAGACCCTGACGCTGCGCTGGTCTGGTCCACTCTGCCCCAGTCGGACGGAGACCTGATCCCGAGATTCCATAAAAGCATCGCCAGACTGCAGACTTCGGCCTCGTGCGGTACGAGAATTTCTCAACCCTTTTTGCCCGGTTGTCTTCGTCGAGATGTCTGCCGACGAGCCCTACCCGACCCGGGATGCATCCCGATCGCCGAGTCCCGTCGACGAGAAGGAAAAGGCCGCCCAGGTGACGCAGACCAGCGTGGATTCTGCTCCCATATCGCGAAGATCCTCCTTCTCGGCGACCTACCCGGCCAGCAGCAGCCAATTCGCCTCCACCCCCGCGACTGGGGCCCAAACCCCGGATCCATTGTTCGCCCATTTGGCGGCTCCCGATGATGCGCTGAAGAAATTCCCGCACACCATTACACGCGCCCGGGATGACAGCGAGGATGACTCTTATGGGTTGCCTGTCGCACGGCCCAGTCGCGGTGATGCCGATCCAACCGACGGCCAGCATCTCAGCTACCGACGGCCTTCCCTGGCCCCGCGGGACCAGGATTTTGCGGACGAGGCCGGCTCTCCACCACCCCCCAAGCGGACCCAGGGCCGGCCTCCGGAGATTAGCAGTTTCGGCGCCGAGATTGTGCTCGTTATGGTCTGCTCCGCGGGTCTGATGTTGTTCTCGTTCCTTCTGGGCGATGTGTTGGCTCCCCAGCTGCAGTTTCGGGAAGCCCTCGGCATCACCAACACCGAGCTGCCTTGGCTGGTCGGCTCATTCAACGTGGCCAATGGCCTCTCGGTCGTGGTGTCGGGCTCTCTGACCGACCTCATGCCCCCGAAGAGCCTGATGGTGGGGGCCTTCCTCTGGCTCAGCGCCTGGAACATCATCGGGGCCTTTTCCGTGCACCCGTCACGGTATGTGCTGTTCTTCGTGGTGCGCGCCATGCAGGGCCTTGCCATCGGGGTGCTGGTCTCGGGCAGCATGAGCATCCTGGGCCGTGTCTACAAGCCGGGCATTCGCAAGAACCGCGTGTTCTCGGCCATGGCTGCCTGTGCCCCGTTCGGCTTCTCGCTGGGCGCCATTGAAGGCGGGCTGCTCTACCGCCATCTCCCCTGGATCTTCGGCTGCAACGCCATCATCACCGCCATTTGTGCCGTGGGGGCGTACTTTTCCATACCTCCGCTACGACCCATGGCGGATACCGCAGGCGGGGAAGTGCCCTCCCTGCGCCAGTTCGACTTCCTCGGCGCGGCCTTTGCCGTGGGGGGCTGTGTCTGCCTGCTGTTCGGTCTGACGCAGGGTGGCGTGACCGACTGGTCGGTGTACACCTGCGTGCTGACCGCCGTGGGGATCGTGCTGCTGATCGGTCTGTTCATCGTGGAGCGGTACGTGACCCGGCCGTTGATTCCGACGCGGCTGTGGAAGACCAAGGGCTTCACGCCGCTGATGATCGCCTACTTTATGGGCTTCGGGTCATTCTTTGGCGCCTGGCAGTTCTACGCCATCCAGTTCTGGCTGCGGATTCAGCATGCCAGTCCGATTGACGTGGCATTGTATCATCTGCCGAATGCCATTTTCGGCGTCATCGCTACCTGGGTGGTCAGTCGCACCCTCCATCTGGTACCGGGACATTACATCTACACCATTTCCATGTTCGCCTTTACGCTGGGCCCGGCCTTCTTTCTGCCTCAGACGCCAACCACGACGTACTGGGAGCTGTCGCTGCCGGGCGTGGCCTTGGTCACGTTTGGCCCGGATCTCGCCTTTGCGGCGGCGTCCATTTTCATCACTAGTAACGTGGCACGCTCGTACCAGGGCAGCGCAGGCAGTTTGCTGGTGACGAACCAGAACTTGTCCTCGGCCATCATCACCAGTGTGGCGGATGCGATTGGCACGCGGGTGGACAAGCAGGCCGATGGCAGTGTGGGACTCCATGGCCTGCGGTCTATCTGGTGGTTCGCGCTGGGGTGTCAGTTGGTGGCGGCGCTCATCACGGTCACGTCGGTGCGGATCCCCAAGGAGGAGGAGAAGGAGCATGTTACGTGATCTGCTTTGATCCTGTTTGTTGATACCCATTTGTGGAGAAATGGGATTCCACCGGATAGATGAGGATATACATAGATTTCGGGTTAGAAAAAAGTACTTAATTCTGATGGACCATATGCTTGAATGTCCCAGGTCAATGCCTGTAGGAAAGGGATCCATCTTGAAACCCTAACCCGGGTGCATGGATGGACTCATTACCCCAGTCATCTGGCTGCCCTATCATCGCCACCATGAACATCATCCTCTCACAATTCCATGATCCACCACCGGCAAGGGCAACCTCCGATGCAGCCGTTCCTGAATCCCCTCCGCATCATCCCCCAACAACCCCCGTCTCAGCAGAAAGTCCACCACCACCACCACCACCGCACTATTCGGCTTAAACTCCCCCCTCGCCAACGCCTCCAGAACCTGCTCTGTCCTCCACAGTCGAAAATCCTCAACCTCTCGTCATCCGTCGGCATTGGGACCATCCCTGCCTCCATTTTCAACTCAAACAAATACTCCACCTCAGGCTGCAAGAACCCCTCCCTCATTCCCCCTTTGACATGAAAATACGAAATCCGATCCACAAATCTTACCCCTCTCTCCAACCCCTCCATCGGAATGGAGGCCTCCTCCGTCGCTTCCCGCATAATCACCTCCCGGGGTAACATCCCCGTACTCAATCCCCCCCGCGGCAGTGGTATCCAACATGCCCGGATAGGTCTGTTTCTGAGATGAGCGCTTGGCGATCCAGAGCTTTACTCCTGTGCTATCTTCCGTATAGCACAACATCTGCACGCCGTACGTAACGATACCGAAGAGAGCACTCGCAGCGCGTTCGATTTCCAGGACCACCTCCCCGTTTAATCCATAGATGGGGAACGTTTCATCGCGCCACCCGGTGAAAAGTTGCATATCTGCCATCTGGCGGATGGTGGGTTCTAGGGTTGCCGTGCGGGTGCTTGCCGTTGCGGTGGGGACTGTCATCAAGGTAATGGAGGAGGCGGTGGAGTCGATAGTCCAGACATTGTTAGGCCAGGGGAAGGTGAAGATGAGGGTGTTAGGGATGTAGCCGAGGGTGGAGGAGATGCCGTTTCCGTGGAAGGTGTGGTAGTTTTGTAGGAGGGTGGTGGTGGTGGGGTGGTAGGGGAAGCTGGGGTGGTTAGTTGGGTTTGGGTAGGGTATTGGGGAGACGTGCTTGTCAAGGTCAGCGACGACGTCGTACATGGGTTTGGTCATGGTATAGAGATTATCTAGACAGGAGAAATGGGGTGATGCCGGATATGCGGGGAACTATCAGCGATGCTAGCTGGCTGCTTGGCGAGTTGCTGGGATTGGTGGCTGGTGTGGTGTGTTAGGGTGGTGGTATAACTGGATGTAGACAGTGCCGAATTGCGGCCTGGATAATGGATGGATGGTCTTTCTACTTCAGAACTGCTACCGGATCAGCCCATCGCCACGTTGTCTTCAGCCGGAACTCGGAAGCACAAGCATCGCGGGTAGTGCTAGCGTGTTCCGATATAGCAGCAACTTGAGCCACGGCAGAGCCATACCCTCAGCCACCAGTCGCGATATATGGATAGAGACTACGGAGTAAGGAGAATATTAGGCATAGATCGGCGCTGGTGGGCCTGGAAACGAGCGATTTAAAAGCATCATATAAGGTGGAAGGTGCATCCGACGGATGCTTATCTCCGAGGGATTTCCCGAGCCACATCTCCGAGACCATGTCGATCACTCACGATGCATTAAAAGCTGTTTAGTCTGCAGGGCAGGATCACACGCATCTAGTGCTAGACCAGTACCAATCTCACCAATGACCGTTTCCATTCAAGAATCCCGACCGCTGCAGGTCCTCATCGTCGGGGCCGGCATCGCGGGGCTGACGGCTGCCATTGCTCTCGGCAAGCAGGAGCATCATGTTGTGGTAAGTAATACCTTAGACTATGTGGCATCAGCATGCTAACGGGATAGATTCTCGAGAAATCCAAGTTCTCCCGCGAGGCTGGTGCAGCCATTCACGTGCCCCCCAACTGCACGGCCCTCCTCAACTGGCTGGACATTGACCCCAAGGACTTTGGTGGAACCTTGTTGGAGCAGGTATACCCCCTCCCACGGAGTATGCATTTGATGTAGACGGCTAAGCGAACAGATTCACCGATATGATCACCTTGGCAATCTCAGATACCAGAGAGACTTTACCGAGATTCGTCAAAAGTGGCAGGCAGTATGTTTCCTACCCCATCGGTGGATCATGCTAACAGGTCAGGAATGGTATCTGGTCCACCGTGTCGATCTTCATAATTACCTGAAACAGCGGGCTCTGGAAACAGCCACCCTTCACATGGGCTGCAAGATCGTCAACATCGATGTGGCTAGTGAACGCCCGTCAGTGACACTCGACAATGGGGAGAGATTCGAAGGAGATATTCTTCTTGGAGCAGATGGCTTGCACGTATGTCTCGCCACTCACTATTGATTGAACGACAGCTTACCCTGGTAGTCGATTGTCCGCAACGAGATTGGCCAAAATTCCCCGTATCCATTCCCCGCGGGCAAGTCCTGTTTCCGATGGCTTCTCCCGACCGATGACCTGCGCCATCTGCCTGCCACCCAGGACACCGTCCGAGATCCAGGTGTCTTCATCGAATGGGCGGGTGAGGATCGCCGGCTTGTCGCATATCCGTGTTCCGACAACAAAATGTTCAATCTCTGTGCGTTCCTCCCAACCGCAGAAGCTGGGGGTACTGCCGAGGGTATGTTTTTGCTTCCATCCCGTGAGATGTGTCTGACAACCATAGGCTGGCAAGCTATCGGAAGCAAGGAGGCTCTAGTCGCTGGATTTTCCGAGTTTAGCCCGGATGTAAAAGAACTTGTTGATGGGGCGGACGAGAATCTGAAAGTGTGGGAATTGTTCGACATGAAGACCCTCCCCTCGTGGGTGAGGAGATATTCCGCGTTGCTGGGTGATGCAGCACATCCATTCCAGCCTTGTGCGATTTTCCCCTCTCTGCATCACTATGACATGGACTAATAGTTCTAGACATGGGCCAAGGAGGCGCCATGGCCATCGAAGACGCCGTATCTTTGGCAGTGCTACTCCCCGCCGGAACGCGCGTCGAAAACATCCCGCAACGGCTAGCATTGTACGAACAGGCGCGACGATCACGCGTGGAAATGGTTTTGGAATACACGCGCATCAACGGAGTCGATGAGAATGACACGACTGCGAAAAGAATCAGTGGTGAGTTTATTGCTATTTAGGATAGATACACGCTGACGGGTGTAGCTGCGGAAATGGTCAATTTCATGGGTATCTGCTTTTCGCATAATGAGATTGAGAACTCGAAGGCGCTGCTTGAGAGTTCTAGGTGGCAGTCATAGCGTGAGCTCTCTATGTTTATGTCCTCAAGAGGGTGTGTATTGCAGCTAGCAGCAGCATGTTTATCCGTGTATCTGCGACAACATGGGTCAACACCAGCGGACCATGGACATATACACATTAGCGTCGACCCTTCTCCCTATCATTTCACATAGTTAGCGATTAGATATATTGTAGCCTCTGAGTTGTAAACAGCAGATCCTTCTTTTTTTGTTTTATTCGTTTTACAATAATTTCACAACCCGAGCGGATTTAAGCCTAGCTGTGAATATATATTCCTGGTAGTCAAGATCAAAAAAGGATATGATTCCAATTGATTCGAAAAGTCAAGTCTATCCACTACTTAGACAGCCCTACCCAAGCAACATGAAGAACATCACTTGTACCGTATCAGAATCTCAAAATAGACTGCCGATAAGCAACTTGAATGTAATGCTGATCATCGGCATCCGATCGCCAAGCGTATCCGAAGCGATCGAAATTTTCACGCCTTACCGATAACGAGCAGCAGCAGCATGGCACTATAAACCCCTTCAGGCGGAACCACAAGCATAAACATACATCTCATCACGATACCAATTCATCCTTCCACAATTATACGTCCACAGCTATCCACCCACCACCATGGCCTGCCTCCGCTTCGCAGACGTAAGCCCCCCCCCAAACCACCCCACCCATCCCCTACCATAGATACTAAACAAAAAACCAGGTCGCTGTAACCTACACAGCCGACGCATTCCAAGGGATCTACCGCGGAAAACAATACCACGCGTGCGACTTCAGCGAAGTAATCACCCGCGCAAAAGCCTATAACTGCGAGAAGATGCTCCTCACGACCATGAACCTCGAAGGATTTCATACCAATCTTTCTCTAGTCCGGGAATACCCAGAGACGTGTACGTTGACGTTGGGGGTGCATCCTTATCATGTTGGGGAGATTTATGCTTCCACCCCTGATGGGAGGGGGTATCTCGACGAGTTGAGGGAAGTAGGAGAGCGGTTACTCGCCGAGGAAAATTCCCCGCTCGTGGCATTTGGAGAGATCGGGTTGGACTATGAGTACTTGAACCGAGCAGACAAAGAGACGCAAATTCGGGCATTTCGCGAACAACTCGACATAGCAGTTGACATGCAACTGCCTCTCTTCTTACACGTGCGGGAATCCTGTGCGGATTTCATCGCCATCATCTCGGAGTATTTAACCCGTTTACCGAAGGGGGGTTTAGTCCATTCCTTTACCGGCTCGGTAGAAGAGATGCGCTCGCTAGTGGCACTGGGGCTAGATATCAGTGTAAACGGGGTGAGTTTTCAAACCGAGGCTGGGTTAGAGATGGTGAAGGAGATTCCCTTGGAGCGGTTACAGTTGGAGACCGATGCGCCGTGGTGTGAGGTGTTGGGTGGGGATGAGCGGATTAAGGGGTATTTGGGGACGGCGCGGGAGTTGCCCGGGGTGAGGAAGCATAATAAGTTTGTGTTGGGGCAGATGGTGAAGGGGCGGAATGAGAGTTGTTATATGGAGAGGGTGGCGTTGGTGGTCGCGGGGGTGAAGGGGGTGGGGGTCGAGGGGGTTGCGCAGGCGGCGTGGGAGAATAGTGTGAGGATGTTTGGGTTGGGGGTGAGCGAGTAGGTTACGGTTGTTTATAGAGATGTGGGGGGTTGGGGAATGTGTGAAGGTATTTGGCTGGAGGGTGTATAGATTCTGGGACATAGAGGTTGGATCTATTAGAGGCACTTAGCGCGATACAGGAACGACAGCATATATCTTCCCAGAATCAGTCTCGATAGGCCCCGTATATTCCTCTCCATTGACAGTAAAATTGAGACCCCCCTGCACCCGGATATCCAACGAGCTCCCACTCTGCGACGTGATATTCGCCTGGGTCAGAGCACCACCCTCCCATATCATATCCACCACAAAATTCCCTCTGGCCACCAAGCCGAGTACATGTCCCGTCGGTACAGCAGCTGGCAGTGCCGGGAGCAGATGCACTTTCTCATAGCTCTGCAGCAACATCTCCGCGATCCCCGAAGTAAACCCAAAGTTGCCATCGATTTGAAACACTGTATCCGGACCCGAGTCGGTATTCCACAAGTTCGGACTGGGAAACCGCTGCAGATAAATTTGGGTATGGTTCCAGACCTGGTCCCCGTTGAATAGCCGGGCATAGAGATTCATGGTCCACGTCCGCGACCAGCCCGTACTACCGCTGCCGTGGGCGATGCGCCAATTTAAAAACGCCTCCGCAGCGGTTGCGAGTGTCTTGTTGACCAATGGAGCCATCTGATATCCCGGGAAGAGACCGAAGATCGGACTCATGTGGCGGTGGCCGGGATCGGCCTCTTCGTAGTCGAGACGCCATTCGAGAATTCGGCCGGAGGAACCAATCTGAGGAGGTTTGATCTTGGCTAGATAAGACGTGGCATTGGTGCAGTCAGTCGTGTTGATTTGGAGAATCCGACAGGTTTCAATCACCGACTGAAAGAGTTCATATAGCAGGGAATTGTCCATCGTTGGGGCAATGTCGATGCCCTCTTCATTCCCCGCTATGGTCATGTCTTCTGGGACAATAAACGCTGCTTCCGGAGAGATGGACGGCCCCGTGCTATAGTATCCTTCGAATGGAAAGAGATAACAGGAGTAAAATCTGGCTGCGCTCTGAAGCAGTGGCCAGATACGCTCTCTCAGGATCGTCTCATCTCGCGTGAAGCGATAATGCTCGATCAGGTTGGCGGACAGCCAGGCCGCGCCCATAGGCCACATCGTCCACGTCGTGCCGTTGTCGACGGGGGCTGCATCGCCCCAGAGGTCGGTGTTGTGGTGCAAGACATAGCCCCCGTTGTGGCAGTGGTACATACTTTGGGCGACGTCCAGGCCCCGGACTTGGACAATGTCCATCAGATCAATAAATGGAGAGAATGTGTCCGCTAGATTAGCAACTTCTGCAGGCCAGTAGTTCATCTCCAGGTTGATATCGATGGTGAATCGGCCGCCCCAGGCGGGATCGAAGTCTTGATTCCACAGACCTTGCAGGTTCGCTGGTAGAGCTGGAGAGTCCGTGGCGCGCGAAGATGAGATCAACGAGTGACGGCCAAAGTTGAACATCAGCGAGGCTAGTTCCGGGTCACTGTCGGGGTCACTGCGGAAGTTGACTAGACGGGTATCGGTAGGAAGGTTGCCAGCGGAGCCAGAGGACCCGAGGTTAAGGTCAACTCGCTGCGACAAGGCAGAGTAATCTGCGATCGCATTTGCCTTGACAGCTGCATATCCAGAATTTCTGGCGGCATCAAGCTTCCTTTTGACCTCTGCTTCCCATTTCGCCTGATGGGCGTAGCGATACGAAGTTTCGGTGTCAAAGAAGATATCCACCGCGGAGGCGCCCCGGGCAACCACCGAAGTGCCGTTGCTCATGATCCTCCCTAAACCATCAGTCATGTCCGGAGTCCAGGGTACACACTTACCTCCATCCGTGACAATCCTGGCTTCCGCAGTAAACCGTATAGGGCCCGCCTGGTCAGTCGAATTGGCCGTGAGGGCCAACACCCCCTCGCCATCAACCACCGTCGCCGTATTACCAACAACATATCGATCCCTTTCCACTGAACAAACCACATCGACACTTCCAGTCCTATTCGCAGACAATCTCACTGCGACAACACCATCCGGATAACTGGCCACATACTCCCGCCTATCCCATCAGCATCACCAAACCAGTGACAGAGGTAGACCTACCGATACCCCACCCCCCGATACACATACTCAACACCCACCACCCCGGTCCTCAAATTTAAATCCCTCGTATAATTGCTGATCCCCGCCTCCTCATGCCCAAAGTCCAACCGCAACGACCCCAACGCACTATACGACTGCGGCGAATCCGGGATACCCACCATATTATCGAGGGTAACCTCCCCACCCTGGGTAATATTCCCCTCCGCGAGAAGAGATCGAACAGGCCATAATGCCCCATAGGCATTAGGATTCACTCGGTTGATGAACGGCCCACTCCAGATGGAGTTCTCGTTGAGAGTGACATTTTCAATGGCGGTGCCCCAGATGGCGGCGCCGAGGCGGCCGTTGCCGATGGGGAGGGTGGAGGTGAAGTTGTTGGCGGGGGTGGTGTACCAGGAGATGTAGGAGGGGTTGAACTGGTCGATGCCGAGGGCGATGGGGAGCGAGAGAGCGAGGATGGTTAGAGAGGGGAGGAAGTGCATGGTGAGATGCGTGGTGCGGGTTGGTGTCGGAGCATGGTAGAAAGGATACTTACTATATATACATTACCCGTCGAATTAGCCGATAGTAAATGGTTGCAATGAGAGCCGGACTGCATGGGATAGAGAGCAAGACCGGAGTTACGGGCTAGATTCCACTAATCGGAGGCCCCTGGATGACCGTGCGGAGGGATGGCGGATGATCTGCAGGTCCATGGGTATTAGACTGGAATATCACAGAGTATTATTATCCCCTCAGACCACATCTCTTTTATCCGGCTGCTCACCGTGCAGCTGACATCAAGAAGAAACGGAAACAACGTGAACCTGCCTTCAAACAACCGTGAGCATGGCAGAAAATTGGTATATCTCGGAGGTTTAGACCCCGAATGAAGAAGATTATATACATGAATTTCCATGATAAGATTACAAGCAGTGATGCAACCTGAAAAAGGTGCATCCGCAGAAAGCATCCACAGTCGATAGTAGCAACACAACCAGATCTCACTCAATAACCTCCCAAGGCCTTTCATCGACAGCTTCCGACCGGAAGTCCCGACCCCTCGCAACACTCTCGGCCCTCCCTTCGGTTGGACGGTGGTGTGTTTTCTCCTGAGTGTCCACCCCCAGCCACAGCAAATCAGGCCGGCTGTAGTGCCCACAGGCATCGACAAAGTGCCGGCATGACACAATCGCATCTTGATCCAGGTCCGCATAGATAATGCCCTCTTCTGTGGGCGGCAACGGCTCCGTCAACCGGCGTCCATCCGGGCCGATGATGGCCGACGAACCTCCCCCGACGATGTCCCAAGGCGCAGTCAACTTCATCACCTCGGCGCACTTGGGGCCTAGCACGGCCGTCGTGTGCAGAACAAAGGCCGCTGATTCGAGAGCAAACACCTGCGATGCGCCCAGTCCACCTGGTACCGTTAGATTGTCGGCACCCACACTTGATTGAGACGGCTTACCTTCGGCAGACATGCCCCACAGCGATTCACCCCCGAAGTGCGGATGCAGGGGTGGCCATGTGGACACATGGATCTCCTCTCCCTGGATCATGGTGTGATACTTGAGCAGCGGCTGGATATGCTCCCAGCACGTGAGCGCGCCCACTTTGCCAATGGGCAGGTCAACAACATTCAACAAGCTGCTCCCAGATGCTTCCCCAAACACGGTGCGCTCCATATGGGTGGCCTTGACCTTGCGCCGGCGCATGACGATCTTGCCTGTCGAGTCAATCGTGCACTGACCGATGTACAGAGAATTGCCGTCGCGCTCCGAGAGACCGAGGACCACGGTGATCCTGTACTGCGCGGCAGCGCGGCAGAGCCTACGCATGTGCTCGGAATTATACGAGAGCGAGTTTTTGAAGTACGTCGTGAACAGACGCGTGTCAACCGGGCGGCACCTGCCTCGGTTAGCGAGATGGCAATGGTCCGGCGATGTTACCTACCATATCCAGGCGGGATATCCGGGGATCCAGCATTCGGGAAAGGTGATGAGCTGCGCACCGTTTCTGGCGGCCTCGGCGATCAAGCGACACGTCTTGTCGACAGTGGCATCGAGGTTCAGCCAGACCGGCTCTTGCTGCGTGACCGCGACGCGAATCGTGGTTGCAGTGGTCATGATGTTACAAAGCAGTGCTTTACAAGGTGAATGTAAAGGTGGCACGGGACGATATTATGTGGTCCTTCTTCCTAGTATATATGGTCGACGCGACCCAGGCAGCCCAGGTGACGAGTGGATGTAAGTGGTCTATGTGACACGACACGCGCCAGAGCGAGAACCAAAACGTTTGATAGGGGGCAAATTGGCGTCGCGAGAAATTCTGGGTGAGAAATCCAAGACGATAAGGGGTGGTCCCTGCACCCACCTGGGATGATTCCGAGGGAGTCCGATTGGCCGAGGGAAGAGCAATCCCGATGCTGTGGTGAGAGTTCTGCGGCGCAGTTGCTTATTAGGGGATTAGGGGGGGGGGGGCCATCCGATCCTGGGAGTCCACTCCAATATCCATCCCTCGAAAGTGAGAACAGCTGGTGAGGTTATTCCCAGATCTACGGAGTAAACGTGGGGAGATGACATGCTTGCCACCGGTGGATCACCAGACGCCACTAGCAACGGCGTTGCACCCAAGGAAAGTTCGATGGACCTGCCACCACGCGAGCATCCCAGCCTCAGGCAGAAAACTCTGGTGGAGACCCGCCCCAAGGCAGCCTGGCCAATCGGAAGCAGCAGCATCTTGGCCCGTTCCAGAAACCCGTTCCAAGCCTGGCATTTTCTCCTCATCTCCTCATCTCCTCTTGTTCTCATGTCGTCCACGACAAGCTACCCTTGCCGCATCACTGACCATCTCAGCCGGGCCAGGCTATGGCCCTACTAGCGACGACTTCTTTGGACCGGTCTCGACCGTGGCTTTGCTGTCATGCCGAGCAGGGCTGCATATACGAGGTCACACCACAAAGCCGTGAGAATGATGTACGATGGTCGCATCGCTGATGGAGAGTTCTAGAATATGTCATTTCACCCTGGGGTGACTTGGAAGTCAACATGACTTCAGCTCTTAACTCAGCGGGGCCAAAATAGTATCCCTCATTGCATGCAAGGGCGCTGGAACCGGCTCGCATCGGGCACCAATTGCGATCGATCGAATAGCAGTGAAGGCATCGACCACGCGGGGGCTACTCATGGCTACATACTAAAGACAATGAGAGGAAAGCCCTGAAATCACAATGTTGCCACCACCAGAGTCGGCCGACTGGACCGCTCCCGGCCTCCAAGGTCTACCTCAGTTGGCGGTATGGCGTGACAACCCGCGGAGAAAATCGCAAAAACACGATGAACCCCGCGGGAGGAAAAATGTGGCGCGATGGAGGGCCGCAAGGGGTCGGAAGTCGGCTCTGGACAGCAGAGTATGGCGAGGCCATCGATATTACACAGCGTGGAGAGTTATGGCAACATACCCTGGCCATAGCAAAGACTTTCATGAGTCGAGTCCATTGTTGAAGATATTCGCCGAGATGGTTGGGAATCGGTTGAACCTCAGGGTTGAACCCCGGAGCATCACCCGCGACCAAGGCATCTGAACGCCACGCTGGATCCCTGCACCGCACGCACGCATGCGATCGTTTGGGGATCTATACAGGCAGCTTTCTGAAGAAGCTGACCACCCGAACTCTCCCGTCCACCTTATCCCAGGCCGGGTTGCATTGGGAATGGACAACCAACTAGTAGTAATTCTCCATATAGGATGGCCAATAGCTATTCATTACCGCACCACCTGATCCGTTGCAATTAGGTTTGTGGGGGAGGGACGAGAGAAACTTTGTCTAAGCTGGCCGCCAAGTGCGGGGAGACGTCGGTGTATTTTTATCGTTCTACAATCTAGACGCGACAGCCAACCCTTATTGCGGTGTGTGAGGGCTCGTGCACCGTGTTGTGTCACGGTGTGGACCGTTGATCTGGCTGGGAATAGGTCCAGGCCAGGCTGCTGCATGTCGCAGACACATACATGGCATCTTGCAGCTGCACGGGCAACCGTTGGCCGGTGAAGAGGCCATAACTGCCGAGGGTGCTGTTCTGATGACATAACCGTCCTTGGAAGCCTGGCAGATCCCATTGTGGAGCCGGTGAGACAGCCTGAATAAACCGGACCTCGAAAAATTGAACATAGCCCGGGCTACTTTGGGGATCCCTGGAGGGCAGGTGGGATGACAAGCCGGCATCACGTCGCGACGAGCCCCAATCCTTCTACCCCAGGTCATTCTCTGTAAGCCAAGCCGGCAATGCCAGTGGGAAAAGCTTGACCCGATCCAGACATGCAGGGTGGTCGACTTGGCCGGGCGATAGATGGCGTGATGGCGATTAGATGTGTGTCGTACGTTCTCACTGGTCAGCCTTGCAAGCCTGCATCGCTCACTCACCGCTACTGGGAAGAATGTGCCAAACATGGCCGGGGGGGGAAGCGACGGCACTTGTGGGAATCCGGGATCTACTGCGCAATTACCAGCCAGCCATGGTTAGAAATCTCTCATACTGGCCCCTTGCACTGGCACCATGCTTGTCGCCTACACCTGACCATCCCGAGCCAGGTTTCAGATCGGTCTGAGGGCTTTCCAGCACGCCAGCCACGTAAATGCCCGCAAACCAGGTTCTCGCGCCCAACCAGGTTTGCGACATTCTTGGATACCTCCTCACACGAGTAAGGAGTCAGCCCGTGGCCCATATGATGGGCAAGCAGCTTTCGCTGAGGCACATTATCGATGAGGGCTTCTTGCACATCCAGTCATGTTGTTCATTTCTACACGATGGGCTTGCGATGACAATCGAGAGCGAGCCAGCGAGACCCCCCCCCCTGGCGCAGGCAAGGGAACCCATGGCCCGGCCGACAGAACGTCTGGAATAATGCAACCGCACCGGGGAGTTGTCCTTGGTATGTGTGTGGTCGAAGGCTTCGCATCGAGTGACAGAAGGCAAGCGTTGCGCGATTTGGGTATCGAGGCCTGAGGAGTCACGATCCGGAGAGAGAACTATTTGAAGAGAGACTGCCGGGCAATTGGGACTGGCAAACCATACCTCCTCCACTAGCCGAGTTCAAAATTTCTTCCGGCGTTACCTCCTATTCTACCATGTCTCCGTCATTGATTATCTCAGAAATCAAGGAGGATGTGTGTCACAGCGGGCTGGGTCTCGCGGGCCTCCTCCACCAACAAGCCACAGTCCGCGGCAGCGCCGTCGCCATCGAAGAGGGGCAACATGAGTTGACATATGGCGACCTCCACGACAAAGCACTCTTTGTTGCCAACCAGATTGACTGCCTCAACCATGAAGACCCTTCGCCCGTGGGAATCATTATCCCGCGGAGCATGAACCATGTGTTGTCACAAGCCGGTGTGATCTACTCCGGCAGGGCGTGTGTTCCGCTGGACAACAAGCTCCCAGACGAGATGTTGAAGGACATGCTGCACAACCTGGGCTCCACGCTGGTCATTACCGACATGGTCCAGCAACATCGACTGCCTGGCTTCAAGCACCTCGTCGTTGACCACCGGGCCATCCCGGATAACTTTCAGGCCAAGATTTCCCCGAGCCAGAACGGGCCGCAGACGTGCTCTCATGTATTCCACACCTCCGGCACGACCGGCAAGCCCAAGGCGGTCGAAGCCTTTGCGGAGGGAATGATCAATCTGGTCCTCGATCCCGCGGAGCTGATTCGAAAAGGACAGCGAGTCGGCCACGGGTCCAATATCATCTTTGATACCTCCCTGGTGGAGATCTGGGGGCCGCTGCTGCGCGGGGCCACGATGGTGGTGGTTCCGATGGAGACGGTGCTTGATCCTACGGCGCTCAGCACCTTTGTTAAGGAGAAAGAACTGAACGTGCTGCAACTCACGACCTCTCTACTCACAGTCACAGCATATGCCTGCCCGGATGCCTTCTCGACGCTGGACACTCTGATCACCGGAGGCGAGGCCATCAACTGCCAGACGATCCAATCCATCTTTGACGCGGGGGCACCAGGACGAATCATCAACGGATACGGTCCGACGGAGGCCAGTGTATATGTTCTGTGGCACGACGTCTCGGAAGAGGAAGCACGCCGAGGGGAGATTCCCGTGGGAAAGCCGTTTGGTAATGTGGAGGTGTTCTTGGTGGATGACCACCTGGGGCCGGTGCAGCCGGGAGAGGTGGGTGAGCTTCTCGTGTCCGGCGTCGGGGTTGCGGGAGGATATATCGGAGACCCCGAGAAGACGGCCAAGAGCTTTTTGTACATGCCGCAGATGCGTCGGAAGGTGGAGCGCGGGCCCAAGCACATGTACCGGACGGGAGACCTGATGCGCATGGATGACAATGGCATTTACTACTACCTCGGACGAAAGGACAACCAGATCAAAATCCGCGGCCAGCGAGTGGAGCTGGAGGCGTTGGAGTCGGCTCTCGTCGGCACCGGTTTGGTCAGTGCGGCTGTGGTGGTCAAGATCACCCCGGAGGAGGTTGACCGGGGGCAGTTCCTGCTTGCCTACTGCATCCCGTCTGCGCCTGGGGTGGCCGAGGGCGCCATCATGAAAACCTACATGGAGCAGGCGCCGCATTTGATGGTGCCACGGCTGGAACTGATTGACGTCCTGCCCCTTCGATCTACCGGCAAGGTCGACCGGAGGGCTTTGGAGGACCAGTACCACCAGAAGCTCAAGCGGTCGCGGGCTAATGGAGTGAATGGCAATGCCAACGCTGGCAGAGTGGCGGCTAAGCTGGAATACATTTGGATTGATGTATTCGGTCTCACGGTGGAGCATCTGCGGCCAACAGACGACTTTGTGGTCATGGGCGGGACCTCCTTGATTGCCGCCACGATGATCGCCCGCATTAAACAGACCTTTGGGATTTCACTACGAGCTCAAATGCTTTACGAGAATACCAGCTTTGAGAAACTGACCCAATTGGTCACCAACATCCAGGTGAACGGGGACGACTCCACTATCCAAGCCGAACAAGATGTCTGGCTGCAGGACTCAAAGCTCGCCGAGCATCTGCGGCCCATGGGGGGCGTCATCCCGCACTGGCCGGATAAGAACGAAGGTCGAATCTTCCTGACTGGTGCGACAGGCTTCGTCGGAGTGTTCCTCCTGGCGACTCTGGTGAAGCGGCCAGATGTGAAGAAGGTTGCCTGTCTTGTGCGGGCTGAAGACCAGTCCGCTGCCCGGCGCCGACTCGAGAAGTGTCTCGAGAAATACTGTCTCTCTGCCGACATGGACAAGGTGATTGCCGTGCCTGGCAACTTTGGGCAGCCCAAGCTGGGTCTGTCTCCGGAGCAATACGACTACTTTGCTACCTGGGCCAGTGTCATTTTCCATCTCGGAGCCAAAGTCAGCTACGTAGCCCCGTACTCCTCTCACCGGCAGGAGAATACGATCGGAACCCTGAACATGCTTGAGTTTTCCACCCACTGCCGAATCAAGGCCATGCACTACTCCTCCACGATCGCCGCCTACGGGCCCACCGGACATGTCACGGGCGCAAAGCTGCTGCTGGAGGACGAGCGCCCGGCTCCCCATCTCGCTGCCCTGCCCTCTGATACCGGGTATGCTCAGAGTCAGTACGTGGCCGAGGCAATTGTCTGGAATGCGATTGACAATGGCTTCCCGGTTGCCATCTACCGCCCGGGATTCGTCCTGGGCCACAGCAAGTCGGGCATCTGTAATCCTGACGACTTTATCTCCCGACTTTTCACCAGCTGCATGGACATGGGGTTGTACCCGGTGCTGCCCGATCAGCGGAAAGAATTCATTCCGGTCGACTATGTCGTGGACGCCATCCTCCACGTCTCCCTGTCGCACGACAACCTCGGGCACGGATACAATCTGGTGCAGCCCGACCTGGCCAACGCCATCGACATCAACACTACCTTCGATCTGTTGAATCAAATGTCGCCGTACCAAATGGAAGGCGTCCCATACGAGCAATGGGTGAATTCGCTGTCAGAGCGACTCGATGATCCCCTACACCCGCTGACCCCCATGTTACGCGAGAAGGTGTTCGGCGAAAAGACCCGGTGGGAGGTGTATGAGAACATGGCCGAGTACGGACGGGAGAATATCCGACGGGCGTTGAGCGATGCCCCGGAGATTCTCAACCGGGAGCCGATCGAGGTGCTTTTCCAACGGTCGCTGAAGAGCTGGCTGCCGTGTTTGGTGTGGCCCAAGCCGGTGCGCGTTCGATCGGAGGCAGAGCGTTCCGCTGCTGACCAGACGGACGGTGCACAACCAGAGGCCAACGGGATTCATTAAATACGACGAGAACATAAGCAAGGGCACGAAGCATACGAGGAAGATGGGACGAATAGGACTGAAGAAGAGCACCACCAGAATCAGGATGCCCCGGACAGAGGGGGTCCAAATAATGATTGGAGTGGATGGAGCAACTTGACACATAACGATTCACGAACAGACATTTTATAGCAATCTCAGGTACTAATAACATTTGCTTATCAGCGGGCCAAGACTCCTCATCGTAACGCGGAATGTCTCCCTTCCGTGTGCCTTCTCCGGGATGATCCTGACTGGTCGATATTCTGGTTGCCTGGAGGGTGAGTTTACCTTGCATGTCTTGGAGACTATGGTCCTGTTCATATTGAATCCTGCCGCAAGGGCACTAGGCTGAAGCATTAATTGGATCTAGATCGATACTCAATAGTATGTTAGAGTCTTGTCGCTTTTGGACTGATCAGTTGTGGCCGTTTAGCATCACCAGGCAATGATGGATAGCTCTAGGTCATTGTCACAACCATATCGCATGGACTATTGGACAACACCTGCGCAGGAGAACAAGCGAGGTTATCTTCCACCGTGATCCTATGCGGCGCCATTGCCATGAGAGAGACTATCCCAAATATCACTTGACAATCTATTATCTCATAGTGAAATCATAAAGCTAGCATGTCTGACATATAATTGACATCCCAATCTCACTCCCCACCTGAACCATCCATCAAGCCCACGATTCACGTCGAATATACCCCCTCCCCTCGAATAATTTGTCCGAATACCTGTAATGCCGTCTTCGGCTCTACACTCACCAGTCAGCGACCCCCCCCCAAACCAGCCCCCGAGCAATAAAACAAGAAAGGAATGCACTCACGATAATACGGCACCTCATGGCCCGCCTCAAACACCCTCAGGAAGGAGAAGTTCCCCACCGATTTCACCATCCCGCGTGGCACCCCATCCACCTCGTACGGCTGCAACGGGGTATGCTGAAACGCCTTCTGACCCGGAAATTCCACCGCATTCGCGACATCGTGCACGCCGACCCAGTTACAGATCCAATCGGCATCGCCCGCCCAGATCAATACTTGGAGTCCGGATTGGATTACGGTGGATAGGGTAGATAAAAGGGATCGAGAGACTTTCATCGTTAGTATCGAGATCACATACATAAAAGGGATCTGGGGGAGGAAATACGATCACCCGTCTCCGCAAACTTAACATACGGCTCATCCGGACACTCCACATAACTCGATCTCGCCCCGATGGCCTTCATAACCGCTTCATCCCGAAGATAATCCACATACGTCTCCGGCGGGAAGGGATCATCCGCGGGCCGACGAATATCGTACACGTTCCAGTCCCCTGTACTGAGAATCGGATCCTCGATGATATCCGCGCAGGTATCCGCCGCGGTACGGCAGGCGTCAGCTGTAGTCAGGGTACTGCAGTTTTGGAGGGCCGGGGCGCAGATCGTTTCGTAGTCGTGGGTGTATTTCGCGGCTGCGGAAGCGTTGATGAGAGGACGGTAAGGGTTCTCCAGGGCGTAGGTGATGTAGGATTTCTCCTGGATGGAGGAGTCGAACCATCCGTTGTTGATGCCGAGGGAGACGAGGTTGATGGGTTCGCCGATAACACTGCCGGTGGCGATAGCGGCGTTTTGTTGTTGGATGTAGTGCGCGAATTCGGGGCCGTAGTGGCCGCCGTAGGACTGATGCTTTTAGTATACTAGGGTTGGTTGGTGGGGGAAGGGAGGGATACCTCAGTGAAGAGGTTGAATTCGCGACTTTCGTATTCGGGAAAGTGGGCATAGAACGCTTGCAGAAGTTTCCAGACGAAGGGGGCAGCGGTGACGGTGCTGTTGACTGGGTCGTTGCCGTAGGAGAAGCCCACGCCGATGGGCTGGTCGATGTAGAGCATGTTGGAGTGGGTGTTCCAGCTGTAGGGGTTGATAGACGGGGTGGTCTCGTTGTCGACGAAGTGACAGGGGCCGTGTTCTTGGAAGAGACCGATCATAGATGAGCAGCCTGGGCCGCCGTTGAACCAGGCAGTTAGAGGGGCTGTGTGGGGTTCGTAGCGGGATTCGAAGAACCTGTTGATGGGTGTGAGAATTGAGATGGATTCCAAAGGTTGCTATAGACATACCAGAAGAACATGTTCATGTCCTCTCCCACGGAGAGATATCCGGAATACTGGTTGACGCCTGGAGTAGTCTCACAGATTCCTGAGTTTGCCACGATTTCCAGGGTCGCTCCAGTGGCCGCATGGTTAAAGACGGTGTATTCGATGCCACGCTTGACCACACTGGAGATGCTATCCTGCGGGAGTGCCGGAACAGCACCTGCAACGAGGGCTGCCAGCAGCCACGACTTGAGTACGAGCATGGCGAATGCGATGCTCCAGGAAATACTAACTACAGGGACAGAGAACCGCCATGGTTAAGTAGGAGCCTGCTCGCCATGTCACCCTGATATGTCCACAAACCGGGCACCGATCGGTTGTTTGCAGGTGCCGCAGATCCTCGTCAACAAGGCCAAGAATCAGCTGCCAAGCCGTACTGCTCAGTCCAGTGCTGCAGTGACAGATGGAAATGCCGACTGCACACGGGTGTGACCGCCGATCATCTCCGCACCCGGTGGCATTCCTCGGATACAGTGGCATACAGACACGGGAAGTGCAGAGATAAGCTACAGAGTAGGTATACTTGTATCATAAGTAAAGCAACTCGTGCATTCGGTAACGAGCCCAGGTAACCACCCGATCGCAATATTTATATCTATCTAGAAACTAACAACCACAAGTGACAACCATCCCCGATGATGCATCAGACATCACTCCAACAAAAAACCCCGCTTTACACTAGCCAGTTGATCCTTCCACTCGACAAAAAACCACGGCAACTCGGGCGGGGTCAGATCCATCAGCTTCACAGTTTCGAAGAAGAGATCCGGGCCGTCTGTTTGAGTGCACCGGATGGTCTTTCTTGACACAAGTAATGGCTTGGGCCGGTTGCCGAGATACCACTGCTCGAGATACACGCTTTGCTGGGTCGAGTCGACGAGCAAGAGCAGCACCGTCTGGGTCCAGCCTCGGGAGTGTTCGAACCACCAGCCCAGATCGCTGCGCAGCAGGTCTAACCATCCCTCAGTCCCAACTTCCATCACCAGGCTCGGCCACATCAATTTCTCCCGGCCGTAGAGGCGATCGGCGGGGTAGTAGCACCGGTCCGGCTTGTTCGTGGTCTCTGGCGTCGGGCGCGCACAGGATTCCGAGAAGATGCCCCCGAGCACCTGTACCGACGGGGCCTGCAACGGCTGGCGAATCAACTCGCTGAAGATCTGCCGGGCGACCCGGTGGCACTCCTCGCTGAGCATCCGGATCACCGCGCTGGTGCCATGGAACACGAACGAATACTGGTGCGGCAGGGCGTTGCTCGCGATGAATTCGCGGCCTTCGGCAGTGAGGTTGTCGACCCGGATGATACGTCCATGCCTGCAGGTGAACGTCGAAACATTGAACAGGAAGGTGGTCAGGTCTTCGGCGTTGGTCCAGGGAATGCGGTGATACACCGCCGGAAGTCCGGAAAGGGGGCGATAACTGAGCGGTGCTTCGATGATTTCTGCGGTCGTCATTTCGTGCGGCACAGGTATCAATATGGATGGGATATATGATATGAGACATGGTGAAGAGAAGTCACGGCAAGGAGATCAGAGACGAGGAGGCAGAAGAGCGGAGGGAGAGCCAGCGGACGAGACAGGAAAGAGTGAGGTCGAGAAGGAGCATTCGTCCACATCTGGAGAGAGATAGGGCAATCACCATCGGGCTATAGACGATAGCGAAAGCCCACGGTCTTCCAGTCGGTCGCATCCTCATAGTCCTCGGCTTGCAATTCCACCGACTGCACCAGCACCGACACCTCCGCGCCGTCCGGGCGCTCCTCCACGATCTTGCCTCCAACCGCCCCCGCCAGCCCGGCGTGACCCTGGACGCCCTCCTCGCGATCGCGCTTGGCATTGAACCATTGCAAATAGCACCGTAGGGTCACGGCCAGCGCGGCTGAAATGATGTAGCAGATCAGGATGGCCCGGAAGGACGTCTCATACAACGGAGCCTCACTGGACTTGAAGAACTGGGGCCCGGCAATGTTACCCGCACAATACGCCACAAACATCAGAGTCGTGATGGTCATCTTCTTAGTGACACCGCGGTAATTGGCCTGCAACAGGGACATGATGAGCGGGAGTGCGCCCGGGCCGGTCGACAACAAAAAGTAACCGAACAGCTGGGCGCCCAGGGGGACATGGTGCGCCCGCGCATAGATGATGGCACTCCCCGTGATGGAAATCGCCACGATACACACAATCAGGATGCAATTCATCTGCCGGGATTTACTGGCCAGCCAGCCCGTCAGGGCAATGGTGCCGGCGCTGATCACACTAGCGGGAATCACAATCAGAGTGGATTGCAGGGAGGTGAAGCCAAACGACTTGATGACCAGGTTGCCGAAATTCTGCGTGCCCCCGTTCGGAATCTGGGTCAGCACGGCCAGGGTGAACAGGTGCCACGTCTTGGGGTCGCAGAGACATTCCACGAATTGCGACCATTTCCAGGTGGTTTTCTCCGTCCGACCTGTTCCCGCGACCATGGCGCGGTGGGCCATGAAGTCGCGTTCCTCGAGGGTGAGGAATTTGGCGCTCGAGATACTATCCGGGAGGAAAGCCCAGAGGACAAATCCCCACAGAAAAGTGGTGACGCCCAAGATGATGAACATCCACTTCCAGGGACTCAGTGGATGATCGATGTGTCCGATCCCATAGGCCAAGAGACTGGCGACCAGGCCACCGACGGAGTTGCCCGAAAACCACACTCCCGTGCGGAAGGGGATCTCGTCACGGGTGTACCACGTTGTCGTGATGAACATGAAGGCGGGCGTGATGGTGGCTTCAGCCACGCCGAGTAGGAACCGCACTGCTAACAGACCACCATAATTGGTGCAGGCGGCCGTAAGAGCGACCACCGCGCCCCAGAAGAGGGTATTGATGGCGAGGTATTTGGCGACGGGGAGGCGGGGAATGAGCAAATTGGTGGGCTAGCGGGTTAGGGTCAGTCCATGTATCGAGGGGAAGACGAGTCAGTCGCACCCATTCCCAGAAGAAATATCCAAAGTAGAAGATGCTGGACACCCAGCTGTATTGCTGGCCGACCAGATGCTATGCATCAGTTAGCCAAATATGTCAGGTGAAAGGGCGAATCCACCCACCGTATCCTCGATCAAGCCAAACACCGACGCACTGGAGAGAATGGTCTTGTCCATAAAGTTGAGAAGATACGTGAAGAAGAGCAGCGGGAGCAGACGCCGGTCCACCTTGCGTAACACCCGCGCGGGGTCCACCGGGTCCATTTCCGGGGCCGAGGCAGAACTTGCGACAGTGGCCATGACAGAAATGGAGTTGAGGGGACTGGATAGAGGGATGGGGAAAGGGTCTACGCGCGCACTTAAAAGGCCACCGCTACGAGGCCGCTATCATGGCATATCAAGTTATCAACCCCGCTTTATCGCGGCCGATAGCACGGCGATGCAACCGGCCGGCGGGCCAATGGGCGGCTGAGCCCTATCGCCCGTTCACCGCTCGATACGTTATCGCCCATTTATTTGACTCTCGGGAGTGAATGCATCAAGATCGCAGTCCAATTGCCGGTCCTATAGCTACACTCTCTCCGGTGAATCCTCCTACGACTTCCTCGCCAACCCCTCGATGATGGATGGCAGCAGCTGATCCACTCCCCGCCAGATGGCCGATGACCCCGGGTATTCAAACGTCGCCCCCACATAGTATGTGTTGCGGTAGCCCTGTAGCGCATTCAGATAGTCGTAGAAGCCCGCCTGGATAGCCTCCCCGCTAACCGACATCTCAAAGGGCGAGTGGTCGGCAAAGGCGAGAAATTCTGGGTCGCTCACATCATATCCAGCGTCGCCCAGCCCCAGGATGTCTTCCACGATGGCCGCCTTCACGTCCGCCTCCGACATCGGCTCCTCGCTGCCATAACTCACCATCACAATGTCCGGGACCGCCGTGGGATAGATCATAAAGGTACACGGCAGCGAAGGCAGCGTGTAGGGGGTGTCAGCCCCGCGATTGATGATCTGCAGCCCGTCGGGGTATCCGTCGACCCGCACCAAGCCCGCATAGTAATGCCCGTAGATGAATTCCTCGAAGAGCAGCGACTCGGGTTCATCCACATCCAGCCCTTCCAACACCGGTCCCACTGGAGGAACCGCTAGAATCGTCGCATCTGCCTCGATCACGGTAATCTCCCCATCGGCCGACTGCACCGTCAGCCAGTGCGTCTCATCATCCGACCGAGACGCGTTCACCACCACGCTATCGAGCAGCACATCCTCTCCGAGCTCCGCCAGCGCCGCTTCGAACACCTCGCCGTTGTTATGCCGGGCCGTGGAGAGGAATCCCGTCTGCATGGCATTGAGCATGGCCTCCGACACGAATTTCATCATATAGACGGAGGGGTAGTCCAGCCAATACCGCACACCCTGGCTGTAGATGCTGATGAGTTCGATGGCAGCGCCCAGATCGTATTTCTCCACAAACTCGCTAAACGGCATCACCAGATCCTCCGGCACCTCATCTGGCAGATTCCAGCCCGCAGCAAGGTAGGGGTACTGTTGAAGAATCTGTGCGTATCGCCCCAATGCCTCGGTTATATTTCCTGGATACGGATCCACAAGTTCGCCCGTGCGAAAATCCAGTCGTACGGTTTGAACACGACCGGGGACGACCTTGGTGACAGGTACGTCGAGCTGGGTGAAGAAGTCCACTGTCTCGGGAGAATCTTCAAACAGGGTGACCCCAAAGTCGACCGGTGTGTCAGTCGTCGGGTCGATGTAGGTGACGGTGTGGCCGCCCAGACGGCCGCTCTTTTCCACCACCACCACACTTTGGTTGAGTTGCCGAAGAGCCATGGCCGCATATGTGCCCGAGGAACCGCCGCCGATGATGCATACGTCTCGTCGAATCACCTCGATGTCGCAGGTCTGAGCCGAGGTGTGGGTGGCATGGGAACAACTGGCGCCAGAAAAGGCCCCGAGAAGTAGCAGGCAGGAAATATACATTGAAAAGGACAGCAAGAACATGATGACGAGTTCCAAATTGTGTAGAGGCAGGGGACTATGCTTCTCTGTGGCTAGAGGAGCATATCTATATCCGCCGGAGATGTGGCCCACGCTGCTCCTGCCATGGGGGACTTACATATAGGTCGACCCACGAGTGGTAGCATCACCCGCAGCATCACGCTTTGCGAGGAGTGGGCTGATTGACCACGGGCGTCCGTTAGCATGCCACGGCCTGTTGAATTTCGGCGTCTAACATGTTGCACCCGATATTGACGGGTTGCTTGATGGCACACTTCGGTTGCAACCGTCAGTGGATGCGCGACAGCTGTTGCAATCACCATCCCCGCCTACGGAAACGAAGGAGTGTTGGCATACACTGCCCCCGTGACGGAATCCTGATCAGGGAGGAAAGCAATAAGTATCTCAAGGCCAGTCTGGTTTTCAATAGGACTACACCATGCAGACAGGAGGGCACCTCGAGGAGGAATAGGAGTAGAGGGGCGTGGAATCAGTGCTGGCGTAGCATGTGATTCATGCAACCGCGGGAAGGACCCCCTTGAGGGTTTTCTATCAGTCCAGGGATGATTATGTTGTACAAGGCGTATACAATGGCTCGGATCTTGCCGTCATATCCGTGCGCTACCAGGACAGGGGATTGCGGCATCAACCTATATTAATGCACTCGTCCGAACAACTTCATAAATCTGAATACAAGACGGCTCGACTAGGCAGTGCCGATGCCAACGGTAGACGTGGCACATTTCTATTCAACGGATGGCCATCAGATGGTAGCACTAGGCGCACTTGCCGTCCTGGCAGGTCAGGTCCCCGGAGCAGTCGTTCTCATCTGAGCAGGAGGCACCTGAGCCGTCGAGTTAGTGTAACGTAGCGCACGGTCGCGAAGCGCGGTCTTACCAGCACAGTGACCTTCCCAGGCGCAGGACGAAGATCCGGAGCCGGAGCCAGAGCTGGACGAACCGGAGCTGCAATAGCTCGAGGCATCGGCGTTGCTGTAGGTGTTAGAGGTGTGGCAAGTTCCGTCGGAAAACAACTCGCCAGCTAGTTCAATTGTCAGCTATCCAAAACTAAGTCCATGAGTTTTGGGCCAACGCACAGTTGACCGTGTAAGAGCTGGCCGGGTCGGTGACAATAGACTGGGAATTGTCGGGCGTCAGATCGTCCTCGCAGTCAATCTGGCTGTCGCCGCCATTCGAAGTACTGGATCCGGTCCAGATATCGATGTGACGCTTGCCGTCCTCGTAGTCGGTGGCTGATACTGTTAGTAAAAGGGGGGGTATGGCGGGTGGAGAGACGTACTGCACTGAGCACAGGTATCCTCGAAGCGGAGATATTTGCGAAGATAAGGCAGATAGATAATCTCGCACTGGTCAAACTCGCCAGGGGCCGAGGCAAATGTCAATGGGTCGCTGTAGGTGCCGGTACCTATCACCATTAACCATCTGCGGGCTGTACTAGGTTAGGGACCTACCTCCAGCAGTGTAGCCCCGCCCACAGTCGTACGCGATATCGGCACTCGGAGGGTCGTTGTCAGGGTACCCGTAGAAGGTGATCTCAACATCGGACTGAGTCGAACAAGCCACAGCAGTGGAGACAAGGCCGGCGAGGGCCAGGCTTGTGAGAATCTTGGTGCTCATGTTGCGGTCCGATTGATCTGATAACGAGAAGGGAACAAGATGTTGCTAGACTGGTTCATGGGAGGGTACTAGGAAATAAGATCCCTTATATAGTCATGTTTTGACTCCTCGCTCCTCTAAGTTCGTCCATGAAACCAGGAAGTCTCTCTGAGGGAATTTCCCACAGGTGGAACGCTCGAAAGCTTCGTGCTAGAGCTGCAGGATCCTGCGGATGCTTGCTCAGGTAGGGGTGTTTTACTCTCACTTGATCGACGCTGCTAGTGCTTATTTCCTTCAGGCCAGTTCATTTCCTTCCACAATATCTCAGTGGCAAAATCTTCCTCCAAGGTTAACTGTCATAAATGGCATTTTGGGAAACGAAGAGTATCATGAAGGCCAATTAAAGCCATGTTTCTATACCACTCCCTGGACGAGCTGTCAAGAACCGCAGGAAGTCCCGAACATATGACGAACCCGCATGGCATCGTGCCTTCCCCTTCTGAAACGAGCCTTGAGGGGGAAATGGGGTCCAAAACCCCAGGATCCCAAATAGGCAAACCGGATCGACGATAGCGCCGACCTCCATTTTATTTCCGCGACAGCCCGGCCTATCCAGCCTTCCTGTTAGTCCGGAAGGGATCGTGGAAGTTCCTATTTACGGTCTGAAGACGAGAACCCCTTACAGGATGAGACCCTTTGGGTGTATGTGTATGCGAATGGTCATGGCATTGATGATTGTCCTCAATGACAGAGCTCTGCAGGAGAAATGGCTATCCGTGGCAGTGGGCAAGCGTGCGTACGAGATATCTAACACCTTGTCGCGAAGCTTATCATGCGCTACTCTTTCCAGACGACCGATTTGTCCGGCCCGGGAATACAGCAATTCCCCAATCAGGAAAATGGATACTGTCTGTCAGCCTTTTGGACACGAGAATCAAGGGTTCAGCCAGGACTAGACTTTGCAGGATGCAACCGTTGTGGTAGCCCCGGCCCACGTGCCATGTGTGCCCGTCGCTTGCTGGAGCGCCGTCGGGCTGGCTATTTTTGGATCGCACTATGATCCTGCCACAGATAAGCACCTTTATTGCCGGTTATTCAATTTGAGTTACAGATTGCTTGAAGAAGCTCCTCTTATTCCATTGCATGTCATCCTTGGGGACATTGTCCTGTATCGTTGAAACAGGCTTGGGTTCGTAATATTCTGTAATGCCCAGTGTCCTACATGAAAGACAAACTGGCAGGGAGCCTTCGGTTCCTACCCCTGACTCAGAAGAACGAGGGTGACCTGCAGGTCTAGCAATGTTTCGGTCAATGGGGCCAGAAATGCGGCGTGGATGGGGCCAAAATGGATCCACCTGCATTGCAATATTTTACCTTGTGAGCATGGTTCCTGACACAGGGTCATCAGATTTAACGATGGCTTGAAACTCTTGTGGGAAGTCATCGGTGTTCCCGAGCTGCGCCAGAAATATCTAGTCGCGTGAAACTTTGCCTACATCTAGCATGAATACTAGGTGCGGACCCTCCGTGGACGGCTTAGACTATCCACCGACCATGGAAGCTTGTCAAGAGAGCGGAGCGATCTGTCTTTGTCTCTACCAGTCTTTATCACACCTGGTCGGTGTTCAGACCAGCCAGAGACAGTGCTTACCCTCTATGCTCTGGACGGAAACAGGCGTGTGAGGTCTCTGAGAGCCGGGTGCTGGGAATTTTGATTCGGGTTATTCGTGAGGCCCTATGCGCCTATGCAGTGGCCCCAGCATCGGTATACTAACGTTATGAAGTAGAGGTTGTCTCGGACTGATCACTACCCCAATAGATAACAAAACTTCGTATCATTCATCATACATACACCAATTTCTCGCTTGCTAGGCCTCCAATGGCACCTCCATCTCTGTCGACATCGGTACAAATTTGCATGTCTTGACCACCTTCTCCGAGTACACACTCCCCCGGCCCAGGTAGCAGTTGATCTGGCTGGGGTGGATGAACTGGAGCACTTCCATTGCCGCCAACATCAACAGGGCATCAAACACGTAAATGAAGACCTCATGCTTCATCAAGTACCCACTGTATCCTTGCAGATACTCCACCACACGGACCACGGACCGGATGAAGATGAGGATACTGGAGATGTAAAGGGCGGCCATGTGGCGACGCCACACCTGCGAGAGCTCCACCGCCGTGCCAGTCGGGTTTTTCCCCAGGCGAGTTTGAAACACGACGGCTGTGATGATAAAGAAACCGAAGAAGATAATTTGCACAAAGAGACCGCCAATGATGATGTGCTCTCCGGTAGAGGGATCGTCCGAGTTACTGACCATGAGACCAGCGCCTGGCTTGTTAGTCGGGGTGCTTGAGGGTGAAGGGTCAGAAAACATACCGGATGCCTGCATCAGGAACGAGAGTACATCCCCAGTCACGAAGATCTTTGTCAGCCACTTCAGCCTGATGACCGAGTACGGCTCGGCCTTTAGCATCGAGATTATGCGACCCAGTGTCATGTAGATGCTGGCAGCGAGGAAGGCGGGTGCGATAAGGATCAGAGAACTCTGCATGGCATACGCGCCCGTGCTGTAGTTGGGGCTTTGCGTCGACGAGAGCAGACGTCCCACATATCCGATGGTTTCCACTGGTGAGATCAAGTCAGTGTATGCCTTGCGCTGTGATGGGGTGGGACTGACAGATGCCTCCAATAAAAAAGGGAATCATGAACCATGATCTAGTCCGCACCAACTGATAGAAGTGCAGGATGGTGCTGATGCCAAACAGCACAACGAAGATGCCTGCTGCCGCCGCGGAGGGCGTGTAGTAGTAGAGGGTAAATTCCATCGCGCAGTCACAACAACGGAATGAGACTGAAAAATGAAATCGTTGGATGCATTGGAGATATGACCCAGAGGACGGTCCATGCTTTTATGTGATTCATTGCGACCGACGGATCTGGGAACGGTCGCGATATACGAGATGAGGGTGCGCAATCGGTCCCTGAGCGACTTGCTCATGCGTGGCTGGGAAATAATTCTACGAATAAGATGAGCCCAGCAATATCTGGGGGAAATTTCGCCCTCATTCTCGTTGCGTATACCGATTGGGGCAATTGTAGGGCGATGGGGCTCGTATTCGTACCCTTGCCCAACATGGGATATCCCTAGCCGAGCGGATATCAAGGTCGAGCCATGGACGAACACGCGACCCGCCGTCAAGTTTGCTAGCAGCCTAGATAGTTTCCTAGCCCGCTGCTTACGCTTTGCAAGTTTGTTTATTCGCATAGATTTGACCTGCCTGGAACTGCACGCAAACCCATCACAGCTGAACTGATTACTATGGACTGGCCAACTCCAGGTCTTCTGTCTTCGCTCCTTTCAATTCATCTTAAATCCGGACAGACCACTAAATCGATGCGCTTTTCCTCCCTCGTTTGATATACTGCAACATGCCTTCGCAAGCTTTCCTTCTTGACTCCACCCGAACAAACTCTGAGAGATACTTGATGTTCTTCTCCTCCGACTGCTTGCATGTTAAAATGGCTGGTAGCATGCTGAAGCAAGCATAGCACGGTGCTAGCCACTTGTCTACGGCTGAGCTACATAAACTGTCCCGGGGGTGTGAGAGATTCTCAATAGCATCGCAACCAGCTTGCCAGCCAGAACCCGTGTGCGAACCCACTGCCACTGTTCCAGAGACTACATAGATATGGTGTTGCCCCTGGTGCTTCCCGATACATGCAACACGGTGCAGGGGCTGAAGACATGCCCACTTCATGGTAGTCGACAGGCCTAACTTCGGTAACCCGTTCCTGAGCGCATGTCTCGAGCTCGCCGGATCTACCGCGGGTATTCCCGACTAACCTCACGATCGCATACCTTGAACACCGTACAGCCACCCTGGTCGTCGCATCCCTTCAATTTAACCTACTTGTACCGCCTCGCTCCGATAGGGCAATCTGCGATTGACCACTTAGGACGCGGACGGCGATGCAATATCTACACATGGACTGCATCGCAGCAACCACGCGAGCTTCTCCAGAGGCACACATGGCGTCAACCATGTCTGCTGCGGAATCCATGTGTCCGCCATCTGTGTGGATGCCAACCGTGCATGGGCGAAGCGACCAATTTCTCTCGTATTTAGAGTCAATGGAGGACACTAATACAGTTATGTGTGGGACGCAAGCAGGTATATACGCCGAGACCTCATCTTTTTGCTGCCGACAATAGTCGCAGCCATCTCCAATTGATTGTCAAATGCTCCCGACACGCTTAAACCCTGAAGTGTGACTCTCTGCCGCATTCTGGGCACCCGCGAAGCCACGTTCTCGATCTTCATTCATCCGTCATCTAACGAGACGGCCACCGCTTCTTCCACACTTCCTGACAGGACATCTCGTGCCTGGATCATCATGACACTTTCCACGATTCTCAGCTCATAAGCGATGGAGATACCCGCAATGCCCGGCACAATGATGGAAACGTCTGTTTCAAGGCCATGTGGTGGTGAAAATGAGGATACCTTCCGTACGGCGCCTGGTGAACCCAGATAGCATCTGGTTCACTTTAATGAGTGGAACAAGGCATTATGGACAATTCAGATGTGAACTAGCGAGGAATGGTATTCCGCCCTTCTCAGTGTCATGAAGCAAATCGTAACGATCATGCTCGACTGGCACCCTTCAGGGACATATATTTCTGGGTCCAGCTCAACGATGAAACAGCGTTGATGTAGTTTTACGATTTGCAAGGCATGGCTGTTACGCTGACAGATTTATACTAACCAGAAGCCTTTGCAGCCCCGATGTTTTGAGATAACAGGTTCGGTCTGAAGGTGAAATGACCAGATGAAGCATCCGCAACTGGTAAGCCTTGAAACACGACGTTGTATGTTGGACCATACACGCTGCCTGGCTTTCACCCACCACGAAACAATTCGGTCGGACATGAGCTCCCATTAAGCTTTCGCTTAGATGTTTACTCCAACTCTCACCAGATGGCTGAAAAACTTAGCACAATGTAACGGAGGATTGTTGACTTTAATCCCTCACGTGTACCAGAGATTAGGGGAAGTTGATGCAACATCATCACGTGGGATCTATAAATAATCGGCCAGACCATTGCCCTGTTCCAGGCCGTCACATTGCTCAATTGATCCCACGTAAGGGGACAGATGATCGTGCGATTGTCATGATCGGCCCGCCATCGGAATGATGACCTCACAATGACTCGGGGCGGGAAGTGGCGACATCATCCATTGAATTCCAACCCCACCATGATTTGATATTTAATGCATCATCCCCAATTGGCTTCATCCCACATCATCCACCATGCCCCGAAAGGTCTCTTTTTCCGAAGCTCAATCTCCCAACCACGAGAAGCCTATCCGACCACCGTCGATTTCCATGGGATTTCCCACCAGCGCCCCAAAATGCCCGGCCACGGACTCCCGCCCTCCGGCTCGATATACCAACGATTATATCGAGAAACCCGGTGTCCCGCGGGGCAATGCTGCGGCCTCCATTGATCGGCCGGATGGGGATGAAGATTATGCGAAACGATATGGGGACTTTGTACGTCCTTTACCACACTAGACATCACATCTACTAACCACTGCAGACCCCATTACAACAACATATCCTGTTCTGGGATCGCGACAGTGACGGCCAAATCTACCCCTGGGACACATATAAAGGGTTCCGAGATCTAGGATTTAACGTGCTCTTCTCCCTGCTGGCGGTTCTAATCATCAATCTGAACTTCTCCTACCCGACGCGCTTAGCACACTCCTATCTGCCGGACCCATGGTTCCGGGTGTACGTGGATGGGATTCATAAAGCCAAGGTATATTCCAATAACTCCTTTAACTAGATGAGTGGCTGATAAGTTCAGCACGGATCCGATTCCAACACCTATGACCCTGAGGGGAGATTCGTTCCACAGTCCTTCGAAAACATGTTCGCCAAGTATGATCATGACGGTGACGGAGCGCTGTCGTTGCGACAGCTCTTTGAAATGATGCATGGGAATCGCTGTGCGGCGGATCCATTCGGGGTATGTTCTCCTCCCATTGTAATTCGAGTCTCATCTCATGCTGATTGAAATAGTGGGGCGCCGCGATCTTCGAATGGGGCACCACATGGCTTCTGATTCAAAAAGACGGCAAGGTCTGGAAGGAGGATGTCCGGGGTGTTTTTGATGTGAGACTCCTGCTACGATTGGACGACAAGTTAGCTAACTATCCCAGGGCTCTCTGTTCTGGAAAATCCGCGAGGCCAGACAATCTCCTCGAGGATGGTCGCAGGGGTTAAGTCTGGGAGGGTCCATTCGCGAGGCGTTTCGAGGCTTTCTGGATACGTATTTGGACAAATGATTGTCTCCTCATAGCGACATGATATTATGTGCATGATATCGTTAGAGATTTGTCTGGCTAGGCGTCGGATGTTGAGACTAGACTAGCAACAGCTTAGCGATAGTCAATGTTGCTTGTTCCATCCATATCAGAGCGCAGCTGCAGCTCTAAAATCAACATTTCCCAAGGTCCTGGTGCTTCAGGACCATCTTAACAAGCAATCACTACATCTCAAAAGGCACTATACACCAATAATACCATCCTCACCTCAACTTTGCCCCCCACCCCACCAACACATGCAACCCCTCCAGTTTCATCCAATCTAATAAGTATACCTCCACCCATCCCCTCCAACCTCCTATTCCCCCAAACCAACCTCCCCGTCATCAACCCCACCAAAACCACCACCCCCACCGACGTCCCAATACGCGTATAAATGCCCACCCGATACTGCGGTGCATCCTGCGACCGGAACACCAACGATCCGACCATTCCGCCGGAGGCACCCAGACCCACGAAGATGGCGCTGCAGGCCGCGCGGGTCCATTGGCCGCGGGTGTTGTTTGCCTGATTCATCAGTATTTGTTTGGGTGGTTTGGTGGAAATTGGAATGGTGTGGTAGAGGGAGGGGGGGTACCATGAAGGTGATGCCGTAGGATAGGATGCCAGTGAATGCGGATGCCACGCAGCCAAGTAGAATATGGCGAATCGCTTTTGTGTTTGGTAGCGGGGGTATCATGTTGCGATTAGGTTATACAGCGGCTGGGAAGAACCCGGCTTCTAGGGTTCCGATGATGATTCGAATGCCGACTGGTTGGGTCCAGTTGTGGACGAAGCCACCGCACATCTGGAGAATTAGCCTTCAATCTGCTGGTGTGTAGAGAATACGGACCATGGTGACTCCCCATACGAAGCAGATACTGGATAAGAAGACTTTCGGTCCCAGCTTGCGAATCAGCACCGGACCGAGCATCTGGAGACAGATATACGGCGGGAAGAAGACGACGGCGATGACATTCTGGATTTATGTTAGATTCAGAAATCACATTCGAAGGCGGGTCAACTTACATATTGATTCCCATGTAGATGCAAATCTTTCAACATACCTGCCACCGCCGCAGTGGACAGATTTCCCCGGTCAATCAGCGACACGGTATGCAGCAGCCCTAGCATCATAATCAACCGCATATCCACACGACGGATGACCCGTCGCTGCTCCTGGGGAGTCAGCTCCAGATCCTCTGTTGACGCACTCTCCGCCCCAACGGACACGCTTTTGACAGCGTCATCGGCCATTGTGAATGCTGCAAATAACGCTGTAGCTACATTGAGAGATTGGTTATGTCGAAACGTCGAATGGATTTAAAGGACAAGCTGATCAATGATGAAGAATTGACTTGTATTGCGACATTGCAGACGATTCTTGGCATACTCGATGTTTATCAAGTTGCATGGGAATATGTCGTGGGGTAGAAGACCCTTCGTGCTTGCGGAGAAGTACCAAGATCGGAGATCGGCGTTAGCTGAGATAAAGCTGTACAATAGGCTGAATGAGTGCACCAAGTAACGCCGAAATCTGAAGCTTGGCAGCCACTAAGCAAGACATTGAAGGTTCAATCGGCTAAGGACTGTCTACAATGCAAGGTCATTGGTGTCAACCGTCTTCGATGTGGATAAATGTCATAGCACCTCTGATACTTACTCAGTCCTAGCTTCTCGATCTGGCATATCCCACCCTGAAGTCTCTGGGCATGAGAGGCAATCTTGTCTGCCATTAATATAAACTCTGGAGCTTGTGAAATCACACTCAGGGATCAATAATCAGAGCTGGTCAGGCATCCATCGAATTCATTCACTATCTGATCACTCTATGCACTCTCCTCGCTAGTACCACGCTCAGGAACCCCGTCCCAGTCATTAACCTCTCGTCGCTTCCCTCTCCTCTTCTCTTCCCACCTGAACGCAAAATAGATGCTAATAAACAGAACAGTCGCCAAGGAAGAAAGACCAAGATATAACTTCGCTCCAATACGCCAATGGGGAGCTTCCGACGCCGGATAAGCAGCGATCGGAAGGAAGGCACTGAACAGGTACGAGAAGAGTGTGCCCGTGGCAAATAGGACGGTTCGAACTTCTGGTTCCTTTTCCAGATGGGCAGCTGCCCATGCACACAGGAGCATGGTCGACACCCTGATGATTGTCAGCTGGCATATTGCGCGGTGAGCCGAGGGTACTTACGCTCCGATATGGTTCATGTACCAGCCTGCCATATAGGCGTGTTCATTGCTCGGCTGGATTACCAGGATGATGAGGGATGTGATGTTGATGGCCTTCCTCCTTTAGCGGTCTGCAGTACACACCTGAAGAAATCTTACCGAGTGGAGGAGCAGGAAGGGCAGTCGGACCCCGAAATAGTCGCTGAATCCGCTGAAGAGAACCTCCGCAACGAGTTGGATCGCCTGACCGATGATCGGAAGGTAGTCGAGCATCGCAACAGAACTATATTTGTCAGAGATGTCCGTACACATGCAATTGTACAACTTACTATTTCTTGGTTCCATCCGGGTTCTTCAAAGACTTCAACCACAGATTGAAGTAGCTGGTCGGGGTGGTACCAGTGCCAATCGCCCAGGCGACTGGACATGTCAGTCATCACATCGAATCAAGGGGAATCTCATGAAAGCATACTGGCGAACAACCACAGATGCCAAAACTTGAAGCAGCGTAAGAAGCTTCCCACTCGAATACCGCTCTGGGGTTTCCGGCCAACTCGCTTCGTGCGAGCGATAGCGGTTTCTGCGAGATTAGCCAGTCGCTCTGATGTATGGCAAACAATACCTACTAATATGCCGGGGCTTGAGATAAATCTTCGATAGCGGGTGCTGCCTTTCCGGCTGTGGCTGGTTAGCATGACTCCATCTGTGGGTGGGGTGGTTTCTTACAAAACCCGGCAAAGCGACAAAGGCCATCAAGGCAATGAAGATAGTACAGACGCCCTGTTTAGGAGTCTCTGTTAGAAGCATTCTCCTGTGAAGCCGGCTAACCTACATTGATGATGAACGCCCATCGCCAACCACTCCGGCCCAACGCGCCCTCCAGGTTAGTGGAGAGTGCACCCTGCATGGCTCCGGAAAGCATAGCCCCGACAGGCTGGGCCATATTGTACAAGCTCATGCGCAAAGCCATCTCGTGGGGAAGATACCATTGACTGCGATTGTCAATGCTCTGTTCAGTTGCCTGGGCTTTCACTTACCTGATGATGGTGAAATAACCAGGCCATGTTGCACCTTCAAAGAAGCCGATCAGAAAGCGCAGACCATACACCTGTTCACTTAGCCCTGAACCACCAAAGATGGGATATGGGCACATACCTGCTTTGCTGATGTGACCGTCGACAAGCAGCAGGTAAGGATTCCCCAGAGCACCTATCTCGTTGGTCATCCGCTCCAACGTACCAATTCAGGACAACTCACCTCGCACGCAGGCAGCCAAACCGACGGACCGACATGAGAGATAATGATACACGAGGGATACAGCATGATCATATACCCAATACTAGCTAAGTCAGTGTTGAACTCCACTCCCGGACATTGTCTTACTTGAAGAACGTGGTAAAATAATTATACTCATTGCCATAGAGCTTCAGATCCGTCTCCATGCCAGATACATACGCATTGCTCTGCCAATCAGTGAGTACCACCCCCAGATGTTCAGGTGTATGGAAGACCCACGATATTTGTCTGATCAAGGTACTTGAAAGCATACCCCAGAAACCCCACGACGAGGAAGAATATATCGAGTCGCCATACCTGTCCGGTCAGATTCAACACATTCGGAGAGGATTTGACAGTTGGGAACATACCAACGCCCTCTCATCTTCCGGCCGAATCTCATCACCCGAGTGCTCCTCAACAGAGACAACCCTATCACTAGCCCCCTTGATACCATCCATTTTCAGTCGCTCAATCGCACAATGGATGAGTAAAAGATCTCTCTATGCCCTGAGAATCTCTCTGATAAAAGTGTGCAGGAAAGAGCAATCTCGGTTCTTATCTCGGCGATATGCATCCATGGCATCAAAGCGGGATGCGAAGGCGTGCTCTGTACTTCCTATGCCGCGACGCTAGTCTGCACGACACCGGGCCTGGCCAAGCTAACGTTACTTTATCGGGCCATACTAAGTACTACTGGCGTCGTCATCGGATCAAAGTGCGTCGTGGAGAGAGCCAGACTGGGTGTATGCGTACTAGTCTCCAATACTCCCTGGTGTTTTACCAAATCACGAATAACTATCCCGGAGGTGGGGTATCATGTCCGTACTCCTACTTATTAAATCTACCCTAACTTATCCCTCACACTCAGTCCAAAATAACTTGCCTCCAACTATATCAACAAAGCATTCTTATTTTTTGGAGACTCATCCTGCAGGGAAGCTTATATCTAGCCTTACCAACCGATTTCTGGTGATCTAGAGACACCCGCCAATAAATTGACCCGGGTTCTCCAGCAAAAGAGATGAACTTCCAGCATTCTCAATCCCATAGGACGCAAAATAGGGCTCTTGTATATCCCCACATTGACAGGGATGCAATGAGTTTGTAATAGTCTTCCGCAACAGACAAGCAATCGTGGGGTTGGTCAAGACGTATCAGGAAGGACAGACCTGGCGGATATATCTGGGGAGCAAGTATATGTCTGTATAGTGGTCCTGTGATTCAACTTGGGGGCATTGGTGGGAATTCTAGCGGTCGTCATCGTCATATCGAGCAGGGGAGGGAGATTATGCGCGCGACAACTGGATCCGGCAATGTCCTTGTCGTGGATTAGTTCGCATGAGAGTCAGCAGTTCCCCTGGCGGCAGTGGTCACAAGGATAACAGTGTGGCTGTCCGCAGCGCTTGTCGGAGTGAGTCTGAAGTTCATTCCCACCGGAGAAGTAAGATCGTTCGACCATAAAGTGAGGTTTATGCATCTAACCGCGGTGATCCGAACACCTTTGTTCGGCCTGGCCTTGAGCTTCTAGCTTGGAGGCATCGCTAGTGATTCCACAAGATCTATCAATCCGGTATTGCTATCTGGAAACCCATGGCCAATTGTAAAATAGCCGATTTGATTAATGAGGCGATGACCATGATGTTTTGCGAATTGGGTGAGTAACATTACAAATGACAAGCTTTCGGGGTTGAGATCAAGCCCGAGGATCACCCCGCTCCAGGATAACCTTTCCCAACATTTCATTACCATTATACAATTGATTCCAACACATTCCATCAGAACCGTACTCGTATCACAGAATTAGTATTAGAGTAAATTCCATGGCGTATTCCCGTAGTATCTCCCCGCAGGGCAACGGTCCATCTTCAGGGCTCCCTAATCCACAATTCTGACTCACCGAACCCGGACGAGTAAAGCGAATACAAATCCGAGTTAACAACAACATCCGGTCCAATCCCTGGTACATCAGGATCAATGACCGAATTCGGGGGCCCCCGCAAAGGAGAAGGCTCTAGCCTAGCCTTCCGAGCAAAGGCCGTCCGCTCCATCAATCGCCTAAGGGGCTTTCGGAGCATGACGCTTGTTTGCGAGTCATCCTCTTCCCATTGTCGATGGATCTCGTTGACCATTTCCCAGGCGCGATTGGTTGCCGGTGTAATGGGCCGGGTGCATAGCTCGGCTAGGATGAATGCCACTGCGTGCCATTGTTTATAGCTTTTGCATAACCAGGACCATTGTGATGTGGTCTCATTTGTTTGGAGGAGAATTGTAAATTCGACCGCTTCGACGGCAACGGCAAAGGCTTCGTCGCAGGCCCGTTGCGACACTTCCAGTTCACTTTCAGTTCCAGTTGCTGGGTTCCATAGGTCTTTGTAGTGAACCGAGACCCAGAGCTTGGACACGGTCAGTCTGATAATCGTCGCGTAGACCCATTCGATCGGCACACCCAGATTCAAATGCTCCAGATAGTGGTTCTGGATACGACTCGCCAGTTTCATTACCCGGCTTTCGCGACTATCCTTCGATGGACTCTTGGGATCATGAGATCCATTTGGCCAGTATAGTTGGGAGATGATCTCACACTGCACGATGGCGAGTGTGATATCAGTCGCACCAACTTTCTCGGGCGGTAGCTCCGTCATGGATGGGGATAGATCCTCCCCGTTGATGTTGGAGGGGAGGCGCGTGTCAAACATCCCCGGATGGACTTGGGTGTCGGTCCCTTGGTCTTCCGAGGAAATCATGTCAAGTATGCAAATGTTCCACCATAGCCTGCGTCGCATCTCCGCGTCAAACGGGCTGAGACCTAGGACTTCGCCATCGCGATGCACACCCTGTCCCTGAGCCACGCGGACCACGACCGCCGACGCCGCCCAGACTAGTCTGGAATCGCTGCGGTAGCGGAGAGTCAACAAAAATACCACGGCGGCTTGAAGCACGCAAATGTTCTGCGTCTTGATAAAGTTGGCTCGAACCAACGCTTGGTCGACTGCATGAATGTAGCTCTGTATGGCTTGGTCATAATCCAGACCCAGCAGCTGCCGACACTGCTCCGGCTGCAAAGTAACAATAGCCGCGAAGCACACCGCAAGGATCAACGCCTCTCGGGCGGGATCTGGATTGATGTTGTCCAATTCCTGACGGATCATGACATCGACAGAGGGTCTGTGCAAGACGGCGATAAGCGGGGCGACATTGTCCTGGTAGACACGCCACAAGGATTGGATTCGCGCGGGCTGAAGAAAAGTGTCGCGCAAGCTGTGATCCCGCCAGTTGCCGCCGACGGCGCTCACAAACTGCAGGCCTGTCAGTTCCGGAGTCTCCGACTCATCATCCTCCGAAGATGCATCACAGATGTCCTGCAACTCTCGAATCTATGCCAGTCAGTCGGGAATTCTCGACACAAAATCGTGGGAGGATCAACCTTATCACCCAGGACAGCAGAGGCCTCATCACCAATATATCGACTCTTACCCTCCTTGACAACCAGCCGACCCTCCTGGGGACTGGGGCCCACCGGGCCCTGTCCGGCGGGGATGCCGAGTGGGGAGGATCCTGACGCTGACCCGGGATCAGCCGTTGGGGGCAACGGCTGGGAACGAAGTTTCTGGACTTCTTCCTCCAAGAGACGCAGCTGGGCGAGGACCTCAGCAATCGGGGGACGCTTCAACTGACGCGGGGCGCGCTTGGGCCCGGGAAAGATGCATTCCTCGGCGCCCTTGACACAGCGACCGCAGGGAAAGTGACGGTCGCATCGGACCTTGCGACGGTTGCAAGGGATGCAGCTGCGCGGGTTGAGCGGTGGAGGAGGAGCAGCGGCGGGGGATTGGCTGGAGGGATCATCCATGGTGCAGGGGGGCGCATGGCAGATGCCACTTTGACGTACACCGTCTGACGGGGGGGATGGATGTAATAGGATGGAATGGGATGGTGAGGCTGTCGACTCGGGGAGGGGCCGGACAGGATGCCCGATGCCGACGGTCGGATTCAGTGGCTGCTCACCGACAGGCTTGGCACGCGTCCCATGGTTGACAGAACATCATACGGAGGAAAATATGGAACAATAAACAATGACATTTCATACTAGTCTATAGCAACATTGATCTATTACAACCCCTCATACCGCTCATCCAGCTGCTTTGGTGTGAGGACCTGATGCTCTGGCGACCGCGCCGCCGCCCTCATCAAAGTCAAGGGGAAGACAAACTCCCGGGCCATCGCGACCGGGTTGAAGAACATCGCCCACGCGTAGATTCCCAACGGGCCTCCTTGGTACTTCTGTCTCACCTTGATCTCCTCGATCTCGTCCACAGGCTTGTATCGAGGCTCGTTGGCTAGAGGCAGCTTCATCACACTGTAGGGGGTGACGCTGTAGGCAAAGTGGAAGAAGCAGGCCAGCGGGACCATCTGGATGCAGATGATCATGGTGGGTAGTCCAATCGTGATGTCCGTGTAGGTCATGACCGACGATGCCTTGAGGATGGAGGCTGTGCGGAGGATGGTGAAGAGGATCTATGGTCGTTAGCCTGGTACTTACTTAGTAGCAGGATGGGAGACATACACTTTCCACAAATGTCAAGCCGACAATCAGTTTGAATGCCAGTAGTTTCGCCAGGGCCCGGTGTCCCTCCATGTCTTTCTTTAGCTGCGCGTAGAACTTGACAACGGCCATGACGGCAAAGGAAATGGACACGTTTTTGATGATCGTAATCTGCAATCATTAGCGACTGTCTGCTCTCCTCCGGCATGGTGACATACCCAAATGTGCGCAAAATAGGGCTCCTTGCTCTCCAGACAGTACTTTCCCGCGCCCTGAGTGATACAGGCGACCACGGTCGTGATCAGCGCCACGGCAGGATACTGCACGACCACATAATAAGTCCGCTATAACTGCCAGTCAGTATCTGCCCACTACCCCTGCAGCACAGGACATGACACGAACCCTGAACCAGGTCAATCCATCCATCGGCGGCGATCGTCGTCGTCGTCGCAACCTGGACGGTTTGATTTGCTGAGTCGCAATCAACTGCAGTCTCTGCTCATCGCTGGGCGCGATGAACTCGCACAGCAGCAAGAAGAAGCTGTACAATGCAACACCCTCAAACGGATCCGGCCAGGACGAGAAGTAGACGTAGCCGTTGGGAAAGCAGACCGAGAGGAAGGAGAAGATGGAGTAGACGGGGACGACACTGCTGATACGCATGACTCTGGGAGAGGTTAAACGGGTGATGAGCCATTTGGGGTCAGGGTATCCTACCTGATCTGCTCGGTCGGGTTGCTGAACCGCGTCGCATGTCTCATCATCAAGGCGAAAATGATCAGACAGGCCAAGACCGTACTCGCGCCCGAGATGATCATGTTCAGATGGTAGAAGGACAGATTGCCCACCACGTTCTGGGTCTCATCTATGCTTGGTTAGATCACCAGCTACTCTCAGCACTGGGTGTAAGTACCTTCGGAGACGGCATGAGAGGGACAGGTATGATGAGCGGAGTGATGAGGATGGAGGAAATGCAATAAATGGCCCATTGTCGCGACTCGGGTCAACTCTGTTGACAATGGCGTTGAAAAACAATCCTTTGCGCCTGAAAATCAAAAGCCGAATGTATCTCACCAGCCAAAACCACAATCGAGCTGGCAACGAATTTTTATATGTCTTCCGCTGTCCTCGAGCCTCAGCCTCACAGCCCCCAAGCTAAAGCCAAGCCTTTGACAAGCATACCCGATGCGGTAAGGAGGGCGAGACTCCAGCGAATCCCAGTGGAGCCAACACGAGCCCGTCGGTCGACCCCATTTGCTTCGGTGCAACGGGCGGGTTTCAGCCGATCCACTGGCGGCTCATGGCTTGGGCGGAGGAACAAGCGTTATCTAGGCTTTTGTTGAGTATCCGACTCGTTCCCCCAATGAGGTGGCGGTCGGGGTGCCGATCTGCGGAGTTGGCGGGTGGTTATGGGCGGTTGATTTGAAAATTTAGACTATTCCATGCCATGTCACTATTTTGAGTTATCGCCCATCTTCAAAATGGGTAGGTTTGCCTTGGTTATTCCGCCTTGATGGCTTAGGGGATCCACCCAATCATCCCTCGCGGACGCAGCCCTGTCACGGTGCTTGGGATAGGGTGTTAGTTACCCCTGTCGGTGAGTTACATTCTTCCCTAGGAAGACATCAGTCTTGCACTTTCCCCTAGGCACTTAGTATACTGAGAACTAGTCAACATCCATCGTGGCTAGCTGATCCACCTAACAGATAGGATTGCAAAAGAGGAAGGAGCCGGTCAAGTTGAATACAGAGATGACTCGGCCATCATCCAGATTGTCGTGGTAGCCCGCGGACGGCGAGGGGCACACTGACTTAAGGATCCCAGTAAGCACTTGTCTTCTTGGCGGACAATATGCAGACAAGCAACCAATGATGGGCGGTGTTTGGGAATTGCGACAGCATTGCTTGATAAGCAGGCTTATTCCCCGCTCTTTCGTGCATTTGAAGGGAATTTTACGGAGTAGGATGGTATGGATATAGTAGGATGGAGATGGCTCGATCAACCATGTGCTTTATTCCCTGCACACGGCTACACTATTGGCCATGAGATGTATCACGCCATGTAGGACCCTTGTTACATGACCGATTTTTATTAGCAATGGCCTCGCAGATTAATAATGCTGCCAGAGGTTTCGGATACTTTTAGATCCATGTAGATACCAGGCTATGTTCCCAATTCATCGCTCTCCGACAAGTTATGTTATCAAATGAACATGGCGCCAATCATTGACAATATCGCCGCCCAAGGCATCTCCTACTATACGCCCGCGCAGCAGCCTCCAGCAGGCACCCAACTCGAAGGATCCACCAAGCTGTTCACCCCTCTCACCATCCGCGGCGTGACCCTACCAAATCGCCTATTTCTAGCGCCCCTCTGTCAGTACTCCGCCAAAGATGGCTACGCCAATGATTGGCACCTCACGCACCTGGGCGGAATCATTCAGCGTGGCCCGGGCCTCGCCATCATGGAATCCACCGCCGTGCAGAAACTCGGACGCATCACCCCGCAGGATCTGGGTCTGTACGAGGATGGCCAGATCGAGCCATTGAAGCGCATCACGGAGTTTGCGCACGGCCAGGGGCAGAAGATTGCTATCCAACTAGCCCATGCCGGTCGAAAGGCCAGTGGAGTTGCTCCTTGGTTGAGCAGCAATGCGATGGCTGTCAAGGAAGTTGGCGGGTGGCCGGATGAGATCGTGGGCCCATCAGCAATTTCCCATGAAGAGGGCATACACACCGTACCCAAGGCTCTGACCGGGGAAGATATCCAAGCATTGACGAAAGACTTCGCCGAGGCGGCCAAACGCGCCGTCAAGGCCAACTTCGATGCCATTGAGATTCATGCCGCCCATGGATATCTCCTTCACCAGTTTTTGAGCCCCGTGAGTAACCGACGCACAGATGAGTATGGAGGCAGCTTTGAGAACCGGGTCCGACTGCTGTTGGAAGTCAGTGAAGCAATTCGGGCCGTGATACCAGCACCAATGCCATTGCTGGTCCGGATCAGTGCGACCGATTGGTTCGAGTTCGATGAGACCTTGAAGAAAGAGTTTCCTGACAGCTGGACGGTTGCGCAGTCGGTCCTACTTGTCCCGCTCTTAGCGGACCATGGGGTGGACCTGGTGGACGTCAGCTCTGGTGGTATCCACCCCAAATCGGCTATTGCCATTCGGTCAGGCCCTGCCTATCAGGTACATCTAGCGCAGGAAATTAAGAAGGCGGTTGGTGACAAATTATTGATCTCGGCGGTCGGAGGAATCAAAACGGGGGCTCTGGCTGAGGACGTGGTGCAATCTGGTATTGATGCGGTCCAGGCGGGACGGTGGTTCCAGCAGAATCCGGGCCTGGTTCGCGCGTTTGCCAATGAGTTGGGTGTGAAGGTGAGGATGGCCACCCAGATCGATTGGAGTTTTGATGGTCGTGGAAAGCATGCCAAGAGTTCGTTGTGATGCTTCAAAACTAGGTCGTGGCCGGCCATATATCTTTTGACAATATTAGTCCCTAGTTGACGTGACTATCCATAATATTTCCGAGCATGCTAGAGAGCCATGTTTGGTGGAGTTTCCATTGTTCGTGTCCTGGCAGGCTGCCGGTGACAGGGCACATGGGAAGGAACGAGTAGTGGATGGCGATGTTGCTTCGGACACGCATACATGGCTATCAAAGCTTGTTTTATTTCTTTCAGCAGGTCGATCCGGCCAATTCTGGCAGTGGCTTCTCCGTCGATTTGCCAAAGTAGGTGTCCGGGACCACCTCTGCAGGCAGCTCAGCAATAAACTCGGCGGGCAGTTCAGCCGGCAGTTGGACTACCTCGTCAGCGGGCATTTCGATTGGCAGTTTTTGCCCGTCTTTCCCGGCAGAGAGCTCTGATCGGCTGTCTGATGACAGCGACACCTTCGGGGACAAGATAGAGGACGTCTTGAACAAGTCCGGTCGAGGAGCAAAGAGATCTGAACCCAGCACGCGCATCAGATTGTCGGCCTCCACCGGTGGGGAGAATTGGCCCTCCAGTATCTCCCGCGCCTTGACCTTGTTGCCATACAGTTTCTGGTTCGCGCCCCGACGCTCAAACAGCATACTCCCCTCGGTGCTGAATCCGCCAAAGAAGCCTTTGTTCTGTCCGTACGAGAACACGCCTGCAACACCCCCCGCGCTCACCACCCCGCCCACTTCCCCGTATCGGCCGGTTGGTCCCATGGCAAAAGAGACATTCTTGCCTAAGGACAAACTTCCGAGCTGGGCAAACGTGCGGACGGCGCTGGTGGTATTGAGAACGAAGACGAAGTTGGTGACCTCCAGACCGAGCTGTCCGCCCACGCCCACTCCAGCGGTCAGAATAGCCGAAGGGGCAGACCAGTCGCCATCTTTGAGACGCGCGATCAGAATACCGGATCCTATCCGGACGGAGCCCACGATGCCGACTTTGGAGACGGAAAAGACGGCGAAGCCCTGCATTCAGTGTCATTCATGGCCGGGAAGGCGCCAGGACCGAGTGACTCACCTTGGCCGCGGCAAGGACTTTTGGCGGAATGAGACTGTCCGGGCCATCGAGGTTCGCAGGATTGGTAAAGGCATCGAGGATTTGCGCCGCTTTGTTGCATTCACCTGTCGATTGTCAGCTGCCGTTACTGGTCTGAACGGTAATGGATCGAGCATACTGCGAAAGGAGCCCGGAAGGGGGCTGTGAATGCCCTTGAGCTTGTCAAACACGGGCATCTTTGATGGAAATCGTGCTAAGGATGGAGGGGGAGTACGAAAGGCCCGTTTGAAGAATCGAGTTGTCAATGCCGCAGGGACGGAGAAAATGGGGGCTCTAAAGTGGATCCAAATAGGGTATCCTCTTCGCAGCGACATAGCCTCAGCCTCCAATCAAGGATGCCAATGGTTTCAACACGGCCCATCCGCGTGGGCGGGCGGTGCAATTCACAAATTAATGGCTGCCAAACTCTGGAAGGATCAACATGGCGGCCCGAGTGGAGCCAGTAGGCTTGGATGCCTCCACTTCTCGCCCGTCTGACCCAATTCCCTCTGGCTTCTCCGACCTGCTTATCTTGGAATCAGAAACATGTCCTCACTCTATCTACTCCGTTGGGTGTTCTCTGGACTGTGGTCGTCCCGAGTGATTCCAGGATATCACTTCAGCACACGTGGACAGCTCCCAGATGAATTTTCACTATGGCTCTAGGGTTGCCCCGTGTCCTTTTGAACACAGAGAGGCAAGAGAGACGTCGCGTATTTGCCGGTGAGCACAACCAAGAGTACGAACCTAAGATATCGTTTAAAGAGACAATTCCTTGCCGACATACCAAGGTTATCAACGATGCGGTGCGATGCCATCCAGCCGGGACGGAAGGAGCATCTGGGGCAGGAGTGGATCAGCCGAGATATATATATGTGGCCCCCTACTACAGCCAGCCTAAATAAAAAGATATTCGAACCACATGCCAACCTGTTTAGAAGACAACCGAAAGCTGGAACCCGAAGGCAGTCCCGCACTACATAGTACATGGAATCTACTAATTATGGTTGATTGTGGGCCCTCGGTAATAAAGCCTCCAGCAAGCAGTGGGAATGCCCATGAAGCTTAAGCTTGGAGACCACCAATCAGATACAAATGGCTCTGTCTTCCACCACCGCAAGCTTCAAGACCATTTCCCGGAGAAAGAAAAGCATGTTTACCTCAAGTCACATTCAATCCCCTCAAAGTTCCTCTCACAGGTCCTATGTCGAGCGGGCTGGAGAGAATCTCATAATGACATCTAGACAAGGCAAGATTCAGCCAGGGGGATTTATTTTCTGCCCACCACCTTACGATATCCGCAACCCATAGTACATTTTGTCATGGTACGCATTTGGCATAATCTCATTAAGGGTATAATCTATCCATCATATCAACATCAAACATTACTCTTTTTCTCCGCATCGCGAACCGGCGACGCAGCCAGTTTACTTCGCTGCCGGATCCACGGGCCAAAGATCATGAATGCTACAGGCATGGGAATCATAATGGCTGCAATGCACCCCAGCAGGGTTCCCGCCCACTGCACTCCCAGGTTGACCATCATCTGACGCGAGAACAGTGGAAATACACATCCCACAGCGGACCGGAGGATGGTGTTTGCAGCGATCGTAGATGCAGCCCTGTGCTGGTTAGCATCACTCCCTCCCACACAACTCAAAGAGGTATACGTACAAGGTCGGATAACAATCAACGATATAGTTGAAACACTGCAGGAAAATGCACAGAATGCCGAATCCAATCAGAACGCCCGCTGCGGTCGGCGCCATCCAGTGGATCCTGTTCGTGTAGCCGGTCCAGCCGAACCTGATTCATTAGTATGCCTGGTTTAACCACAGGAACAATGGCGACATACCAGAACATGCCCATGGCAAAAGTGATCGCTCCCACAATGGCAGCCGGGAGACGCCATTCAGGGATAGGCTTTCCTCCGTTCGCAGCCAGCTTGCGCTTATACTGGCCTTGCAGACACAGGATGAAGACACCGCCGACCAGTTCACCAAGAATGAGACCGATGAACGCGAGTCCACCAACGCCCATGCTCATGCCGTACACATCGTCAAAGACAACAGGATACGCACCGAGGAGGGCATAAATCAGACCATAAACGAAGGAGATATACAACGAGATGAGAAGGAGGATCGGCTCAGTGATCAGCATGGTCAATGGACGAGTAAAGTTGTTGCGGACCAATTCTTTGATATCAACCTCCACTTCGTCCTGCTTAGCATGAATGCCCCAGTTGCGGGTCTGTCGACGGAGGACGGCAGCCTTTCGGACGAGAATGACCGGGGGGTATGTCTCGTCGAGGAAGAGGAATACTAGTATAAACGCGAGGAAAACCATGATGGCGGAGATATACATGGTCCATCTCCACCCCAGTGGACTTGTCGCGATGAACCCACCCACAAACGGGGCCGCGAACGGACCGATAAACACTGCCATGCAGAAGATTGACATGACGACTCCACGATGGGCAGCGCTGAACAGATCCGCAAAGACAGCCGGAACCAGAGAGACGGGGCTCGCAGCAAAGAGACCCCCGAAGAACCGACCCAGCATGATGGTCTGGATGTCTTTACCGGTGGCAGCAGCAATAGTGAAGATACCGCACCCGAACAAGCCAATGGACAGCGGCCAGCGCCGTCCGATGAGCTCTGATGCCGGTGCCCAAATGGTCGGTCCGGCGGCAAATCCAAACACGTATAGAGTGACCCCGAGGGTACCGACTTCTCTTCCGACATGAAACTCCTTACTCACGGCACTGATGGCAGCGGAAAAGACGGCGCTGGTGAAGGCAGTAGCGAAGGTAGAATAGCAAAGGATGGAGACGAGGACAGTCCTATACCGATCAGCAGCTGCTCACAGCATCAAGCAATGCAACTCACCTCCGTGCTATCGACCAATTCCACGGATGAAGCGGATCATCTGCACCATCAAATTCCACCACATATGTCTCCGGATCAGGCAGCAACGGCGGATACTCCTTGCCAGCGCCCATAGGCAACCATTCCTCTCTCGGCTCCGGCCCTCGAGTCGACCCTACCGTGGCCCTCTGTTGCAACCGGTACGTATTGATGCGGGCGAGTTCGACCGAGTCAGGATGATCAGGATGTTCATCCGAATAATCATCACTGGAACTATCAATGGGCGAGGGATCCTTGGCGTATTCTGTGACGTGCTCCATGACCAACAACCTCAGTGCGCAGGTCAGCAACACTGCAACAATTCGATGAAAACGCACCCTTCAAAATCTCCCTCCAAGGCACGGAAACGCCGATATAAGTACCATCTACCTACTGCCCAACCCACCAGGATATCCACCCAACTAGTTCCACCTCTCTATCAAAATTTTCTCCTTCCACGACATTCCCCCCCCATGGCACCATCTAGACCACAGGGATCAAGACAAGTTCCCACACCGAAACCCATGCCTTGAAATCCACGACAAACCCGCGCTCCATCTTTTTCCGCGCAGCCGTTATCCGTTCTCCCCGTGTCTGATACACCAGCCACAACGCCGGCCCTAATTCTGCTCAGCCAATGATACCTCCTGCCCTGGTTTCGTGACAGCGGATACCCTCGGCACTGTGGCTCAATCCAGGGACACCCGCTCGGCAATGTGGCCGTGCCCGAGGCTAACCGAGCTGAACCGCAGATACCCGATACCCATGTCGGGTAGAAAAATCTGTATAGAATCTCACTAGGGTCGAACAGGCTGACTGGCTGATAAGGGAAGGAAGTACCGGCATTTAGTAAATTAATTTGCTGTCACCAGTCATAGCTGCATGCACGTCACGCCATGACATGGTATATTATTGGATAGGTGCATCGACAAAGTGATTGTGTCAACCATGTGGTGGAGGCTATGTCATACTAGTAAGTTCTCACTACTAAATTATATACTAAACCACTGGTAGGTGTTACTTATCTTTCGGAATCCGTGCCGGATAAGAGCACTGGCAGGGTGATACACACAAAGGGTGTATGTATTTATCCATTGCTGTGGATGGATAAATCTGGGTGGTACTTATCTGGCGTTGTCGTCTTTTTTCTTTCCCCCTTTCAATATTAACTTGATTAGTTGGCTACTCTTAACGCATGGCCTGAGTGACATCATATCGCGGACGACCGTCGGGAGTAATTTGATTGAAGGTCGAACTAAGCCTGCTTGTTATCTAGGTTATTCTGGTTGGAATATATAAAGCAACCCTCCGCTCCTGAAGTTACTTCGTATCTACGTTGTGGAAACTGCCTGAAACATGCATCTGCCTCATATCATCATTGACTATGTTACATCCATCTGCCTTGGTTCTGACCATGCCGCAAACCGATGATGCCATCGGAACCACGTGGTATACTGCCAGCAGCTATTACTACTAACTCATAATGATTATGACAGCAACCTTAGCAACCCATTAAAACTCTCCAGGCCCTTTTCCGAAATGTCCACCCTTGGCCACTTTCAGCCACGGCACTGAATTGGAATCATCCGTGTTGGATCCCACCGTGTTACCCCACCAGTTGAAGGTGGTATTGGTGTATCCGAGGGCAAAGAAAATGAGAATGGTGGCGATGGCTGTGCCAGTGTCCATGGCGGCTTGGAAGAGGTCTATCATCGAGTTGATTAGCCTGATATATCCCGCGGATGGATCGTGGAGGGAAACTCACAGTTGTACTTCTTCCACCAGGCAAAGGCGCGCTTGCGAATGAGGTAGTTGAAGAGGAACCCGAATAGGAACCAGAGGGAGTATTGAGCTATATCCTGTTAGCTTGTGACAAAGCAAATCAAGTGAGGTACGTACTGGTATTGGCAGGAGGAATGTTGCCCGCCGCGTTGAAGAAGATCGGAACGTTGATGTACCGTACCCAACTCTGGGGGTACCGGCGGTAGATGAGCCATACGATTACCGTCACCACGGGCTACTACGGTCAGCAATGAAATACACCAAGGGCCCAGGAACGACTTACTCCGATGAAAAAGAAATACATTAGCGAGTGGTACACCTGTCCCGACTGGAACATGCGCTGCGGACCGATGGTCCCCCAAATCAGACTGGCGTTGTACATGACCTTCGAACCGGCACAGGTAAAACGCTGGGCATTGTTCGTATCGCACAGTCCTTGAATATGTCCCATCATCCATCGGAGGACTATCACCGTCAGTGTAATCCTATGAAGAGGGCTTGGTACTTACCGCCGGTCTGGGTCATGGTAGCCAGGATACTGGAATACACCTGACCGAAGAAGAGAACACGAGGGGGGATTTTCTGACTCGTTAGTGTTTCACTTCGTGATTGATCGAATCCCCTGCACTCACCATATACTGTCCAAGCTTGAGATCCTGGGCAAAGTCCATTCCGTGCTTAACCGAGTTGTAGCCATAGCACTTGACCATCATGTTGGCGATCGGCTTTCCCGGCCACGCGTATCCTGCAATCAACTCGGTGATGATGTTCAGGAAGATTCGCTGGTTAGTAGTCCCTTCGAGAATGCCCTCCGGAATAATCAAGACCACACCCATGCCACAGCAGACAACGATGAATCCCCACACCGGCAGACCGGTCTCCCAATATCTGACAGTCAGGATACCCAGTCCGGCCATGATCACAAACAAGACTGCATACCACCAATCTGGCACTTCGCGGTATGCGTGCATCAACCGACGGTGGATATCCTCCCCTCCATGACGGGAGTTTCTAAACTTGGCCCAGATCTCGGAACCGTTGTAAAGGTAGGTGTGGACCACAATGGCCGTCACGGCCGCAAACGACAGACCATAGGTGAGCGAGTATGACATGGAAATGTACATGGGAGAGTACTCCTTGTACTGGCTGAGGACAAAGTCTCCGTTGGCATCGATAACCCGCGATACATTGTACGAGCTACCGGTGTTGTCAAACGTCGACGACGATAGAAGAGGGAGGCTAAACATGTTAGCATAACCTATGAATATGCATCGGCTACTCACTAGGCACTGAACCAGACGTCCTTGTAGTACAGAATGGGCGAGAGGAAAAGGTAGAAGAAGACCACCACCGCAAAGGCATTGCAGGTGATGTAGAAAGGCGTCATGAGAGGGTACCCGGCGTAGTTGATCTGCGTCCAATCGAAACTGATCGGCAGCAGTCCGAGACCAGAGTTCATCTACAAGGGTAAGCAGCTGAAGAGAAAGCGGGTAGGGGGGGTGGTGACTGACTCCGAAGATAGTGTTGACTTTTTGGTTATGCGGCGCAAGCCAGGTGACGAACGCAAACGTGCTGAGACTGGTCCAGATGTAATCGGGGAACCAATAAATCACAAAGGCAAAAAGAGTCGCATATCCGAAGAAGCGGTAGCGACTGAGCTTCCAACCATTGACCGGAGCGCGATTTTCGGGCTCGTGAAGGGCACGGAAGAGAATGGTCGAAGACAGCGACTGAGGCCAGATCAAGGCCGCGGGATAGACCAACCAACGACGGGCCATGCCAGCAAGGCCGAACCTAAACTGTCAGTCACAGCCATCAGACCGTCGAAAAGACTTACCCCATCATTTGCGATGTCAAGAGGTACAAAAATGAGAATCCTGCCCCGTAATCCTTGCCCCAGTACTGCGGCATAACGATGGCTACCAGTGAGCCGGAAGCATACGCCGTGCTGGCGCTGATGTTGACACACTGTTTTGTCAGTGCTCACAAAACGGGCTATTAGAGAGCCGGTGCACATACAATGGCAATAAAGGCATGTTCTTTGATGCTGAATGGTCCTGGGTTGAGGTCGAAGGACAGCCTTCCTAGCGGCACCCGCCATCGAGGCAGCTTTTCCCATGCTCGTCCGATGGGGAAGACAAGCAACTGGGCGACAACATATTGCACAGTGAGAGAGGGCTATATCATTAGCTTCGCACAGATACATTGAATGATTTGTCACTCACGTATCGCAAACTGAAAAACTGGTTCACACCCGCAAACAGCATAACAAAAATTGTGGTCAAAATCCACGCACGGACAGCTGCACTCATCAGTATCAACCTCCAACTGTCTCAAGCTGACTCACTATTGCAGGGTAGACTAGGATCATCAGTGTTCGGCACGCAGGCGGCCACTTCCGGAACTGCACATCAGTCAGCAGACGATCGACTATGCACCGGACAAGTCATACAGGGTGACTGGTCTCCCTCGACATTCCATTTGAAGGCTTCCACCGGAGTGAGTTCCTTCTGCTCGGCGATGAGGTGTTGCTGTTTCAAATCATCATTCTGTTCGAGGAGATCGCCATCCACGTCGAGATCGGCTTGCTTCGTCTCAATGACATCGCTAGTCTTGCTGTCTAGCTGATATTCAGAGGCCATGCTTGCTGCTCCTATAGGTTGGAGAAGAACAGGTCTGGCGCAACAGCGACCGGTCAAAAAACGCGTTGCAAGGGATATAAGACGGTACCCTCCTGCGACATGAACCCGCGGATCCGGGCATCTTATCAGTCATCAGCAGCTCAGAAGGAACGACCGGGTGGCATGGGTAGGTGCATCTTGCGATAGTCCCACCTGGGATGATAACAGCATGCAGGTCAAGCACACCATATCGTTGGGGTACTACTCTGATAGACCCAGGTTTGGCTGGAATCCCGGCAGCCAAGAGCGACCATGAAGCTTTAGCGGATGTAGTGTCACCAACGGTTGACGTTTCCGATAAGGTCTCGGCCAGCCACGAGTCATAGTGGGTGCTAGTAGCATCGGAGAGGCCGACTCGGGGTGCGATCGTGCATCTCCGGCGTTCTCCAGAGTCGCCGCATGAGGGTTGTGGCCCCCGCAAGGGGGCATGTGGTAGGTAGCAACCAGGGTGGCTTGAAAATTCTTTCAAACACCATTGGGGCCAACTCTTGCGTATTATACTAAAGGTAGTGGTGCGATGGCGATTCCCTCAGTTTACTGTGGATGGCGTGCTGGACCACGGTTGTGAGTGGCCTTATCTCGGTCGGCGCGGAGGGGCCGCGTGGAGCTAAGGATGAAGGCTAATCGCTGGCCGATCAACCACCGTCCCCCCATTGCCAACTACGTTTATCTCCAATGGGGTCAATGCTTATTGGCCACAAGCCTCCGAATCCATGCTACGCAGGGCCGCGACTGCTTCCCCGCTTTTGAGATAAGGCTCGCCGTGATTCCCGTGAGGATGGCGCGCCCTCCCTGTCGCTCCCTGCAGCGGACAATCGTGCGATTCTGGCCTCCTGATTTGTCCCTATTGAGGAAATATATTGCAAATCGACATGGTGCAGGGTCATGCCGATGTACCAGTCAGCCGACATTCAGGTTAGTTCATGCAGTCTTCTAATTGGAGTTGACCAGTCTGCGGGATATCGTTTTGCCGTGCAAGGGGTTCGAGCTCAGCAGCTGTTCAGCTGTGGACCTGGTCTGGGTGAAGCTGTGTCATTCGATATACGCAGTAGTATAGTCCGAGGAATCGGTGATGACGAATCGGTCAATGCGTTGCATTTTGGCCAGGCTTTCGGCGGCCGAAGAACGGAGCACTAGCCCAAGGAAGAAGTTCATTCCATACTGCAGACTCCGTAGTCGGTGCTGGTAACCTCGCGGCCGAGTTGGCTGCGGAATATTCCGAGTCGAGTTCTACCATAAGCTTTGCTGACGGCAACAGTCCGGCCTGGAATAAGAAATGTCCATCCCATGATTTTAGGTTCGGAGAAATCAGAGATATGCGGGCAGCCGCGACTAGAGTGGCACAGTGATCACCGACCACTGCTGGTGACATCCAACTGGCCATTCGTGATTTGTTTTCATTTAAATGTGTTTGACGCCTATATCAGCATGTCAATGCTGCATATTCCGTTGTCCTTCTTCCTGAAGGTCGGCCGATCTGCTGGATCGCTTTCGACAGCGGCCTGGGATAAACTGGGTCTGCTTCTGTCTGGGTCCGAGACCGGACATGGCACAAACCGCTAGGCATCAACCCAAGAAGCACTTGTGAATCTGGCGAACTGGATAAAGTCTCTGCCTAAGAATGGAACGATATCTCGGTCTCGCAGGCAGTAAGGCAGCACATGCAGTTGCTGCGGCATTTTGAAATGCGCCAGGATATGGCTGGACACAAGGCCGATGGCAGTCACAATGGCAATCCACCACTGGCAATCCTCGAGTTGATGTGATGGGCGATATTGAACGGTTGTGATGCTGGCTCATGTCACGGGCTGCCAGCGACGATGCAAAAAGCACCCCTCATCGAAGGCGAATCCGTCCTATAGAGACATGTTGGTGTGCAGAGGCCATCGATGTTGCGAACTGTGATTATTGTTGAAGGGTTTCTCATCATACGCACGTTAAACATGAAGCGCATCGCAGATGATCATGGCAGCCATGGGTGAGCTCGGAATTAAGCCGGGAATAACGGTGGGGCAAAGTCACCCTCATAACTGGTGTTTGCCCCTCAACGCATCACGACCATCCTGCAAGTGTCATTCTGAGTGACCTACATGCATGTCACCGGTACGGAAAGAGCATGATGGAATCCGAATTGCAACCCGTGGCTAGGCACGACTCCACATTCCCGGACAGGATCGAAGTCAAGCTCGAGGACGTGTGGATCGGCGTCACCGACCCGAAAGAGAGACGGAAACTGCAGAACCGGCTCAATCAGAGGGCCCGACGTTAGTGGACATGATGAACCTCGCTGGTCTAGCTGCTGACGGTTGATAGGACGCCGTCAGCATTTAGCCAAAGCACTGCCGAATGCCTCGCAGCCAGCCGATCACCAGTCGCGATCCACCACGGCACTGGTTCCCCCGTCCGTCGATTTCAAGAGTTTAGATGAATTTCCTATCTTGGGGCCTCTGGCCCCGAAAGCTCGAAGCATCATGCGACAGCTGGAAGCAATGATTCATCTCGAATTCGCAACCGGCTCACCACGGGCAGACTTACTTCTGCGAGTCACTCGCTTCAACATTTTACGAGCCTTGAACACCAACATGGATGTTCTGGGCTACCAGGCCGACAAGATGCTCGATGACGATGCCCTGTCCATGTTCAGCACGAATGGACCACGGTGTCCGGTCACACAAGACCGTGAAGATGTCCTGCCCCTGGCCTTACAGCCCACGGTGATCCAACGCACGGTTCCGCATCATCCGTGGTTAGACCTGATTCCTATTGCCAAGATGCGGGATAACCTTATTCTCGCGGAGAGCGTGATGGATGATATTCAACTGTGTCACGACATGTGCGGTCATCAAAGATCTCTGGCGGAGCAGGGCCGTAATGGCGGGATGGGGGAAACGGGGGTGATTGTGTGGAAAGACCCTTGGGATCCTGAGGGGTGGGAGGTGACGGAGACCTTTGTGCGGTTGTGGGGCTGGGCCGTCCAGGACTGTTGGGAGTTGTTTCAGTCGACCAATGCATGGCGGAAGCGACGGGGCGAGAGGCCATTATTTCGATATCCGGTAGCGGGAGGTAACCAAATGGCTCAACCTGCCTCTGATGCAGATGGAACAATTCCATGATCTACTGGGTATGCCCGAATACCCATCAATAAATGTTACATCACCCAATCTATTTTATTACTGGCTTCTAAAGGAGAAAGTGGCCGGCCTGTGTATCTGGAATAGACGAGAATTATAGTCATCGAAAGTTAGATCGGTAAAATGCTGAAGCCAATAATCTCTACAGCGATTGATGCCTGCATCGAGATGCCAGCTTGCCGAGCCATATCCCAATGCGGCCAAGCGTCACTGCAAGTGTCAGCATTTAGTGCGACACTAACCCGTTTGGCCAGGTGTGTGCCTAAGGTGGCTTAGCGTACCCGTACCCGCATCACGGACGGAGTTAGGCCTGGGCAGCGGACATAACAGCCAGAGACATCAGTCTGGTATATAAGACCAGCATTCCTGTTCAAGATGGTCACCCTCCAACATACCGACCATCTCACACATCCTACCGCCTCATCTGCATTGGCCAACTGCAACATGGCAAACAATAACCTCAAGATCGTCTTCGGCGCCATGACCTTCGGCAAGCCTAGTGCGTACCCATCCCCCAACACCAATACCAACACCAACACCAACCTAACACCTGAACCACGCAGACACCCTAGGCGCCCGCGTCCACAACGCCGAAACAGCCTCCCAAATTATTGACATCTTCCAACGCCACGGACACACCGAGATCGACACCGCCCGAGTCTACGGCGCCGGGTCATCCGAAGAGATGCTCGCGGATCTGGATTGGCAAAAACGCGGCCTGATCATGGACACGAAACTATATCCGAACGGCATCCGACCCCTCCCCTCGGTTGTCTCTTACACGCACACCCCTGAGGATGTCCGTCGGGGGCTCCTCGACAGTCTATCCGCCCTGCGCACCACCAAAATCGATATGTTCTACCTACACGGTCCAGACCGGGTACATTCCATCGAAGAGACTCTTCGGGAAGTCAACACCCTCCACAAGGAAGGCTACTTCACCCGTTTCGGGATCAGCAATTACATGTCCTGGGAAGTCGCCCAGATCTGCGAAATCTGCAAACAGAACAACTACATCATGCCGACCGTGTACCAAGGAATCTACCACGCCCTGCAACGGAGCATCGAGGGAGAACTCTTCCCCTGCCTCCGAAAATACAACATCTCCCTATACGCCTTCCAGCCCTTAGCCGGCGGATTCCTCACAGGCCGGTATACGCGGAATCAAACGGAATTCGAAGCCGGATCGCGCTTCGACCCGAAGATCATGCAGGGGCAGTTACATCATGGGCGGTATTGGAATGATGTGTATTTTGATGGGGTTGAGAAGATCCAGGAGGTGGCGGGACGGTATGGGTTGAGTGTGGGGGAGGTGGCGTTGCGGTGGTTGAAGTATCATTCGGAGTTAAGGGCGGAGATGGGGGATGCGATTATTGTGGGGGCGAGTAGTGTCAAACACTTAGAGACGAATTTGGCGGATCTGGAGAAGGGAGAGTTGCCGGAGGAGGTGGTGGGCGTGGTGGAGGGGGTGTGGCCGATGGTGAAAGGGGTGGCGCCGAAGTATTGGCATTGATGGATGCTTTGAAGCATTGTTTTGTGATTATCATACATCATATCATACAACAGCCAACACCAACGCCATTATGTCCACTGTACATATTCCCCATTAAATACCATCCAACAAGCTAGTCCTTCTTCTGATGACTCGGCGCCCGACCCGTTCGATTCTCACCCGTCTGGCCTCCCACCATCGTATGGATATCTTTCTGCGAATACAGTTTCTCCTCTTTGCTCGGAGACTGCGCGCGGAAGAGCATCCACCCGGCGGTGATCATCCCGACCATACTAAAAAGGGCGATGTTGCGGGATCTGTACTGTCAGATACCAGCCAGGACATAGGAGGTAAAAACATACCGCATCGAAGACGGACGACCACCCGTAAGGCCTCCCGCGAAAGCAGCCATTGTTTGATATGAATACGCTTGTTATGGCAATAGGTTCTTGATTCAGTTAGTTTGAAGGACTAGAAGAATTATCGATCAATAGGGTCGATGCAAATCTAATATACTGCTGTGTGATGTGGCCAGTGACGTCAAAATTAACCGTCCGTCGGAAGACTGCTGCTGCGTTCCGCCGGATAAGAGTATAACCTCACCCGTCGCTGGCTGCTTGGTACTTGAATCATTGTTGCATCAGGGAGACGTTATCGATACGAGTAGATCTAGATTTGATCGTACGATGGGTACTGTGCTGATAACGCTGTGTGCTCTACATGGTAGTTCGCAACTGATGATCCTAATGGCGAGTGTGCCTTAGTGCCTGATCACTTTGTAACCTCCAGCTAGGGAAGTAATGCTTCTACGCAGGGAGTAGGGCACTGAGTCACGCGACACTGTCTAGCAGAAGTGGGTGGCACCAAGAGAAAGAGAATATGAAATAAACGAGTCAAATAGAAAGCACAATGAACAATCAGAAGAAAGTAACATCACTATCCAATGAATCTTATCACACCAGAGACAGCCAAACATGAACGAAACGGTCTAGCCCATCCCAGATCGCAGATCAAGTTTCACCCCAACACCAAGCTTAAGCACGGTGCAGCGATAACCATCCACGGATGACAGACAGCTCCACCAACCGAGCTACTCATTCATCAGCAGAGATCCACCGATAAGTGCGGCGCCCCCATTTTCCCACGACGTCATCGCATCCGCAGCTTGTCGATCGATCGATCCAGCTATCCCTCACCACCACTTCCAATTCCCACATACCAATTTTCATTTCCTTCAATTCTCTCATTCACACACATCTACAGAGTGCACAAAATGACCCCCCCAATGTCCTACCAACCCTCCCCGTACCTCTTCGGAGGACCCCAGTAAGCACCCCCTCCCCCTCCTACCTCCCACCTCATCTCCACTAACCACAACACAGCCCCTGGTCCTCGAGCAACTGGACCTCCACCGACGACCGCGTCCGCGGCGGCGCCTCCCACTCCACCCTCACCATCAACCCAACCACCAACACCGCCCTCTTCCACGGCACCCTCGACATCACCACTCTCGGCGGCGCAGGCTTCGCCTCGCAACGGACCACCAGCACCATCACGACCTGGGATTTATCATCCTACACCGGACTCGAACTTTCCATACCCAACGCCGATAACAAAACATATACCCTGAATTTGAAAGATGAATTACCCGAGCGGAGACCGGGTGGACGGGAACGGAGCGGGGTGGTCTGGGAGGTGGATTTTAAGGGCCCTAGGGATGGGGGGAAGGTGAGGGTGGGTTGGGAGGATTTTAAGGCTACGTATCGAGGGAGGGAGGTGCGTGGGGGACGGAAGTTGGATTTAGCGGGGGTGAGGAGGGTGGGGATTATGGTTCGGAGGTGAGTTTTTTTTTTTTTTTTTTTTTTTTTTTTTTTTTTTTTTTT